CTCCCCAGAGCCATGTTACTTTGTAATCCGGTAAAGGAGCAGGCTGGTCTGCAGCTGTTGAGCGGGTGGGCTTATCATCCCCCCCCTCCCCACCCCCGTCATCAATGAATGTGATCCCTAAGTGATCCGTGAATGTGATCCTCAAGTGAGCGTGTATCCCTAAGTGACCGTGATCCCTAAGTGAACCGTTTGAGCGATCCCTAAGTGACCTGTTTGCCAACCCCCAACGGCATTGTGAAATAAGGCCAAAATAAGGCCAACACAAGGGCAGAATAAGGCCAAAATAACGGCAACCCCCGACGGTTTTTGAAGATTTCTCAGGCAAGGCCAACAGAAGGGCAACAATCTTGTTGCAACATGATTTTGAAAAAGGCTCCGCTAGATTCCTCATGTTATGTTTGTTTGTGAGAACTTGATTCGATTGAAGTCAGCTGGAGCGGGTGCTGCACATGTCGTGACTGAGTTGTGTTTCTGAAACTATGCCTTGTTGAGTCTGGAACCCATCATCCCGTGACATTCACACCTCAGCCCAAAATACGATCAAACTAGTGGTGACGAAAAAGGTTGAAGCAGTAGCCCCTATTTTGCCCTTATTCTACTGACATAAAATTAAGGGCTTATTAAGACCCTACTATGGCCTTAATAAGGGGCTATCCCTGATTCCAAGAGGGGGGGGGGTAGTCAGCTTGGGGGTAGTTAGACATACCATGATAACCTATGCCTCCATTTCGGGGCGGATGAACACCCATGTACCACCTATTTTGATGCTCACCAGAGGTGCAGGGTTTTGACCCACAGCCATGTAACTTTGAGGTCTCCGTGTTGTCCCAGGCTTGTCTCCAGGCTGTTGGACAACGACGCGGAGGGGCACAAGCTCGTGAAGGAGATTGTTAGAACGCCACCCAATCAAGATGCTGGCCGACTGGCAGCAGCTGATGTTTTGTGTTTCGCGCGCTTCCCATGCACAACGCCCAAAGTTGTGCTGGCCGAGTTTGGCCGGCCAAAGCCAATGTTTGCATACGGGCATGTGGCAGCATCCTTGCTGTCCAGCCTGGCTTTTTCGCCCTTTGCTCGGCGAAGCCCTCTTGAGGCTTTGTGGGCCTGTTCGGCCCCCAGCTCCTGAAGGGCACGGCGTACAAAGAGTTCCCAATCGACACTGTGGAAGCATTGGAGCCTCGCTTGAACGGGCTGGGCTCGCAACTTCTGTGGGGAGAGGCTTGGCTTCTGGGAATGGAATCCATGCCGCCAACTCAAGAGGTGGCCGAATCCACTACAATGAATAGAATTCAGCTTTTGTTTCCCGTGTCGAATCACTGCAGCCCACGCATGAGAGTTGCGAACCTCCACCTGGAAACCTGCTTTCCTTGCCAGCTAGAACATAATTTGCCCAGGGCTTGCCCCTTTTGCTCTGGGTGTCACCCAGGCAGATGCCAACGTCATAGGCGTAATCTTCATGACCTCCAGTACTATTGACGCTTGGCGAGCATGGATTGTTCCTCAGGGTTGGTCAGAGCTGATTCCATTGTACTGGCAGTTGACACTGCAGTCATGTTCTTACTCTTTTTGCGTCACTCAGCACCAGATTTGCACGGCAGCTCGCCCACAGGACAAGCAGCTTTACCCGCCCTCGCTGCTGCAGCAGAACAAGGATGCACCATCGCAGGGTTTCGCTTGCACTCAGGCTGATGCTTGCCCCAAACCCGATCGCAGAACAGCATGCGTGTGCCGTGTTCATCCTGATTCCGTGTGCTAATCAGGGCAGGGGACTAGCCGACTAGCCCATGTCCGCGCGGGAATTTTCATGGAATTCCTATGGTCACTTTCCAGTTTACAACCACATATGCTTTGCAAGTTCCTTTTGCAAATCTGACAAAGTCTCAAGCCTTGCAGGAGCTGCTCAGACGCGTGGCCTCGCTCCTGGGCTGGAAGAGGGCTTGCACTGCACCGTTTCTTTCAAGCTGCACTTCAGGGGTAAGGGTTTGCAAAAGCTCCACGTCCCGCGTGGGCGGGCTTTAGGTCAGGTTTCCCTGATTGGCCGGAGGCGGTTGGCCTTGTCAGGCAAGGATTCCCAGCATGCAGCTGCCAATGATCACCGAATCTCTTCCCACGAACCCCACCCCCTCCAAATAAATAGGCAAATTGTTCGGCCATTTTTTTGGCTTTGCACTAACATATTTGTTGCCTTTGTTTGCCTATTTCGGCCTTATTTACCCCCCTTGCCGATTTTGACCTTACTTAGGAATTATTTTTTGACCTCCTCCAGGAAATTGCATATTTGTCTTGAACTTCTTTACGGAACTGCATGTTGAATTTGGCGCGGCGCTGCGTGGATGGCTGCTGGTTTATCGTGAAAATGCAAGGAATACACTCAAAAGTGACCGTCTGAAAAAAAACAAGGCCGCAATGAGACTGAAAGAAGGCCCAACAAAAGCCTGACATAAGGCTGAAACATGGCCAAGGTCTGTAAACATGGAAGGAACACACTCAAAAGAGACCCAAAAAAGACTATCTGAAAAACACACTACGCCTGATATAAGGCCGAAATCAGATTGAAATAAGGTCAACATGCTGTAAGGAGACTGTCTGAAAAACAGGCTGAAATACGAAAGGCTGAAAAAAAGCCGACATGAGGCAAACATAGTGTAAATGCAAGATGTAGGTAGCATTTACAAAGATGATGCTGACATAGGGCTGAATTAATGCCACACTGCAGGAAACATGCAGGAATGCTCGAGAACAAATCACCCTTTCTGGCAGCACTCTCTTTTGAGTCAAAAGCGCGTAATTTGCATTACAATGTAAAAATATCCTGTCCCTGCCTTTCTTTTTGCGTGTTGGGCAAACATAGATGGCTGTGCCGTTCCTTATTATTATGGCAAAAGGCTGAGTAACCACTAGATAACGCCAGAACATAAGGCATATTCGCCCTGAAAGGGGTCTTATTTTTCGGATTTTCTGACAATGCTTGTCTTCTTGGGGGGGTTCCCCAGGGGGGTGCTATGCTTTTGTGAAATGAGTTCAGTCGGGCCGCCCAAGTTCTCAAACACCAATGGGGACAGTCTTCCGCAAAACTCTTTGACAGCCATTTTGGCGGCGGGAGGCCTTTTGCTTCATTCGGTTGTGGGACCATTCCAGGCAGGCTGATAATCAATGGCTACTCACCATAGCTGGTATTTGCCTGTACTACTAGGACCCCTGTGGTGCGGTTTGTGCGGCATTGCTTACAGCTGGCTTCCGGTCTCAGGCTGTATCTCGATCTTCGGGATCCGGAGATTCGGGAGAGGCCCTCAGAGAAGTTTGAGGTGGTCCTTTGCAGCTTTGACACCACCTGGGCGCCTGAGCCACAGATTGGATCTGATATTTTCGAGCCTTTGGGGCTGGCCCCTCTTCTTCTGGACCCCAAAGCTGCTTGGAAGGGGTCCGGGGTTCCCGGGCGGTTTGGTGGGGAGGTTTTGGGCAGGTTTCGGACAGCTTGGCAAGCTCTGACTTTGGCTGATGCAGTTGAGTTTTTTTTTTTTTTTTTTTTAATAATGGACAAGCCAGAGACAATTTTGCCCAACAAAACAGTCATCATCTTAGAAATTCCCTGCCTCACGGCTTGCCCGCGGGATGCCCACAGTCCCAGGACGCGTTCACCCGCACGGTGGGCAAACCTGGGCCGCCCGCGCCGTGGATGGTGATTCCCTATGACGCACCCTGGGTGCCGTGGCTTGGTTTTGGGCCGTCGCGGCGTTGCTGAAGCAAAAATGAACCCAACATGGCACTTTGGCATATGAAAACAAAGGCCACAACCTGCGTAACCCCAGCTGTGTAATTTTGAGCCACACCCAGAAGCCTCTCTGATTTCGGCCAACTTCTGCATCACGTTTTGCCGATCTTGGGCTGATCTTGGGGTGCCCAGTTGGTCAAGGAGCGGGACTTCTTGTGGCGGAAGTTCAACCGCCTCTTCAAGATCCCCACCGTGCCGTGGCAATCCGCAGATGCCTCCAACGGGTGGTTTGCGCGGTTTCAGCTTCGCTCGGATTGCCGAGGACCCGGCTCTGGTGATTTTGAAGCCCAACCTGGAGGTGATCACTGTGAAGGGGACCCTTGGCTGGAGGGTGCAGCGGTGCAGCCTGCGTTTACAACTTGTGCTGCCAAATTTGGGGCGCTGACACATTGTAGGCCCCTTTGATGAGTAAAACCCGTCCACTCATCACGAGGCGTTCGTGACTCGTCTCTTTGGCCAAGGTTCTCCGAGTTGGACATCCCGCGCAAGCTGCTATTCCGGCTGTATGCTGAGTGGGTGGCAGAGGCGGAAGGTCGCCCAGTCACCAGCTAAGCAGCTGATGAATACAAAGAGGGGGATGTAGTTGAAGTCGAATGTTTTATCAGGAACTGAGCCATAGCACGTTGAAGTCTGAAGATTCTTTGAGGAACCTTTGTTGTTGCACGTGTTTCGTATTTTTCCTATTCTTCGTGGACGGGCAAAGGCAAAATGGTTCATCAAAGCAAGTTTGCCTTCTTAATGAGGTATGGCCAGCTCAAGCCTAGGCCATTTTCCCAGGCAGCCATGGCTTTGCATGCGCCCAAGTCGCATGCCAGCCTGGCAGGGTAAGGGTGCCGAAGGGCACCTGCCGTGGGCGCCGAAGGAGCGACCCTATGGCGGGCTGGGCTGACATCGAAGATGTGGCAGCTTGGGCCTTTTTCACGGCTTGGCACGAGGGGGCAAAACGACCGCAGCACAAGACAACTCAAGCAGCCCATCCTGGCATGATTCACACAAGTACACATACCAAAATATGACACACACACACACTTTCACATTATGTGTGTATATACATATTCATATAGGTAAGGTATATAGTTAGAATGCACACACATATACGTATATATATATATATATATATACAATATTTGGTAGGCGCCCCGTGGTCTCCTTGGCTTTCCGTGTGGGGCGCAGGATTGTCGATAGGCGAAAGGCTGGTTGAGGAGCACCATACGCGCGCAAAGACCTTGAGGTCCGGCTCATCATCCAGCCCCAGATTTGCTTGCAACGGGCCCAGCGGTTTGGTGCAGTGAGATTCCGGACTCGCTTGTGGACCTCGGAGTCCTTTCACTGATGGTTATGGTTTCTTTCATGAGGGGCCAACAGGTCGTCAGGGCACTGTTCCTGGAAAAGTTGCTAGCTTCATCCATCCTGCGTCTCATTGCGTCTCGTTCGCTGCCGAGATTGTCACAAACACATGATCTTGCTGAGTTATTCCCCTTGAACATATCCGCCTCCGGTAGTATTCACCTGCTTGTATTACTTTGTTTGCAGCGACAAAAAGCTTCTGCAAACTCGTTTGCAGCTGGGCCTTTTTGCAAGTTGTCATCGTCCAGGCCTGCACCTCACAGGCGGGGGAGGATGGGCCATGGGGGTGGCTTGTTGCTAAGACGATTTCTGGGGGTTGGACGCTGACCTTCGGAGATCTAGGCATATTGTGAGGGATTCCTATCCCAGGTCCAAGTTGTGCTGTGAATTCCTGGTCAATTTACCGCTTTGAGAGGACCCCAGTGTTGCCCTGACTAGGCGAGCTGGAGGGACCTCCTTGGCAATTTCTGCAGAAGATGCAGAAGGCCCTCGAACTTGGATGTGCTGCATCTGCGCTTGTTTTCCTTTCATGGGCTGAGACACTCACTTGAGGGGATGCCCCCCGCTTGCACGCCGGAATTGCAGGTCCGGACCGAGCCATAGAGCGGGCAAACGCACACACACACACACACACACACACACACACACACCATGCACTTACCGCAGGAGTCCCCACACCCTTCTGCCACGACTGTTAGAGAACGGCATCCCCCCCTTTGCCCAGAGACATGTCCCGTCACCATCTTTGGAACCAATTGAAAACGTCACCAGCTGTGAGCGCCAGAGCGCAAGGGCGCCAGAGCGCCATGCCGCGGCGGCGGTGGGGTTTGGCCCTTCTGCTGGCAAACGCGTGTGTGGTGTGCCCCCGGAGCTTCTTTTCTCTCTTTGGGGGTGACGAGGACGGCCCGGAGGTTGCGGTCAAGCCAGCTACAATTTTGCTTGCTGCACTGGCCTGCGCGGATCATCTTGAGCCTCAAGATATGTCAAGCTATAATTAGTGTGCACCTTTTTTAGCATCCACCAAGCTGGGTTCCTTGTGACCCACCAAAAAAAGGGGCGGGCACCTTGAAAAAGACAGACCAATTCTTGTTTTTTTTTTTTTTTTTTTTTTGTGGTTTGGGGGGGGGGAGGGTGGGATGGGGCAGATCGATCCGTTCCAACACCAAAACCGCCACCCGCCCAGACCAGCATTCTTCTCTCTCCAAAATCCCCCACTTCCGTTCTTGATTTCCATTTCCATTTCTCAACTAGGTCCCCCCAGTAGTGCCCTTTTACCCCTTTTTCGGGCGTCCCCTACTAGAACAGACTACATTTAAAAAAATCGAAAAACCATTATTCCAAGCTCTCTACTAAAAAGCCTCGTCAAACCTCAAGTCGTGTCCATCGGTTCCTCGGCCAGGAGGTCTCTGAGAAAGTCCGGAGCCGCTTCTTCACCGCCGCGGAGGGCCAGGGCCAGGCGGCGCGGATCAGGCGCCCGGGCCTGCAGAGCCTGCTGGAGTGCACGGACAGCTGCCCGGCGACCACCTGGGGCCTGGGGCCTGCCGTGTCTTTTTTGTGTGTGTTTTGTTTTTGAGTTGGTGCCCCGCTTTTTAAGGCAAGCAAAGGGAAGCCAAGAGGAGCAACAACTTAAAAACTATGAGTTTGAGGGGGCCCCCAAAAAAAGGACACGCCCAGCAGGGTCAACACACCCTACTTTGTTTACTTGGGATTGGTAAGCAGGTGGAACAGTTGTTTTTTGTTATCTTAGGACAACCTCGTGTGAATGAGGTGAAGTATATCCACTAGAGGGTCCGCAGTAAAACACATATACCTACATGGACCCGTTCCCAGCGGTGGGATGAAGGAAACATGACATGCTTGTTGCCCAATCGGCTTGCGATGCTTGAGCAGGCTTTCGGTTGAGCTCAAACTCTTGAGACGTGCTCGAAGAATCTGTGCGACCGGCCAGCTAAGGCAGTTGTGCCATGAGACAAGCAGTGTTGTAGTAGATTTGCATGAGTTGAGGAGGCGGCTGAAAGGATTGCACATGATTCCCAAGTGTGGTAGTTCTTTGCGGCAGCCACCAACCAAAGCCTTCCACATCAACATGTCGAGCTATCCGCCACCAAGAGTTTGTGCCAGGTACCCCCATTTGTTAGCTTAGATGGGCGATTTCAGCGTTGAAAGTCTGAGCTGATTAGGTCTGAAGAGGCAATTAAAGGGTGACCAAAGGCAGGCAGACCCAGCCCTCCTGGTGTGTATGTGCGTTCAGCCTGTGCCAACCATATTGTGCTAGGGCCAGTTGCACCTGGTGCAAGATGCCCACCTTCTTCTTACTATAAAAAAAACAAAAAAACAACGCTTATGATGACAACGTCCGGCCACTGCCGCTCTGTGAGTCAGTCCAGATATGGTCGTTCACCCACACATTGAGACAGAAAGGTCGTTCACCCACACATTGAGACAGAAAGAGAGGGAGAGAGAGAGAGAGAGAGAGAGAGAGAGAGGAGACAAAGGGAGAGGGAGAGAGAGGCACGCGTCGTCTGGCTCATTCCACCTTTTTTTAGTCAAGTTGTGTGTTCGTGGGCGTTGGGGGCAATTATCTTTCTCCTTTGCCCCATCCCGGGGGAGAAGAAGGTGCTTTTCTTCCGCTTTGGACACCCACTTCTGCTGGCCTGCGAGTTGGGCGCATTTCCCCAGCCACAGGCTTTTGTTTGACGAAGCGCTGGCTGGACGAAGACACTTTGGACCGGGTCTATTCTCAATATGCCAACGATGATGGCATAGACCTGCAACAGTTCGGGCGCCTTGCTGACGATGGGCTGCTCCTGGAGGGAAAGCTCGACGAGCTGCCTGACTGAACGCTGTGAGCTTGTCGAGCTCGAATTTATCCAATCGCAAAGAGATCTAGCCGGTTGAGGGTCCGGAGAGGCTCATAATTTTTGGACATGCCCAAGGTATGAAAAGGCCTTCAACGGAGTGGACAAGTCGGGGACTGGCGTGATCTCCAGCGAGGAGCTGTGGGAGCTCTTCTCCGGGCTCGGCCGCGCGGTCTCCAAGGAGGAGTTGGCGAGAATCATCGACGAGGCGCCGTGGGGGACGCAGAAAAAACGCGTGGCAGGCGTACCCTGGGGCGGACGTGGGACGTGGGGCCCAACGTCCCCAAGACCTTTCTGATTCCCACTGGGCTTTTGAGGGACTATGCTGGCGTTTACTCCACTTCAGCATTTGAGCTCTGGCTACCTGCAACTCTTCCAAGTTGGGGACCCCTGGTTTACCGAGCTTGTCATGTCCTGGCCATTTTTCCAATTTCGAGCACGGCCATACTGGCCAGTCACCAGCTCGGGGTTCCTGGGGCGAGGCCGACGTGGATCACGACGGCATCGACTTCGCGGACTTCCTGGGTTTGGCACGGACCCACCTGGACCTGGCACAGGCGAAAAAGGGGGAGTTGGGGGGTTGGGGGGGTTGGGGGGGTTGGGTGTGTTGGGGAGGTTGGGGGGGTTGAGGGGGTGGGGGGGGTTGGGGGGGCGGGTTGGGGGGTTGGGGCAGCTCGGCCGGCAGAAAGATCAAGAGCTGGTTACATTCTGGGCTGTTGGACTGCCCGCCGAAGACCCCAACAAAACCCAAGTCAACCCAGAACTAACCCCCTAACACCCCCACAACCTTCTGCACACCAACTCAAAGAATGTGACCATCCCGAAGGCTGAATTCAGTGCAAGATCTGACCGAGGGAGGGACAGAGATCTTCAAAGCCACATGCTGAGCTGCTGAGACCACTGGCCTCGTTCCAACCTCAATGAGTCAATGAGTAATAGGGCAACTTAATACGTGTTCTTCCCTTAGCAGCAATCCCGTCCTTAGCAGCCGCTAGGTACATGCCCAAGACCACCATTGCAGCAGGCAAATGTAACTACTCTCCTCGTTTTCCCCCCCCTTTTGTTTTCTCCTCTTTTCGGTGAAGAGGTCGTCCAAACAAACACATATAGCATAATCACCTCAGGAACATCTTGCACACTGCAACTCCCTTATTTGATTACACAGTTTGTCAGTATGGTTCGAGGTGTGCTATTTGGCACATTTGGGCGGACAGTGCGCCCGTTTTTGATTTATCGCACCGGGAATCAAATCTCGGCAATACACCAGCGATGTTGCAGAGCGGCTGTGCAAACAGTCCAGAGAAAAAAGAAGATCAGAAGGTGCTGCAAAATCATTTTTGCTTCAACAGTTTCCTGTTTGTCAGAATTGTGGAATGGCGCCATCTTGCAGTGGATCCGTTTGGCACAAAGGGGTGCCCTCAACCTAGTTCTCGCATCCATGGCCAGGTCATCAGATACCTGGAGACAACGCCTGAGCGTCCCTCCTCCCACGACTCCGTGGCAGAGGGCATCTTGGAGCACGTCACCACGGTTCACAGTGAGTCCGAGCTCTACAGCCTGGTCGGGAAGGATGACGCTGTGCCCCAGCTTCGATTACGGGCGGTTCGCTCGCGTCATTTGCGATCCTCAAGGGCGGGCCTGCAGGTTGGGCTCACTTTGTAGGGGGATGCGGATTTTTGGGGAAGAGCAGTTGGGAGCCTGCGCCGGCATCGCTGGTTTGGCAGAGATGGGCGCCCTCCAAAAGCACCAAGTGTCATGAATCCTGGGCGCCCATTCTGCGCGACACCACCAGGCTGGACTTCGCTTCGAGCCCAGTGGGACACCTTGGTTTGAGCATAAGTGTGAAAAGTAGTTCAATTCATGAATCCATATATGCATAGATGGTGCAGGTGTTCAACATGTCCACTTTCGATTTTTCTGGACCTCCCCCACCTTGCGGATTTGGGTTCGCGAATCAGGTGGTGAAGCTGGCCTTCACTTGGTGCAAGCCCTGCAAAGCCTTCCTTCCCAGATACGAGAAGTTCGCCAAGGTCTACAAGACCACCCGCTTCCTAAAGTGGCCAGGCCGATATTTTATTTGGCCTCCTTGGGCCGAGCTCAGACGGTCTGAGACGTGCTGTTTTGGGTCTAGTGACGTGGAAATGAGTCGGTCAGAACGGTTCGGACTCAGGATTGTGGGCAACGAGAACGAGTCCTGCAAGCACTATGCCAAAGAGGTGCTGCGGGCCAAGATCTCCCCGATGTTTGCGGCCTACTGCAAGGGGAAGTTGGTGAAGACCTGGCGCCTCGGTAAAAAAAGAAGCCGAGGCGTGAAAGAAACCGAAAGGCTGAAAGGTTTTCCCCGTCGTTTCAAGAGGCATTGAAGGGCTGGGCTCAATCAGCCATGCAGAAGGTGGCGGTTTTCTCCATTGTTTCAAGACAAAGGCCTGGACTTAGCTGGGGGTTGGGGAAGACATGGAACCTGCGCATTTCTCAGTCCGTGAGCACCTGAGGCACGGCGCCAACAACCTCCGCTTCACTACGAACTTAGAGGAGGCCATCCCTTTCCCTTCTTTTGAAAGCCGCTCGAAGCGGCTTTGCTTGAGGTTGGTCCCTAGGGGGGAGTGGGTGGAGCCTTGAAAGATGGGGGACGCTCTGCCTGGACTGGATTGGTCCCCCTGTTTGCCCGCATGGGCTTCCCACCAATGCTGCCGGTGCAACTTGCCCAGACGCGCGCTCCTGGTTCACGAGCGATGGGGGGCGGGGGGTGATTGGGATACCTGCGAAGCGGATTTGTCTGGAGCATGCTGGTGAAAAGGCAGCCTTGGCACTTCTGGCAGGCTGTGCCGGCTTTCGTTCCGTCCTTTCTCAAGGTTTCTTGGTAAATATAACCTTGCCAACTTCGGCAAAACCTCGGCTGATGGTGACTGCCAGGTGCTGCCCTCGGCACAGAGCTTCGCCCAAGAGCGCGAGGCCGCCCAGGATGCAGACCCCTCCCTGAGGCCAAGCTAAGACGGATTTGCCTCGGAGGCGATGGGTCCAATTGAATTGGGGGGGTCCGTTTTGGTTTGGGGAGCTGTGTGAAGGTGAGGCCGGGAAAGAGCAAAGAGACCACCGCCGCCTCCATTTTTTGAGCTAGACATCGATCTTTAGTCAGGCCACGCCAGAATAGGCGGGCCCCGCGGAGTTCCGTGATTTTGCTTCTGTCCGCTCCTGATGTTTCCCGCGGCACCATGAGCTGGGTCGCGAAGGGCATGAGGCAGAGAAAAGTGCAGGCTGCTCATGGCTCTGAAGTTTGTTGCGTCATGCTTTCGTGGGCTGGGGTGCCATTTCGGAGAATCATGGCAAGCAGTGCGCCGCTCCGTTTACGTAGGGCAGGGAGGTTGGCTGTCAGTTGCGATCCTGGTTTTCTTTTGCATGGCGGACTACCTCCAGCCGCGTATTGCTTATTCCTGGTGACTATGGCCACTCTGTTTTAGGCACCAGGCAGGATTCAGAACAAGCCACTTCCTTGGGCGCTTGGGGTCCCCATTGCAGACATGTTCAAACACATAGCACTTGTGCAGGAGGTGCCGAGTGTGAAGCAGGCTCGGCCGGGTGTTTTGTCGGCCGGCTGCACCCTATGTCATGCTGCACTTGAAGCCAAGCAAAGATCGTGTGTGTTTCTCCCATTCCCGAGTTGCGAATGTCCGTTTGATCAAGTCTTTTGGGATCAATCCGAAGACTATGGTATGAGCGACAAACAAGCTTGCCCGCTGCTGAATCGGTCTGCGTTTGTTTGTGCAGACCGGATGCCAGCCAACCTTGAAACGTGGCTGTTAGTACCAACAAAGGGCTGACAAAGGTGATGGGTATTCCAGCATGGGCGTGTCCCCTTTGTTTTTGGCACGCCCCCTCCCCCCCAACATGATTTTTGCTTTTTCCTTTTGGTCTCGCTTCTACGCCACCAAAAAGGGGGGCGGGTTTCGAGCCTCAGAAAAGATCCCCCTCCCAAACCCCAGGTCCATGAATTCAGACGCAGGACCTGCAGCGGCTGTTTCGCTCTGCCCGAAATTTCGCGGCGGTGGGCCAGGCCGGGGCCCGGTTTGTGTCTTTTTTTGCGGGTACCCTTTTTTTGTGTTCTTTTTTTATCTAAATTGTTTGGGGGGGGGTTCAACCAAAAGGAACAGGGTTGTGGGATCCAGGTGTTTGTCTGTGATGGGGAATCTTCCCTTTATATGGGGGGTTAGCCCTTTCTGTTGTATTAAAGAAGTGGGTTCCATTTCCCACAGCCCTGAAAGGAATATCACCATTTTGGAGGGGCCCCTGAAAAAAAGACGCACCCATTTGGATGTGCATACGGTACCGGTGCGCCACAACTGCCTGGGGTGGGGCGGAGCGTATGAACGTGTCAGAAAGTCTAGCTTGTCATTTGGCACGCCCCAACACAAAGCCACCCAAAGGCAGCGGAAATGCTCATGTTCGATTGGTTTCCGTATTTCCGCACACACATCGCAGGTCATAATTTTGCAGGTGTAAATCACGCAGGAGGATAGGAGGATAGGACAGGGTGGTTCTCACATGCTAACCACCTTTGATTCGGAGAAGCCGGCGGGCACACCGTTCGCCGGCAACACAGTTGCTTTCGCTTGCCCAAACTGAGTATGACCAGGAGGCCGGGGGTGGGAGAAGGAAAAGCCCTCTTCACTTGAAATGCCAAGACCGGCCAACTGTCTGATTGCCTGCTTACCCACATGGCAGTGCAGCGGGTGGCCAATCTATTTTTTGTACTGGTACCACCTGCTGCGTTTGGTGGCTGCTCCGGCATCGGGTTCCCATGGAGCGTCATTCAAGCCTGCCATTCGAAGGGCCGCGCTCGGTGCCCGTGGCAGGTGATCCCGACGCGCCGAGAGGCGCGCGAAAGTGCCGCATGCCATGCTGATTTGAGGGAGGGTTCAGGCCAAAGGCTTAGTGTTTTACGGGGCACCAAGGTTAAGATGGATGGCGCTGGCTGCTTTTCGTTTTCCTTTTCCCTCGCAATATCCAGCACTTCAGCACTAGCAGATCGCTGCTGCACTTTGTGGGTCTTAGGTCATTTCTTCTTTCGTTTAACCTCAAGGTATGGCGGGTTGATTCCGCTTTCAGGCCAGCTGTGGCTATGGCAACTCCTACAGGCACGTTTCGATGCATGCCGAGGCCCCAGGTGGCGTTTCTTTTTTTTTGAACACGTGCTATGGGCTCTTTGTCATCCGGAACTCCTTTGGTAACCTGCAACCTTCGGTGTCGGGGAATCCTGCTTGAATTGGCTCCTGGTCGCAGCAATGTTGTCGGTATTCAGCAAGCCCTCCCAAAGCGCAGGGGTTCGTTTGTGCACTCGCTAAAGCGGTGGCAGATTTTAGGGAAATGGTTTCTGTTTGTGACGGTGCCACGCAGCCCTTCCCTCAACCTGCCGCCACCCCGCTTCACCAACGCCACGCCCTGCAAAACAACAACACAAGCGCGGGCCCTGCAGACAGCCACAGCCCCAGCCCCCGACCTTCGCACATCACTGGCCCGCAAGCGCAAAGTTGAACGAGAGCGTGCGCCTGCGAGTGCACAAATGACCGCTGCGCTATACTGGAACGTAACACGATATTTTTGTTCTCGGCGAGTGCAAAAACGACCGCTTGGCTGAAAAGGGCACGACCAGTGCACAGACACCGCCCCACCCCACCCCACGCCCGCCCCATCCCTGCTCCACCCGCCACCCCACCCCACCCCATCCCCCACCTCCACCTCCACCCAGCCACCCCACTTCTTTGCGGCGCAGTGAGATGAAGTGTCCACTGTGGGGCAACAATGACAGGAGGTCTGTGAGTGCGCAGATGACCAGAATCTGAGTGCGCGGATGAACCCCTTCCTCTCCCAAACGCCTGAGTTTCTTGAGGGCCAGCAGCCCAGTAGTGCAGAACGGACCAGGGTTATGCTTAGTTGGCACAGTGCTTCAACTCAGTGCAGGGGGCCAGTTTGAAACGAAGGCAGTCATTGCTGCATGCCCCTTCGTCTGCCACATGTCACGGCATGGCTTGAAAAGTTGAGGTTCGTCGTGGCGATGTGGGCGATGCCTCTGGCTATGCGCTGACGTTCCTGCCTCGGCTTTTTGAGGCAGGAGCATGTTTGGTCAGATGGTCTCAGCCACGCAGCAATGTTTCGCGCCTCGCTTGTGACATGTTTTTCCCGCACGTGTGACGGAGATATCATTCATACTTGAGAAACGTCGCCCAGTTCATTACAATTTCCCCTAGATGCGGTTATGTCATAGAGATGCATGTGCATTTGTTGTCTCAGGGCGCGTTGGCTTACCAATCCCCGATGCTCAATGCGGCACACACACACACACACACGGCCACGGTTGTTCCAATTCAAGGCAAACACACCCCAGCACAAGTGGCCCAAACGCCATCCAGTCCGAATTGCGTCAAGCCCCCTGCATTACTCCCACCCCTGTTGGTAGGGATGGTTCATCATTGCAATAGGGTCAAATTCGCGCCACTCAAGCGAGCTTCACCCCTTTGATGGGAGGGAACCCTGCGTTGTTGCAAGAGGGGACCCTGAATTCAAGTGGGTACCTGTGATGAGCCTGTCATTGAGCGACGAGAACTTTGCAGGTTCTTCCTGTGTTTGTGCAAATGTGAGATAGCATTGGATTGTGAAACATGACATGACAACATATGGCAACGCTAGCTTAGGCATATATATATATATTTATTTATATTTGTGTTTATTTATTTAATATACTATAGCTCGGACGAATCAACTCGAGATATAATTTCTTCGAGACCCAATGAAGACGTCTTCAATCAGCGGTTCTCGGTGCCAAAATGGGCGAAGGGGGTTTTGGGCACAAGCCTGCTGGCAGTGTTCGGCCGTCTTGACATGCCGTGTTCAAGTGCCTTCGTTGCGGGGTCGAGGGATTCGTTGATGGCCTGTCATTTCTACTCTGTGACCGTCAGGTAGAAACTGATTAGCTAGGTCACGCGGGCTTGGCCCAGGCAGCAACTGGGCGCCGCTGGCTTTACAAGGCAAGGAGCCGAGTCGCCGAGTCGCTGAGCGTCGGGCTGTTGATTTTTGATGCGACTCGGGCTTTGCGAGGGTTATGCATGCCAAGGCCACCCTTTTTGTGCCGTGCTTGCTGTGAGGGGCTGCCAAGCGTGGCAATCACGTCAACAATGGTATGGATGCATCATGACCGTCCCTTCCTGGAAGATTTGCGGGCAGACCCTTTTCTGCCCGCATGCGAATAGAAAGGTCTTTGACCATGAGGTGTGGTGAGGACAAATCCAAGACTTTCGCAGGTGGCTTTGCGCGCTGGCAAATGCAATCACCGTCCCAGTCTCAGTCACAAGAGTGCTACTGGCAGCTGGGCGGGTTGCGCAGTGCGGCCTTGATTGACCCCAAGTTTAAGCAGAAGCGACTTGTCACGCCTCGAGTGCGGGAGGTGTTCCAGTGACTCTTCAGTTTGTTTTTCTGAAGGTTTGCAATTTTTCGCGCGCTGATCCATGGCCTTTGTGCAACATCCGAACTTCGCCAAAGTCGCAGGGTTGCCGACTGAGGTGCCAGGTGAGAAGCTTGGGCTCCATGCCGCGGCCTAAGCTAAGCGCGGTTTGGAAGGCCGAGAGGTTTCTACACGTGCATATGGACCTGACTTCTTCACATGGGTGTTGATCACTAGTAACCATGGGTAACTTTTCCCCCATGGTCATTCCATGTAAATGACCTTTTGATCAACCCTCACATGTGTCTTGCAGAAGGGGCTTGCACCGCCGATCAGTACCGGCTTGGGAAGAGCGTTGAGTTCCGCTTCAAAAGCAAACCATGAGCCTTGTGTGACCATGCCTCACGGACCAAAACTCTAAGGGCGCTTCCTGAAGCATTGCCCGTCTTCAATTCGCATGAATCCTACGCTGGAAGCTGACTGGCCTTAGGCTAAGGCCATATCCCCAGAGCCTGGCGGGTTCCATACGCGGCACCAGTTGGCCAAGCCTTGCCGCAGGTCTTCACCGAAGCCGGGCGAAGCCGGGGCAGCTTGCGGCGCGTGCGGCGGCCCAGACCCCAAGACCCCAAGCCGGGCATGGGGGTGAGAGGTTTGGCTTCGTAGGCTTCCGTCCTTTTGGCAGACGGTGCACTTTGTACCAAGGGGTTCTTGTGGTTCACCGCTGAGTGCGCGCCATGTGGGTTGCGCCCGATTGAAAACAACGGTTTCCAGGATCCTGAAATTGCGTTTTTACCGTGCTGGTGCAATCCACGCTTGCGATGCGGAGGCTGCTGTTTTGACAGTGCGCTCTCACCCTAGTGTCAGGAGACGTTGCGCAGACGATGCGGAGACGTTGATTTTCAAAACATATTTGCGCAGTTCACGCAAGGATCCTCAATGTATTGGAGTCCCGCAAATAGGTTCCCGCAAGTCTTGCATAGGAGTTTTTCGTGGATGGTTAAAACAGATATTTTCTGAGGTTCTGCAACTGTCCTCCAAAGCGATCTGTTTGGTGCACAGATCTTTCAGAGAGCCTCGACAAGGGACGTAGAACATAGATTTTCCGGAGAGCCCAGAACGAGATCTCGCACAAAGATCCCATGAAGTACATGTTGCGCCGAGCTTGTGAGAGATTCTCAAGACGGAGGAAGTTCAGAAATCTTGCCTTCAGGTGTTCAGAAAGCCTCTGCGCTAGAGCTTGCACAGGTCCTGACATGCTGCAAGAGAGTCATGCAAAGATTTTACAAGCTCATGCGGAGCCACGGCCGTAGTAGCCCAAGGGCCTAAGACTGACCATAAGCGCCCATTCTCTATTACACGTGCGGATCCAGGACTAGTCCGGCCATCGTTTTCTTTCGCGCCTTGGGTTGGAAGTGAGACGCATGCTGCTTCCAATTTGAGCTTTGCAATTGAAGGGCGTATGTTCCACAGACCGGCTTGTTGGCTTTTGTGGGTCCTTGATTGAAAGCAGGGGGCTGGCAGCCAGAAGGCTAACAGTCAGCTTGCGTGTGTGACTGCAGGTGAGGCATGCTTTGGGACGCCAGACGCGACACAAACAGTGGAAGTGGATGCTGATCCCGGGGAGTGTTGAAACCTCACGGAGCTCTCGCGAGGCAGGTCTGCCGGGCTTCGTGCTGGATCCAACAGAGGAAGATGATTTGCCGCGCCCCCAGGTCGAATCAGCATTGGGCCAATCGAAATTACCCATTTCTGTGGACCTTTCAAGCCGACGGGGAAGCAGACTTGCAATGCGTTGTTGCTCTTCTGAACTTCTGAGTATTTGATAGAGCTGTTGCCAGTTTGGCCACCATCTCCGCCCAACACAGACCCAGCAATCCTAATGTCGTGTTGAGTGGAGTTTCCATTCTTTGATGATAGGCAGTCAACCTCGCTAGTAGTAAAGTAGTAAAGATGACCTTTAAGTCACACACCAACCCTTGGTGACAGCCAGGACAATGTTCCACACCTTGGCGCGCCTGGAGGTGGGTTGCTGACCACGGGTTTCCGTTTTGTAACCTGTGATGCGGTTGTCGGGAGAAGCGGACATTGCTGGGTTGGGGCGGTTGAATACATTTTGGCTAATGATTGTTGTTGGAGGACTTCCGTTTTCAAATGCGAGTTCCCTCTCCAATGTTTCTTTTTAGGGGATTGTCACTCCCAACTGCGAGTTCAGCACTGATGTTCGCAAGGCACTTTGGCATGTGCTGCATGTGCCTCGGAAAGCGTCAGATCCCTTAGTGAACCCACCGTGTCACGTGAGAACGCTGCCGGGGATTCCTCAAGTTGAGGGGAGAGACTTGGCAGAGCAGTGTGAAACAAAGATAGCCGTTCCAATCCTGTTTTTTCTTTTTCAGCGGGGGAGGTCGAGCCTCGTGCACTGAGAAAGGTTGCGCCGAGCTGCGAGCGGGTCATGCCAGAGGTCCACATCATCGTGCTGGGGAACCAAAGGGGCAGAGCAGCCTCCGAGTTGACCCAAAGCAAGCTGCCGACATATGTGTGAAGGGCTGTTACATGCAGGCTTGTGGCGGGGTTGTAGTTTGTCTGGCAACCAAGTGCAGCACGCGCCCCTGCGCTCATGCTTACGTTTCTTTCTCACACAGCAGTTGGAGCGCGAAGCTCCACCAAATTTGTGGGAGTCACGTTGATGTGTCCCATTCACGGCAACCTTTAATTAGCAAGCACAAGGCGAAAGATTGGTGTGCTATGAAGTGCGCTAGACATCTTGAGCATCTTGTGCTTTGCCTCCTTTTCAGTCAAGATGCAACCTTGTCTTTAACAACTTGCCCTTGCTTTGCCCTGTGTGACTTTCTATTCTTGGCTCACCTCTCTCCAACAGCTATTTTTCAAGTGTCTCGTTCCCAGTTTGTACGTGGTCCAAGTTTCGCAGTGTCGAGCTTGATGTTTTCTATATCCCCCACTGCTTTGTCCGATGTTTCAGTGTTGCCGGTGTGTGAGTTCAAGCGCCCATCCCAGTTCCGCAGTCGCGTCAACATGATTCTGTGGTTGGCTGAGGAACAACAATCCCCGGGAGGCGCTGCTTTGCATGGCCCGGGCTGCTGCCCTGGTGAAGCAAGTGGGTGTCTGGGGCTCCCTGAGATTGTGGGTTCCAAGGCAGCCGTTGACGAGATGAACTTTTGATGAAGTGCAAACACACCGCAGGCCTTTCGACACGGCCCAACTTTGCAAATGAACACCCTGCTTTGTCAACTTTCTGCAAATGGAACACACTAGCTATAGCTGGGGATTCAGCGTAGGATTCCACGTTTGATTTCCGCGCTGAAGCTAAGGCAGACGTCCTGATCACCAGCTTGAGCAGCCATGGTGTCAGATCGGGGCACTGCTCGTGTCACAAACCCTGGGCCTTTGGGCACTTGCTGAATTGGCTGTGCGAAGCATGGAATGAACTCACACTGAGTCCCTGTTGCCTTCGGCTGAAGGCTGCAGCTGGGAAGTGATGCTAGGATCCACTTTTGGGCAAATCAGCGTGGTCATGCTGCAACCACATGTTCTCTCTCCACTTTTACAATACCGGCAGGCTCATGCAAGGCAGATACATCAAGCATGTCATAAGTGCCAGAAACCAGGCTCAGTGCAACCCCTCCAGTCTCGCTTGTGTCGGCCACTGCCATGCCATAAGCGCCATGTTTGCGCCTCGCAGCCTGCGGCGTAGCACCAGCGCGCCAGGAGCGAGCCGAACCTCAAAACCTTTGGAAAATTGAAAAGGGGAACCGAAAAAGCACATTCCCACTCCCCCCCCACCCAGACAAAAAGAAAAGAGAGAACAACTCCAAGCATTTCCACCGCCGGGTAACTTCTTGATTTTTCAGACTCCCTATACTCTCTCTGTTTACCACCGAGTACTGCGCCGGTTGCCCGCCGATTTGGAAAGCAAAGGGTTACGCCTCCTTGCAGGACGGGCAGATGGAGCGGTCAGCAAAGCTGGGCCTTCCCCCGGCCGACAGAGGCCGAGTGCATTTGGCATGTGGCGTGGGTGTGCGGTGTGCCATTGAGGCCTTCCAAGCCATTCTTGACGCTTGAGCCGGAGCAGTGCGAGCCGGAAAAGCGAGAGGTCCGCAGCGCCGACAAGATGGATGGCTCCACTGCCGCAGGGGACGACTCCGTGGCCAGTGAGAGGTCCTCAGAGACCGGGTCGGAGTTGAAGGAGCTCCACTTGCGGAAGACCCTGTCCAGCTCCGCCAAGGGTGCTCTGGGCGTCAAGCGCGAGACCTCCCCCCAGAGGTCCGCGTCCATGGCATCCTCCCCCCGCATCCCGAGCCTTACTGCAGCGCTGGGCCATGCGGCCTCCCGCACCTTGCTGCGCCAGGCCTCCGGGCCTTTGACCAGCCCCCTGTACGCCTACCGCGCGGAGTCACCGGTGGCCCGGGCACCACCAGCCTCGCCGCCTGTGCCGCGGATGGCTCCGCCCTCCCCGCCTGTGCCACGGATGTGGTACCCCACCATGATGACCCAACAGGTGCAACCGGTGCAGCATTTGCTGCAGCCAGCTCAGATGGTCCAACCGCCACAGCAGCGGCCACTGCCACAGCCCTTGCACCTCCAGCCAGTCCAACTCCAACCAAGAATGTCTCAACAAATGTGTCCAAGACACAGCTTCATGCAGCCCATGAACCCCACCCTCCTTCACTCCAAGGTGCGGAAATCGGCGGCCTGCAGGTATGTTTTGGCAGAGCGCTGGTGGCTGTGAGTTTCTGTGAGTTATTGTGATGTTGCGCACCTTTGGACATTGAATTGAGGCTGGATCCCCGCCTTGACACTTACTTTCACAACTCCAATGTAGCTCGGCCCAGCCTCACCCTGGGTAGGTGCCCACTGAAACACAGGGGCCTCGCACAGGCACAAAGGGTGTCCCATAATATTTTCCTGGGAGAAAGTGCCGCGTGGCATTTGCCAGGCTGTGCAGTATCGCGTTGTTCACAAAGCTGCAGGCTCAGAGCAAGGCCGCAGGTTGAGGCCAAGACGCGCATGTCAAACATAGTCCCACCCCCCGAAAACCCTTCCAAGATACATGGACGTTTACAGGCCCTGGGGCATTTTATTTGGAAGTGGCCAACCACAAATGCTGTTTCCATGTATGTGTGTGCATGCTATGTGTGTATTCTGTCATGCTGTGCTGATTGTCACACTACGCCGCACCGCACTTGCCCCGCCATGAAACCAACATGATGCCGTTGCATGACATGTATTTGTGGCATGCATGTTCTGCTTAGTGTCCATGTGATGTGCTCTATTTTGTGCCATGCATGTTGGGGACTGACCAAGTCATATCCGCGTGTTGACCATGGCTTCACCTTTCGATCCAGGTCGTCCCTCCGATCGTCAAGCAGGATACCAGCGAAGCAGCCCTGGATCAAGCCGCGGCCCAAGTAGTCTGGTAGGGGGAGACTGCGAACTTGCTGCTCTATACCGCTGTAGCGTTCCCAAGTTGCAAGTAGGTGCACCAGCCACATGCAGTGAACCGTAGCAAAATCGATGCTCCCTGTCAAAGAGGGGCTCCAACTGGTTTGCCAGAGTTTTGAATTCAGTTTTATACAAGCCTGGCGGGGCTTTGTTGGCGTGCCTGTTCCCTGAATGTTCGGCTTTCTCCACGCTTATTTGCCGGATGATGTTTGATATCTGCCATTTGGATGCTCGCAGTTGGGGCTGAGGAGGCGCACATGTCTCAAATGTCTCCCCACACCAAGTTAATTTGGCGATGGTTCCTTGAACTTTGAGAATCGCATCGGGAAGTGTTGCAGCCCAGGCACCGTACAAGCATGCTGATGATTGAATGAGTCAAGTATGCCTTCCTGGAAAGTCTTTGCTGGCAGCAAAGACTTTCCAAACAGAAACTGACCATTTTGGCCGGGTCAGGCAGTGATTCTCTTGTGCCCCGCAGTTGATTGGGAATTGGATCAGGATTACCCTTCTTCTATCAATTAACATGGAACCTGACAGGGGGTCCCTTTAATAGAAAAAATGTCTTCCAGGACCCCCGTATCAGGTTCCATGTTCATTGGTGGGAGCCCCAGTTGAGTCACAATCAAATCCGGGTAGATGAAGGTTAGTAAAAGTCAGTCCCAACCACAAATAGCTGCGGCCGCCTTCTTAATTCTTTACATGGTTCTGGGCGAACCATTTTTGTACCAGGCTTTGATTATGACTCAGGTTGGGGGCTTGGTCCTGCTCAGGCCGAGAAAGAGCCGGAACCGGAGAAGGACCCTGCGCAGGTGCAAGCAGAGGACCGTTGAGTGGCTGGAGAGGTAGGAGACGTGAAGGGATGCTGTGTGTCGTGTTCTGCCTGGATTTCTGGGGGGGGGGGCTTCTTTCTTCTTTTTTTTTGTGGTGCGCAAGCATTGCACATTCACGAATGCATGTTTACATGCAGGTATATAGAACATCGGCACACAAAGGCAGACAGACGGACAGAGGGCGGAGAGACAGAGACACAGAGACAGACAGACGCAGACAGACACGGAGACCGAGACATACAGAGACACAGAGACGCGGAGACAGACAAAGACAGACACAGACAGACTCAGACAGACAGACGGAGGAGAAGGCGGAGACGGAGTCGAGAGGCAGAGACAGAAACAGAGACAGACTGCTTACCTGCGTGGATTCACCTTGCCTCTTTCGCTTCCCTTTGCTTACCCCCTTCCTTCGCGAGAGCTCGGCCTTGTCAGGAAGAGATGGCCCGGGAGGTTGCTCGGCTGGAAAGGCCGGGCGCCGCTCACCGGCTCTGCTCACTATTGCAAATCAGGAGGATCAAAGATGGTCCTTTTGCATCCGTGAACCAGCAACCAGATCAAACTGAGATCCTATGGTAGTTTTCGCCAATGGAGCAGCAGTTGCAAGTTTCAACGCTGTTAACGATTGCCAGGACTTAGGTCGCATCCCCAAATCGCTTGTGCAAAAGCAAGCACCCAGCTGCTGTTTTGTAAGCTTTAGGCGCCGTAACGTTGTTCCTGCGCATGGAGGATTCCGACCGTTCTGAGAAGTCAGATCCACTCAGGCACCAATTTGATGGTCCCTTCTTTTTTACGGAGTGCAGCTGCCAACAGTCGCTCTCCGTGTTGCTTGGCTCCTGCGCCAGGCAAGAGCAAGCCCGGTGCGACATGTGCGAGGCTTCTGCGTTTGCCTTTGGCCAAACAGAAACACGTGCAAAGCATAAAATGCGCGCGCCGGCCGCAAAATGCCCGGCCCCACAGTTGAGGACTTTTGCATTGGGCAGTCGTCATTACAACCTAGATCAGCCTGTGGAGTCTGGTGGAGGGATGATTTAATGAACCATTACGTTAGTAAATGGATATGTTGTTGCTTGTATATGCAAGTCCTTGAGCTGAACACTGTCAATGAACCAGGTTTGCTTGCTTGTGACTGTGTTTGAATTTGGCTATCCAGGCATTCTGACCTTGAGCCTTGCCCATGATGTTTATCCATGCCCCGTATTGACACTTAGCTGAAAACCAAAAGCGCCAAGAACTGCACTAACTAGATTCACCTGGTTCGATTTCGATTCGGATTCGGCCATGGATTTCAGCTGGCCTCGCAAGAGCTGGGACCCCGCAGCGCTGTTCTTGCTGCACCTCGGATGGCCTTTTCGGGAGCAGCGTGGAAGCGACATGCGCGCGGATCCAACACGCATCAGGGTTGGTGAAGTCGTTTTGCTGTGAGTTCGCAAGGGGTTTACTTTGCCGGGCAGGCATGCAGAGTGGGGCGCTGGCTTTCGTGCCAAGGACAGCTTCGGCAGCTGGAGCCGCATGCCTTTTCCAGTGGTACAAAGACTGCCAGCTGCTTCTATCCCTGGGATTGCATCTTGGAGCCGTTTGTTTCTGCGGGACTTTCCGACGCCTCAGTGCTTGTCGACCGCGCCAAGGTATCTTCGAAGATGTTTGGGGGGCCGCTGCCGCGAGGTTGAAGGCAAGGGCTTGCTTGGGCAGTTGTGGCGGATGTGCCATGATTCTGCTCATTTGGCAAACGCTTTTTTCTGAAAGTGAAACGAAGAGCCGACTAGGAAGGTGGCATGCGGAAGTCCCGGCTTGGTGCACGAATTCATGATCTCCTTGCGGCCCGGGCATGGAATTTCAGAGTAGCTGCCAAAAGCAGATGAGGTTGTGCTGGGGAACTTATAGGCACCATGCATAGAAGCGTTGCTCTACGGGTAACTTTGCAATTTCCATTCATTCTTCTTTCCGGAAAGCCACCGAAAACGTGAAGGACACGGCTGGTTGTCAGGAACAATGTGTGAAAGTAATGCAACACCAACCTGGATAAGCAAGTCGCAGCCTTCATTTGCATAATCACTTAGCTTATGCTTGATTCTGCCAGGGCCAGATGGGCAGACGAAAGTAGAAGGCACGTTGTCCCCTCTTGGGGGCCGCTTTACTCCGTTCCGACAGCAAGTCGAGACCACAAAGAGCGCCAGATCAACCGGGTTGCCCCTTCTATGCCTTGAATGCCGGCCCTGAGGAACATAACTTTTAGAGAAATGACGGCCCAGCGCACAAAGAAGAGTGTTACTCGCCAGAGAGATCAAGAGGCTCCATGCGTTTGTCCCAGACATTTGCATGCTTGCCCAAAGGGAGGGGCCTGAGGCGGAAGCCAGACCAAAGTTCCTGATGGTCCCGAATTGGAGGACCTTGGAGCTGGAGAAGGAGTCGCCGAACCATGCGCGCACGTGTTTTCGTGTTTTGTCCTTTGGTTTTTCTCGGGGGGGGTGAGAGAGGAAGGAAGATCTGATGGGCGAGCTTGGGAGGAACTTGGACGCTTGAGCCAACATCTTGAAAGCAGGTCAAGCTGACAGGTTGGAAGATCGAAAACGCCGGTTTTGTGCGGCCAGCGTGCGCAGGAGGCCAGCGGCCTCAGTGGGGCAGTGGTGAGGTGAGACAGAGAAGGCAGGGACTGGTTGGAGCCCAGGCTCCTGTGCCTTGAAACTGCGCAAAAAAAAAAGAAAGAAACCTGATTGTATTGCTCAGAGCTTCCATTTTCCTGACATGCGGCAGAGCAGAAGCAACCAACCTCCAGCCGACGCAAAAAAGCAGCCGGGCGCTGTGAGAAAGGCCAGGCCCCGAGCTGGCCGCATGTCTAACGCTGGTGATAGGCCCAAGCTGAGGGCGGCCTTGGGGACAAGACTTGGGGGTGTCTGTGTTTAGGGCCCCCCGAAAAGTAGCTTCCTGTTGATTTCGCTTCAAAACCCGGCAAAAGAGGGTTCCTCCAAAACAAGGACAAGCCCAGTTGCCTACAAAAGCTTGATTCTTTAAGCCCCCGCGGCCCCCCGCTCAGCCAAGACCTGCGCAGGCGTGCTGCCTATGCGCCGGGACCGGGAACAACTACGGAAGCGTACCTGCCAGGCAAGCAGAAGATCTACTTGAAGCTTGGGCGCTCGTGCCATATTTTTTTTGACCTATTGTGAGGGTTCTCACACAGGTCAAGTGAGTTACTTCTTATTTCTTTGAAGCCTACGGGCAAAGGGTCAGAATAGCCGACAGTCTATGTCGGCAACATAGCGCTTTCCCCTCGAACTGTTAGATGCTGCAAAGAGAACCTGCAAGCATGGAATGCACCATGTCCCAGACTCACACCTTCAGTGGATTCTCGAGAATTGTACGACCTCCCTGTCGCTTCGCCACATGTTGGCATGTAGGACGGATGGTTCCGGCCTGGTTCCGTCTCGATGTCCTCTGCCCGACAAAAAAAAGACTCCTGCGCTGGCCTGGGGCGATCGACGATGGGGGCAATCCTCCACGTTCTCTGGACTATTCTGGACTCCAACCAAAGCTGCGTCGCCTCCACTGACATGTCTTACACAGGCCGCTGTCTGGGGGCCTGTGTGGAGCAAAGCACCCTCCAGACCGCTCATCATGTAATGCAGGTCGCAGGACAGTTTCAGCTTCACGCTGACCATTTTCTGCCTCGCGAACCTGCAGATTGGCATGCGCCTTCTCCACGCCTTCATGGCGGACACGCCCGCCAGCTCGCCGGTCGCCTTTCAAGCCTGCCACTTGGCCTGCCGTGACAAGGATGACTTGGCGGTGGCCGGAGTCCGCGCGCTCCGGCATGGGCGCGACGTTGGTTTGGCGCTCCAACGCTGTTTTGGGTTACGTGCGGGAGGCGCCTTTTGCGGCGTCTGGAGCCTGCAAGCAAGCTTACTGCGAAGGGTGTTTGCGAGATGCATTGCAAAATCAACCTGCTGAATTCCGCTTGGGGGTGTTTGCGCTTGGCTTTGTTGGTGCTGCTTCTGCCCTGCCTCTGGATCTGCGGCGGGAAGTAGCAGGCCAGGCTTGCGGCAGGCAGGTTGGCCGAGCAGGCCAAACGAAAGAGTAGAGCTCTGCGCTTGTGGACGCGGCGCTCGTGCCGTTACCTTTTTTGGTTTTTTGCGCCCTCACTGCCCGGTCACTGCCCTGCCTACCATCTGCTTTTGTGTGCCCCAGAGGCACGAGGCCCAGCGCGAGGCCCAGCGGCTTGTTGCTGCTAGGGAAAGGAGAATGGCAGGGCAAACCAAACATGCCAAACAATACAGCTCCATGATGACACCCCTGGTCAAACACCGAGGTATCTCTTGCAAATGTCTTCGGCAGATTTGTTGGGTCCGGAGATCCTTTCCGAGGGCCGCAGAGAGCTGAGGAAGACCTATGGCTGCGCTCACAACAACTCGGACAGTTGCTCGGATGCCAGTTAGAGCCGGCATCCCTGAACCACCCGGGGTTTCTGGCGTCAGGTGTCTGTGGGTCAAAACCAATGGTACCATTTTTGGGTAGATGCACCACCCACTTTAGTCTATTTTAGTGGCTTTAGGATGTTCACTGGTCACTGGGGGCTAACCGGGCTTTTGACCCATGGCCAGGTGAGTTCATGATGGGCTTGCTGCAAGACTACGGCTACAGCTTCACGGAGACCTGGCAAGATGCCGACGCACTGGTGGTGAACTCTTGCACTGTCAAGGGCCCCAGCCAGGACACAGCGGAACCAACAGAAAGGAGGTTTCAGCCTTGCCGGTGAAACTGCCGATTTGGAAAATTCGTTCGTTCGTTAGCTAGTTGGCTTGTTAGTTAGCTAGACGATCAATCAGTTAGCTAGTTTGTTGCTAGTTAGTTCGTCCGTTGTTTGCCTATTGTTTGTTTGTGTTTGAGTCTGTTTGCCGGTCTGTCTGCCTGCTTGCTGCGCGAATAAAGTGCGCCCGCAGCGCATGAAGTGTGCCACAGGCCATGATGCAAAATTTTGCCGTGGACAAGTCGATATGCCATGGCCTTTTGGCAAGCCACTGCGTTTGCCATATTGCAAGAAATTAGACGATCATTCTTAGGGCTCCTAGGAATGGAACCACGTCAATGGCCCGCACAAGGCATATTGACCTTGACACATGTGCCTGTGCATTTTGCCAAGCGCTTCCGCGGGTCAGACATTTAGTCTCTAGACACGCTCAACTCTTGCAGCAAGTTTTCGCACATCTTGAGCTGGGAGGATGTCAGTTGCGGGCCTCGAATCTCTGCGAACAGAGTGCCAGACGTGTCCAGCGCCCATTCCTTTTCAGGCTGCGGCTATAGGGGCGGGCCAGGATACGCCCCGGCCAACACAAAAAAAAACGGGGCCCGTTAAAGCATTTGATTTGATCTCGGCTCGAGCGCCTGCAACATTCTAGGAGTACCGTTGAAAATAACGATGCTTGAAAAGAATGGACCAGGAATCCACCGGCTTTCCTATGCGTGTCATGAAAGCGCTGGAGTGGGCCCGCCTTGCGGGAGTGTGCCGACAAAACCCGCAGGACTCGGCCGTGAACTTGGTGAAGGGCGCCCGGGCGGCCGGGAAGCCCGTGGTCCTGGCCGGCTGCGTGCCCAGCGCCGACGCCGGCCTGGCGCGGAGCATGCAGGACGCCGCTCGGAAGCGGGGAGGGGGAGCTCGAGGTTGATGTCATTCGGGGACGTGGAGTGCATCGGTGCATGGGGTCGTTTGCATTGGTCAAGGAATTATGACAGTCTTGTGGCTTTGGTTTTGTACCGTTTGTGGTTTTGGTGGCTTTTGCGGCTTTCCGTGCTTTTTGCGGCTTTTGGTGCCTTTGTGAGGAGACCCCCTTGAGGTGGCTTCAGTTTTCCTTTTGATTTCCCGAAACCAACCCCCTTGTTGGGATACCACCTCCAAAAAAGACGAAGCACTCTATCCAAACAGAGCTGAGGTCAGCATGCTGGGCGTCTCCCAATTGGACCGTGTTGTGGAGGTGGTAGAGCGGTCACTGCAAGGGCACACGGTCAGCCTTCTGAACCACCGGAGCTCGCTGCCTTCCTTGGATCTTCCCAAGGTCCGCAAGAACCGCTGCGTGGCGGCTTGCAGGAAACAACATATACGGCGTTCTCACAAAGTTTTGAGGCCAACTATGCCTTGGAATGGTGTTTGGAGGAAATGTTGGCGTGTCTGCGGGCCTGTGATGATGTACAGTTTTGCCAGATGCCTTGCCAGACGCAGCATGCCTGGGTTAGCAGCGCAGCCCAGGAAATCATTCCTATCAGTGGTGGCTGCCTGGGCAACTGTCGAAGCCTTGGTTGGGCTTTGAAGGGCTCACAGCTCCAACAGCTGATGGTTCAGTAGCTTCCACTTATGTTGACTCAACTTGCAGGGGTGTGCAGGGTGAAGCAGTTTCTTTTCGTTTTGTGGTCCGAGGCTCTTACTGCAAAACAAAGCACGCGCGGGGCTCCCTGTCCTCCTACACTGAGGAGGCTGAGACACGCCTGTCGACGCCATGATGCCATGCCATGGACCAAGCAGAGCTGCGGTGTGCATGCTTGGGAGGCCATCGTCGCCCGCGCACTGCAAGCCGTGGCAGAAGGCGTAAGCGAAGTATGGCTCACATCCGAGGACACAGGCGGGGGAAGTTGGCAGCACACGGCCAGCAAAATCAGCAGTTGCAAGAGATCATGAGGGGTTGCAGTGCAAACCAATGCAATGGTTGTTTGGTTTTCAGGTGCATATGGCCTGGACATTGGAACCAACATTGCTTTGTTGCTGCGGCGCGTGGCGGACGCCTTGCCGGAGCATGCCGGGCCCCCGAGCGTTATGTGTGAAGCTGACGGGCCCGCCCACAGAGGTTTGTCTCGATTGTGTGCCATCAATATCAGGCATTTGTTGCGCTCCTGAATCGAGTTCACCACGTTTCCACAATAAATCAAGTGCAACCTCGCCGTGGTGATGCCTAGGCCATGCTGAAGCTTGGCATGACCAACCCGCCCTACATGCTGGCGCATATTGATGCAGTTGCAGAGGCGGGCTTGGAAAGTCAGAGGAATTGTGCAACCTCCGCAGTGCTTCGCGTATCTGCCAGTTTTCATTCTTTTCTTTGGGTGGCGGCGGGGGGGGGGGGGGGGGCAAACTTCAGCATGGTTCGGGATGCTGTCCGATCTAGGCACAGGCCTCGTTCGGTGTTTGTCAGGTGCTTCGGCGGCCCAACGTCTTCGAATACCTCCATGTGCCTGTGCAGTCTGGCTCGGACGCCGTGCTGAGAGCCATGGTGCGCCACCTGGCACGGGAGGTTTGAGCTGGGGCAACTTTTCAGGTTGCTCTTCCAACCTTTGACCCTGCAAGCAGTGCTTAAGAACTAGTATGCCTGCTGAGCAGCTCGATCCCTCCGATTCAAATTGGGGGGGGGGCATTCCTTGAGCCCAAGGGTTTCTGGGATATCGAGGTTTCCATTGCATACATTTGCGAATCTCTCTTTCTGCAACGCCCATGTGACTTTTGCCATGCTTTTAGGTTCCATTTGGTGTCCATCGCGGCATCGGTTCCTGAATGGTCCGGTCCCGGACGTTTTGGTTCCATCCGGTTCCTCAGTTGCGCCGGTTGGCACAGTTCGCCGCGGTTCGATTCTCGGTTGAGGTTCGGTTCCGGAGCCTTCGGATCTCCCCTCGATCATGCCGTATCATGAGAGGTGCCAGACCTGTCCGAGGAAGTCAAGCCCATGATTTTAGCTCTATGTTCTGCAGCGGGTTCCGTGTTTTGTCTTTGCCGTTGATCGCCAGAGGTGTGCCATTGGCCCGTCACGCCTCGCCTGAGGCGAGTACACCTCCGCAGACTTTCGGAACTTGGTGGACGGTCTCCGTGCCCAGGTCCCGGACCTCTTCCTCGGCACGGACGTGCGGGGGTCCCGGAGCGAAACCGCTGTGGATAGGTGGGGTGGTGCTGCTGCGCGAGGAAAGTCATTCGGGGGGTTTAAGGCCTAGAGTAAGGTTACATGTGTAAGCACTGAACAGGGCGCACCATTTCCAGTCATTCTAGTCGACCAAAGAGGTATTGATCCGGGCGTTGCCCGTCCAGGCCATGTTGACTTTCCAGGCTGTGCGTGGATTTTGGTGCCGAGAAGGCGCCCCAATGCAGGACACAGATTGGGTTGATTCCACGAATCTGAGGATCTGCGGCTTCCCAGCAGAGGGCGAGGAAGACCACCGCGCTTCCATGGACTTGGCCGCTCGGTTGGGAGCCAGAGTGGCATTTTTGCGCGTCCTTTGTGGAGCCCCCTCCCAGCCGGCTAGAGTCATGATTGAAGCGCAAGTCCGTTTGTTGGAATGCACTCGCCAACCTTGCAGGTTCGCGAGTACCACTTTCCCATGCTGAACATTTCCCAGTTCTACCCCCGCCCGAACACGCCGGCAGCGCGATTGAAGAAGCTGCCAGGGAACGTGGTCAAGGCTCGGAGCACGGCTCCTTGCCAGCAGATGTCAGCAGCGGGCCCCTAAGACAGCATGTTGCCCTGGAGCACGGGCATGTACACCACCGTTCGGACAAGTCATTTGCACTTCTCTCCGGCCTGATTAAGATGTTCACATTGATTTCGACTAATTAGCCGCATTCTGAAGCTGAACAGACAAAGGCTGCAATTCTGTCGTTTCATGCCCGCAGTGAGGAAATGACACAGCTCTTTGAGTCCTACCGAACCTGGGACCACCTCGTGGGTCAGACCCAGCGTGTTTGGTTCTCGGACACCGATGAGAAGCATGCGCAGACAGCGGCTTGCTTGAAAGGCGCTGTGGCCAGGACTTTCCACCACCGCGTTTCAAATCGTAACCGAGTCACAAGTGCAACATGGGGGCAGAGGAAAGACTGGCAAACCAACCATTTCCCTCTCCCATCCCTTCACTTCATCTGGATTTCCAAATCCCAAGATGAAGAGGGATGATAGGAAGGGAAAGGGATGGAATGTAGATGAAAGAGGATTCACTCGTCAGCGGTTTCCATCTCTCCCGCTGTATATCTTCCTTTCACTTCCTTCTCCTACATCCATCCCACGGCCTCATCTAGAGATGAAAAAGGCCGGGAAAGGAATGGATGGAGACAGAAGTGAGGAAGGGATATGATTGGAGGCATTTCCCGTCTGTTAATCCTGGAAATTGGTAAGCCTCCATCACAAAGGAGCTGGTATACCTGTCCCTTCTAATTCCCAAGGTGAACCGCTATGACGAAGAGATGAGGAATGAAGCGGTGTAATGCTGTCTGGTTCCTTCGTGTCTCTGGGATTTACAGGTGTTGACGGTGAAGAAGTAACTAGATGACGAAGGAATCCCATCTCCCATTCCCACTCCTCTCGTTCGGGAGTGTCCATGAGATGAAGGTAGATGGGAGAGAGTGGGATAGAGGGAAATTCCTTGGCAGTCAACAGCCGGTCCTATGTCCCAAGCCTATCTCCATCCCATGTAATCACCTGGAGACGACGGAGGAGAAGGAAGGGGATGGATGAGGATGGGTTGGGTCATTCCTTTCTCCCAACCATCTAATCTCATCCAATATTATTTATTTTGTCCTGCTCGTTTTCCTCAAAGGCATTGCTTTAGCAATCTGTGGGTTGTTCTGGAAATGTGGAGTTACGGCAAGGCAGCAGCTTGTTCCTTCTTCCCCAAAACCAGTCTGGGTTGAGTTCTCCTTTAGCCTAAGCCGACCGTCGGCAAAACGTCGGTGCGTTTTGCTCGTGGGCGGAGGCCGCCGGGATGGAGCCAACTGCCGGATGCCATATGCTTGAATAACAAGGTGCTCTAGAAAGCAGAGGAGCCAAACAGCTAAGCCAAAATGCCAAGCAGCCAAAACGGCAGGAACCTCGGAGCCAAGAACCCACCAAACCAAGAAGCCATAAACCAAAAAGCCAAAAGTGGTGCTGGGGGTGCTGCTGAGAATGCGGCAAGCCCTCCGGACAATGCCAGACGCCAAGGGAGCGAAGATCCAAGTGACGATCAAAGGACAAGGGTTCAGCAACCGACTGACGGGAGCCAAGGGGTCCCTTTTAGGACCAAGAGACCCAAGGCCCGAGCCAAGAGGCCACAAGACTAGACATAATACAGGAAAATTATGAAAAATGATTGCTTAGACGGCTGTTTGATACCAGAAAGTTGGCTTGATTGCCGAGAAAGTGTTGTTTGATGGCCATCGCCCGACAACAAGGGGCACAAGTTTCTGATGTTTGACAATGCCGAGAGCTCGACTGAGTTGTGCGAACAGGCTTTGAAGCCCCACAATTTCCTTGTTTCCTCTTGGTTCCCTTTAAAAACTAGTAACAAGGAGGGACCCCCTCCAAGAAAGACACACCCATGTGGCTGTGGGTCAAAACCAATGGTACCATTTTGGGGTAGGTGCACCACCCATTTTAGTCCATTTTAGTTGGGATTGGGATGTTCACTGGGGGTACGATTTGCATTTTGACCCATGGCCATATGTTGCGGTCCTGCGATCCCTTGCCACGTGTTGTTGTCCCATTGGCACGGGCTGGCAGGTTGGCCACACCAAGGGCTACGCCAAGGTGGTGGTGACTTGGACCTGCCCATTGGAGAAGTTTTCAGCAGGGTGTGTGTGTGTGTGTGTGTTGCTTGCTTGCTTGCTTGCTTGCTTGCTTGCTTGCTTGCTTGCTTGCTTGCTTGCTTGCTTGTTTGTTTGTTTGTTTGTTTGTTTGTTTGTTTGTTTGTTTGTGTGTGTGTGTGCATCTCTGCTGTGCCACATGATCAGTTGACTTGACCCGCAGCGCTGCTCGCAAATGCACTTGTCCTGGGCCAGTCGTACGCCTGCATCCCACAGTATTTTCCCTTTTCCTCGCCGACTGTTGTCCCCACGGCAACTTTTGATTCCACTGCCAACGCCCAAGGGCCCAAAGTGGGAGAACCAGCTTTGGCAGTTTTCTTTTGAAGGGGCGTTTAGCAAGGTGCCGCGGGACGCTGCTTGGCTGCAGAACGGGCATTTTGCATTGCGTGCCATGGCCCGGCCACGTTCGATAAGTTAGCCGGAGACGATCCAGATAGATGGCAATCAAAAGCTGCTCCGTGGTTTGGCGACCCAATCTGGGGTTGTAGCTGGTGAGCTGTCGGCGCAAATTGATCCGTGGGCCTTGCCAGGATCGGCTTTTGGGAAGAAGCGCCATGGTGAAGTTGAGGCACGCCACAAAGTGGCATGTAGAAGGCCATCTTGCCTAATCCCACGGTTGAAGGCCATAGCCGCCATAGCCTTCTGTACAAAGAGTGGTGCCAGCAGCTCAGCAGCTTCCGGAGGCTGGGCGTGGAACGCTACCTGAGTTAAAGTTGAGCACAGGGTTTCATGCTGGACTTTGGAGGCTCAAGCTGATGTGCAGCGCCTGCCGGCGAGGGTAAAGCGTCCAATCGGACGCCGGTAAAACCCAAGGCACATCGGCGCAGATGGGATAGGTGCTACCACCCTTGCACCATGCCACACGTGCTGCCGCGATTAGAAAAGGGCGGCCGTTTTGGATGTGTGTGTTTTTTTCTTCGCATGTGGGTATGTGAGCCAATGCTTTGGGATCGACTGCAAAGGCCGGTTGAACAGATGGCAACGAGAGCAACACTTCTCAGAAAGACACAGGCAGAAAGCCATAAGCTTAGCAAAGGAAACTTGTGTCTTCCAAGGAAGCTAATTAGTATAAAGCCAACTGCTCGAATGGTGACACACTTCTTCTCCACACTGAATTGTTGACACAACAAGTGCAGGCGCAGGCATGGCGTGACCAGCGAGCTTTTGAAACTGTCAAGATGGGTTAAAAAGTTAAGGTAAATCCAGAAATCTGACATGGGATTCCTTTTACTTCGCTGGCGACTCCCGGGATGACCAGTTGCCAGGCCGTTGTGGACGCAATGCACTTGGACGTTGCGACCACTGACGTGGCCACCCTCAAGCAGGCGCCAAACAAGACATCCCTTCACCTGACTATGATATTTTGGTTGAAAGCGCCCTCCCAAGGTATCGGTGGACATAAAACTTTCCGGTCCCCAATGATCCCCATGTAAATGATGTCTATGAAATGGTCCGCAATGAAATTCACAACCGCTTTGCACCATTCAGTGGGGAGAACAGGGTAGCCGCTTTGAGGGTTTGGGTCGCGCAACAGGCGCCATCGTTCCCTCAAAGGTTGCGAGGTCGGCTCCTGATTGTGAAGCGCGCCCAGGCGAGAACGAAGCTGCTCAATGCCCTAGCTGCAGCACAAGAGGCGGCTGGGCTCGGGCTTTGATTTCCATGCGGCTGCTTGCGCATCAGTTCTTTTCTTCCCATGCCTTCAAAGTTCAGGCTTGCACTCTGGGACTCTTATCCGAATTCCGACTTCTGCACCATTGCACCGCTTGTGATGTGCCTAGCAAGGATGTTTGTGCCGCACCGGGCAAAAACAAACACAGCCTGCTCTCCTCAAATAGACTCCACTATTTGCGTCTGTTTTCGGGCGAAGCCAACAACTTTATATTATGTTGACACAGTTGTTTGCACCCAGAAGCAGGCTGGCAGGGAAAGTCCGCACGAAAGTTATGGGACAGGGGGTTTGGGGTCTGAGCGGGACCAAACAACCACGTCTTGGCGAGAGTCTTACCTTGGTATAGGCATCCAATCCTTTGGCATCGGATTTCTCAGCGCTTGAATGGATCAGGCAGAGCTGCCGCGAGTGGAACGCAGCGTGGCAGAGCAGCAGCGGCGGCGCTTGCACAATGCACTTCAGGAGGGGCCAAATTTCACTTGAAGCGGCTGGAGGGTGGACCACCCTTTTTGTTTTTGGTGCAAGCCACTACTCTGTTGGGATGATCTTCATCAAGATATAAATATAATGTTGCCAGCAACTGGTCTTTTCTCGGGAATGTGCAAGATGATGAAGGGCCTACTTCAATAGCATTCCGATCGTGATCAATGGTCAATCCAATTTTGCCCAGATAGTCCCAAACAGGGGCGAAAAGGGGTGCTGAAGGCATAGATGAATAAGCTCATGCATACTCATCGGTGTGTCTCAGCAGCCTTCCTGCCAGTCATGTTCACAGCTTTGGTGAGCAACCGTGCTCTTCACAGCGTTGCGGAACATGACAATACTGTGCTATTCAAAGCTCGTACTCATTCATCCTTGTTTGCTGAGCGGGGCGGGCGTGGTTTTTCTGCAGCTGTCGTCTCGGAAGGTTGTGCCCAAGTCCTCAGTCACATGGGAGTCACATTGCTTTGGTGCAACATCCTCAGCGCAGATGTCAAGCAAGCCAGTGCTGAAGCAACAGCCCGTCTACTTCCTTCATTTGGGCCTGTTTAAGAATGACAAGCCAATGCAATGGGCCAATGCACCACATTTGTTCCAGGTGTCACGCGTCACCTCGCGTCACATAGTGCGCCATGGCCGGCACCAGCGCCCAGCGCCGCCTGCTGCGGGATTTCAAGAAGATGACCGCGGATGCGCCCTGCGGCATCAGCGCAGCGCCGGTGGGGGACGACTTGTTCCACTGGAGTGCCATCGTGCTGGGGCCCATGGACACCCCCTGGGAGGGGGGCGTCTGGAAGCTGAGCATGTCCTTCACGGAAGGGTATCCCCAAGAGCCACCCATGGTGAAGTTTCAGACTGAGGTCTTTCATCCCAATGTCTTCTCGGATGGGCAAATCTGCCTTGACTTGCTGAAGGCACCTGGTTGGTCGCCTGCCTTTGACGTGAGCACCATCTTGCTCGCTATTCAGTCCTTGCTAGCTGACCCTGGTACCCATGCGACGCCAGAGGGCGGGGCGAACCCAGATGCGGAATCGCTGTACGTGAGGGACCGGCAGGGGTACAACGCAAAAGTCAAGGCTATGGTGGATAAACAGCTTGAACAGGATGACATGGGCTGCCTTAGTGCGGTGCCTTGAGCGCATTTCCGAGCGTTCGTTTCACCCTAGATTTGGATAGACTTGCGCAAAATAGTGGCTCGAGGTGTTTTGATGTGTTGTGAATGGATGTGCTCGACCTTGGTCGGCTTGTGCTGTCGCATAGGGCTTATGCTTGACCCACTTGATGCCAGCACCAAAGCTTGAAGCTGCTTTTTGGAACATGAACACTTGGCACCGGGTGGTGTCAATTATCAAATTCCATTGAGGGAAGTCGTCCGAGTCTTTCTGGAAAGTTTGAAAGGAATCACCTAAACGGGATGAACTCGTTATTAGCTGCATCCGAGCCATGCTGAAAAGGAATCCCCAAACCGGGGTAATGGGAACCCAACATTGATAAACCCCTCCTGGTTGATCAATAGGGGGTGTCCCCTTTTATTCGGGAACAACCCCTATTCTTATGGGTTGATCATTCCGGGGTCAACATTTGTGGGCTTGGTCAGGATATGAAAGGCCAGCTCCGGGTCTCCTGCCGCATCCGGCCGCTCAGTGCGCCCGTTTGCGTTTTCGGGGTGGGAGGGACACCAAGCGTATCAGGACTCACTCCCTGAGTTTCTGGACTTATCTTGGGAAAGACCATTCTAGTTGCAACAAACAAGTGGACTTTGTTTGGCCAATGCACTCTTGATGTGAGGCGGGGATCCTTGGTGTTGGCCCGAGGGTGTGGGGCAGGGACAAGCGTGTGCCCCTTCAGCGCTGTCAAATCGCTAAACTGTATGTTGCACGCGAGACCCCACCACCTGAAGTGTGGCCTGGTGTTTGGCTTGGCACTGGTTTGTCAGATCTTGAAAGACTGAGCATCGATTTTGATGCAGTGCAAACACAGTCTCCTGCGATTCGAAGCGCGCAGCCATAAGCTGATGCACTGAACGAGGGCCACTTTCCGCATGCGGCAGGTGCCAAGGAGAAGGCCAAGGACAGTGCACACGCGGTGGTGCCTTTGGACACCTCCCGTGTTGAAATTACGTTGCCGGACTTGCCGCCACAAGTGCCGGGAGCCTTACTTGGTAGCCACAGGCGGGGTCCACTATGCCGCTTCCCCGGTTTTCCTGAGCTTTGCCCGCACGCGGGTGTGTCTGAGTATGGGTGGGGGTGTTTGTGTGAGTGAGTGCACGTCAGAACTAGGAGTTTTCTTGGCTGGTTTGGCGGTCCTAGTTCTGACGCATTCACACGAGAACAGGAAAGCAGACGAAAGCGCCGCGCACGTGCCGCACTGAGGTTCGAGTTCGACAGCGTGTTTCGCCCAGATGCCCCGCAGCAAGTCGTCGAGGACTGAGCCATCAAGACGTGAATGCACAGTCTGGGAGCATGCAGCCGGTTGAGCTGCGGCTTTCCTGACTGCATGAGCATGCATATTCTGCAGCTCCGCCTTTTCAGTTGACTGCGCCAGCACAGGAGTTGTAGGTTGGAAGGCCCATACAAGTTTGGACGGCTTGGCACTGCAGCGCCCACAAAAGCACAGTTGACGTCCGCAATTCCTGACAAGAGCCGAGGTACATCCTTGTATAACAACAAGCTTAAAAAAGCCCGGCGTTGCCGCGCCCAAAGGTTCCACAGCCTCGACTCGAAGTTTCCGCTGTGAGTAACTGCAACGCGCATTGGGTGAAGGTTGGTTCACTCTCCGAAGCGCATCCGAAGCGCGCTGGACGTGGGCAGGAGATCTTTGAGGACTGCCGGGATCTGGTGCAGTCGGCCGTGGATGGCCACAATGCCCAGCCGGCACGTCCGCTGCAAGTCTGTTGGAGCGTGTGATAGTTGACTTTGAGCCGAATTCAGGGCCACAGGGTGCCAAACTGAACTCCACAACTTAAGAGCCGCAAAGCACGCCACCGCACTGGAGATGCCAGGTGACGGTGATGACCTATGGGCAGACCGGCGCTGGGAAGACCTACACATTGCCAGGATCCTGGATCCCGTGCTGGCCAGCGGGAGGCAACAGACCTTGGGTCCAGAACTGCCCGAGGTTTGGAAGCAAAGATCAGGAGGGCTTGGTGCAGTACATGATTCGCCCCTCGGCATAGCAACCCATGAATGCCAGCGCCTGGCTGTGGCCGACCTCCATCCCGGACCCAAATTGGTGGGAAGCACTCGTTTCGAGCTTCACTCAATAACTGCAACTTAGCCTCGCAAGGCTTGCACGGATTTCCGGGAGGTTACAAACAAGAGTGTCAGACTCATACTTGGCAGGCGAGGTTTTTGCTCGACTCTCTGACCACGAAGACGGGCAGGCAACAGCCGGGGCAGCAGGGGATCTCGAATATAGATCTTTAGTCCGAGTTGCAGGCTTTTTTGTTCCGGGGTGTTTTGCTGACACACCGAGAGTCACAGTCACACCTGGGACCATGTGGAACCGTGAAGCCCCTTCACCCCGGCCATTTTTGATGCAGTCACGTCCAACTGGCCCCCTTGCCGGGCATGGGTGCCTTACACTTGCGGCAGGCTCGCAAGGTCACTGTCACCGGCTCTGCCTTGGAGTGGGCAGCTCACACATGTCGATGTCGCACGAGCGCTCGGCAAGTTGTGGGTAGCGAAAGGGCAGGATTGATCCCGCTACTCCTGCCTGAGGCTCTACAACAATCACTTCATCGATCTCCTTCGCCCCATCGACCGCACAGGCTGGTTGAAAAGTATTTGGCGAGCAATGCCAGCCTGCTCCAGCTGCATAAAGACCTGCCTGATAGCAGTTGGTAAAAGATGACCAGCAGCTGGACAATTGCATATGCGCTGGTGGCTCGCTGAAGGCTTGCCCCGAACGCATCGTGACAAGCAAGCGGGACCAGTGTCAGTAAGAAAGAGGCTTATTGCTTTGAACATGCGCGGAGGCCGGCAAAGCCCTGGCGTGAAAGTATGCGCCTTCCTCAGCATGAAGCTGACGTCGGAAAGCCATAGCCTTTCATTTGCGAGTGTCACATTTGAAGGATCATGGCTCACAGAAGGGTCACTGCCTGCCGGATACATTTGGATAGTCTTGTGCGGAGAATGCCGGAAAGCTTACCTCAGGCGTCGATGCGCAAGGCTGTGTGGAGGTGGATGGGCTCGCCTCAGCCTCGAGAGGGTCGCAAGAACCAAAAGGGTGCCAAGCTTTGAGAGTCGCCTACCACTTCAAGGAAGCCAAAAGGAAAAACACCTTGAAGTGGGTTCCCCCTGGTGGGCTCCCCCTATTCGAAGGTGCCCCCCCTCGACGCACCTCGTCTACACTTGCGGCTCTTTGGCTCCGCCGGACCGGAACTGCCACCACCGGAACCCTGAGGCGCAGTTGGTGGCCCAAGAGCCCTCGGAGCTGCTGCAGATCTTGCAAAAGGGCCTGGCGCAGCCCGGTGGCTCGGGGATCAGAGGGAAGGGGCCGGGTGGCTGAGCGGTGGGTTTGGGGCCCGTTTGGGGCCCGTTTGGGGTGGGTTTCTGGAGATGCGCAAGGCTAAAATTGTTGGGCTCCCTGAGTTTTCAGGAGTTCGAGAACGCGGAAGAAAGGTCACACTCGTGTAGCAGTTTGCTGAACTTGCAAAAAGGCGTTCTCCAAGGACGGATGTCTTCAAGAAAATAGCTTCTGAAGGCGTTGATTGGGTCAGCTTGCCATGGCGAATGGGTTGAAACCGTTCCGACATGGCTTGACACAGATTGACAGTGCAGCACAAAGCCAGTGGCGAGAAGTGTTTGGACACCCTCCTATTAGCTTGCAAGTTCGGATGGTCGACCTTACCACTGAGGGGGTTGCGAAGATTTGAAGACTCCGTTGACAATGAAGTGAAGATTTGCATTTTTGAAAGCTGGAATGCTTTCCGAAGAATGAGCGGCTTGTATTTTGCCCGCCAAGGAGCACCGTGTTCAGGGCAGAGGGGGCCATGTCACGACCAGCGTTGGCGAAAGGAGCAACTGCAGGATTTGGGCTGCAAACTGATTGCAACGGGGATTCTGGGGAGCAGTTCATGCACGTGACTGAGGCGTGTTGTTGCAGAGCATGCGATGAATGCAGACAGCTCGCGTCGGAGACTCAGCTTGAAGATGTCCGGCGAGGGTGACGGTGTGCTCCATGAGCGGCCTATTTCCCCCACATCTGGTTTCAAACTCACCAAGGCTCCCACATGGTGTTCACAGTGCGGCTGGCCGCAGAAGGACCACTGCAAGATGTGAGCGCACAAAGCAAATTTGATCAGGTCCGATGTGGGACCAGCTGTGCAACCGCTTTGTGCTGTCGTAGCAGCCTATGGCGCCTTGTGGTTGTCTTGTGTACCTAGGACGCCGGGCGAGCCGCAAGCTGACTTTCTGCGACCTCGGAGGCTGTGAGAGGCGCGGCCGGGAAAGGAGCAGAGATAGGGGCACAGGCTTCCGCCTACTCCTGAACCGGAAAAAACGCTTCGTTACCGCATTGGGCTGGGAATGCCTTGGAACTGTTCCAGGCCACTCACAGTGAGACATGTGAATTTGGATGCCGTGAGTCAGATGAGCGAGCGGACTCAGGCTGAAGAAGTCGCAAGTGGCAGGCGACTTGCAGAAGGAGGCAAGGGTCATGTGGGATGGGCGAAGGAAGTACACAGTGGCTGCTGATATGTGGTGTTCTGGGTTGTGTGCTTGTACGCAGCTGAACTTTTCCCGCTGCTGCAGCATGGTATGTGATATCCTCTCGCTGACCTGATGGCACATTCTTCAGGTGCTTTAGGGAGAGGGATAAGACTTCTTTGAGGATCTAGAATCTAGAGATGGGCATTATCCAGGCAAGAAATGAGCAAAGGCAGCCCTTTTGTACAGGCGCACTGGCTTCTGAGAGCTGCGAGTTGTGGCTTCCCTCACATGCCCCGAGGTTGGCATATGGTTCACCGAAAGTGATAGCTATGGAGTTGGATCCTCTCACTCATTCGGAGCCGGGGTGACGGGGTGCCCAATTTCTTGGTTTCGGGTTTCGGCCGCAACCGCTTCAGACTTTAGGCGAGCTTCGGCGGTTTCTGCGCCAGGCCATCGAGATCAACAAATCCCTGAGTGCCCTGAGCAGCGTTATCGAGGACCGGAAATTCAGATGTCAGCAGTTCGTTTTTTTTTTTTTTGTGGGGGTGGGGGAGGGGGGTGGGGGGGGACTACGACTTGGGAAGGATGTTGACATGTCCTGATACAGTGATGCTAGCTAAATGACCCATGGACTGGCGAACGAGGGGATGAAACAGGTGTGAGCCAAGGCACTTTGAGGGCAGTGGAGGGGCGCACAAAGCATGATCATGGCAACTTCCCAGATCAGTCCAGTAGGTCCGAGAATACCAAGAACCAGACGTCGAAGGCAACAGCTATAGCCGGCCATGTTGTCACGCCAGGCTGTTGCTGGCCGAAGGCGGCATGTGCCCTACAGGCCAGGAGTTGGTGTTGCCAGTTTGTTTCTGCAAGTTGTGCCCGAGGGGTGCTGTTGCATTTGCATTGCTGGCCAGGGCAGGGGCTGGGTTTAACTGGGTGGGCTGCTATCAAAGTTGGGGATCTATTTCTGAGCGTACTCGAAAAGCCAAAGGACCATGCCCAGAAATATGAATAGGAGTCCACCACACCCAGCATTGTTGCTGTCTCACTGGAGCAAGCTGAACACGTGTGTCCTGACCCGTTCGGAATTTGGTCTGCCTTGTGCACGTCGCCAGCTTCAGGGATCATAAGCTCACTCGGCTGCTGCGCGACGCAGTGGGTGGCACTGCCAAAGTGCTGATGTACGTGGCGCCAGGCATGTTTGCTCGAAGTAGCCATGGTGAGCAGGAGCGTAGAAGAAGATCAAGCAACTCATGCCTAGTCGAGACAAGTCGAGTTTTGGGGGGTCTTTCTTGGCTGCTTGCGTTGTTGCGAGCCAGGTTTGCTGCTCCCCTGCGACGTCCAACATGGAGGAGAGCTATCATCAAAGTTGTCAATGGCCTAATGCTTTTTCTTTGGCTCAGAATCTCAGAAGTCCCACTGCCCTACCAACAATAGTCACGTTGGCAAACAGAAGCGCAGAACTAGGAACAGGAGTGGAGAAGTTTGCATAGCGAGGAGACGGCGGCAGCTTTGAAGCTTGCCTCCAGGGCAGCCAAGGCGGAGCTTGGGCTGTCTTGCGTTTGTTGCTTTAATTGGTTAGGGGCGTGGAAGAACACTTGGTGGTTGGGATCTAAGTGACCGGTCAAGCTGGGTATGTGTGGGGCTCCTGTTCTTGTTGGTTCCTGGAGACTTAATTAAGCCCTCTACTTGGTGGTTTGGAGCCCTTTTCCCTCCACCTCAAAAGGAGTGCCATGAGAGAACTTACTCTTCAAACACACGCCCATTTACCACTGACCAATCTTGGGTTACATATTTATTATGAATCAGCAGGGTCCGGCTAAATCAAAGGGTGGCTGAGAATCGGAGCAGTTTCCCAGTTGCCAACATGCATCTGGGCCCTGTTGTGAAGGAGGGTCCTGGAAAGGTGGCAAGCCGGGGGTATAAGTGACATGAGATCATGGTTGAATCTTGGCCGGTACACCGGAAAATGCCGAAATGCCTTTGCACCTCGACTCCCTCAGGCGAAATGAAGGATCCCTTTGGGTGTGGCTGGCTTGACCCATCTGGAGTACTTGGCCCTGGGTTTCAATTTGTGACCCTTTGGAGTGTCAAACTAAAAACATCCCTCCTACCTTAATAAAATTGGGAGGGGGGTTACGTCAATAAACAAAACATGTTTTTGGGCTTAACAGCCCCCCAAGCCCTACCCCCGCCGCCCCAAACACGCCGCCCTGCATGCTTCTCCCACTCGCTGGGCTCCGGCATGCACTCCGTGCACTCAGTCTCAGTTGGTTGTAACGCCAACAGTTCGGCCCCCAAAGTGCAAGGGCATCGGCAAGCAGATCGCGAGATGTGTGGTTGCGCATAGCAGCGCGCATCAGCGCGCAATATCGCGTAAAATCGCGCAGTTAGAAGGAGTGTGCTTGTTGAGAGCGCAGGAACGCCTTTATGTCGCAAGTAGTTTGGCTTGCTTTGTACGATTTTGTAAACAGGGTGGAGGGCCAGCCCCTTGCCCCCTGTGGATCCCCACCTTGGGGCAGCGTGCGGTGGAGCAGCTGCAGGGTCGCCTCAGCTTTCAGAAAGGCGCGCTTCCCTGAAACTGCCTCTTTTCATTTAGTCTGCTTACCGCCACTGGCGGTAAGCAGGCTAAACGCTCGGATCAAGGGATTTCAGCCAATATCCAGCCCTCGGATGGTTTAGTCTGCTTACCATCGTCGGTAAGCAGACTAAATGAAAAGAAGCAGTTTCGCGAAACTCATGACGCATCTGGTTTGCATTCTTTCTGGCCCCAAGGCTTAGCGTGGCAGAAGAGCAAAGAATAAAAAGAGAAGGAGATGATTGGGTAAGAAAAGAGAATTTGTGAGTGAGAAAGAAGAAGGCAGGCAGTGTGTAGGGCGTGCTGCCCCAAGGTGGGAGCACACAGAGGTCAAGGAGCTGGCCCTCCTCCTTGTGTACCAATTTGCAGAAAGCGGGCCAAACTACTTCAGACATGAGGCGTTACTGCGCTCTCAACAAGCTGCTGCCGGAGATCCTATGAGAGAGAGATGCGCAGGCGCGTGGGCCACAGCTCAGTCAGCTCAGTGCTTCGTCTACCTTGGGTTTTTGCAAGTGTGTGTCCTGGAGCCTGCTCTTGGCGGGTGAAAAAGAAGGCTTCAGGTCACTTGGCTGAAACGGGGGTCAGACGCAGCGCTTCCGCAGTTGTTCTCCCTATTTTTGCATTGCTTCAAAGAACGTCAAACACTGGCCGGAGCCAGCGTCCTGATTTAGTGTGTGTCAGCCGCGCCCGAAACCTTGCGGTGAACGCTGCTGGGTGGGATGTTCAAGTTGGGCTCACGCAGCGGACGGCCTGGGGCGCCGCGCCACGCATCTGAGAGCTTGCCGGGTCACGAGGCCCAGCGCGCCATTTCACAAGGCCCGGCGGCGCGCCGGCTCACAAGGCCCAGCGCGCCATTTCACAAGGCCCGGCGTAGGGCCCGGCGCGCCGGTTCGCGTGCCTTTTCACAAGGCCCGGCGTAACGGCGGCACGTCCGGTCCCGCAATTGAGGGTGCCGGGCCCCAATGCCCGGCGAAGGAGGCAGTGTGCCGAGTGACTCGACTGTCTGCGTTGCAGGTCACAGGGCCCTGCAAATATAACAGACCCCCCCTACGTCGATTGAAAAATAGAATGCTCCCGCCTAAGGCAGGGGGATCTAAAAACCATTGGCCGCGAATATGGGTCTTCCTGTCTCACATGTCTACTTTCGAGTTCGGAGCACGGATCTTGGGATGGAAGTAGATGGCACCTTGTTGCTCGCGGGGGCAAAGGGGGATGACTCATGGGGGCAATTGCTGCAATCTTTTATGCGAAAACGAACATGGACGAAAGAACCATACATAAATGCAATGTGAAAGGTATGAAGCCGGCGCTCTTCGTCTCAAACACAAAGAACGTTGTGAAGACCACTCATAAAATACTCGTCGGACTGACTGACTGATGCACATGCTCGCTGACCTACATCATGGTGATTTGATTTGGCCCTTGGATTGGTGAGCTCGTTAGAATATTGTCCAAATGTTGATCGTAAAATAGGGGACCCCTTCAAAACCGTAGGTGACCTTTTGTAAAGATGCATGTGTTGCCCCTCCCTGGAAACCAAGCATTTTAAAGCCCTGTTTTTGTGACGGCACGTTGCCCAACAACAGCCTGGATATCAGCTCTTTGCCCAGCCCAAATTCATCCCAAACCAACCGAAGACTCGCTCTCATTAATCTAAGCAAGCCCGCTGTATCCAATGAGGTAGTCCTAGCCCGAGGCGGTGATGCTGGGGATGCGGCCAACCGACCCCAGCTCTGTACCAGAAAAACATTTACAACCCCCAGCCTGTTTTTCAGCAGGCACTGAGGCTAGCGCCTCTTGCCTCTTAACCCCAACCCATAAGGCTCCGGGGCTGCCAGCCCTAAGAAAAGACCGGACCCAAGACAAACACAGACCTGGCAAAAACCAAAACAGTTCTACTGTTGCACAGAAGAGGCAGCCTCTTGTCCTTGTTCTGGCATCCCCTTAAAACTGTCAGGTGGTGAACCAGCAGCGCCCTGGCACAGCTGAAGACCATGAGCCCGACCGAGGCTGATGTACAGAAAACTGCGCCTTCGGCTTCGTCCCTCCAAGGTCAGTCCTTCCCGATACCAGAGTCAGGTGATGCCAGGCTGGGGGTAGATTTGTTTGTCTTGATGCGTCACGGAATCTACGGTACTGGTGTAATTTAGATGTAGAAGGGATCGAGCGATGTCTGTGAGAGTCCGAGCGCGACGTTCTCGCAGCCTGCACCCTTTCTGGTGGGTGCCCCGTTGCTGGGAAGGGCAACGCTTTTGCATCCTTGAATTTGTTCGCCATGGACGGAGGCGGCAGTCAAGTTGCTCTCTTGATGACCTGATGACTTTGACTCCCAGCTGGTGGCACTTGCTGAAAATTAATGACGCAGGGGACTTGTCACACGTCCGCAGCAAATGCGGCTAGCCGTCCACTCTCGTTTAGGATCATGTGCCCAGTTACCAGCGTATTTCCAAGTTGGCTCCTTCGGACCCTGAAAAGCACAATTATTACAGTTTTAGGCAAAGCTCCATCACACACAAGTGACTTCATGCTTCCAGTGCTTGTGTGAGTTTCATTGACAGCGGGGTGCTCTTGTTGGGAGCCGCTAGTTCTGTCCAGCGTACGTAGGTCCAGGTAAGCCTTCTAGGGGCCCTTCTCAAAAGCCATTGTCCGGTGTGTTAATACCCATGTCAAGCCTTACTACAAGTTGTGTGAAAATGCAACCTGAAGACTACTGGACAAATACGTGACAAACACACAACTACTGAAGAGAGAAACGCTTGCTAGCAAAAGGTCTGTCTAACTTGGCAACTTCACTTAAACAAGCTCATCATGGTCATGGTCCCTTACTTATGTTTGGGCATCCCTTTGGAGTGATTGTACGAATTGCAGATCAAGTTGCGGTATGTCGCCACATGTTGTTTGTTCACCCCAAGTGTGTTGTTTTGTTCTGGTTCGTTCACCACCTGTCCCGTTTTTGCCGCAGCTGTTGGCAAACTTCCCTTCACGTGTTGCGCATGGCAAGTCCCCAACCTGCTGCACTGTACGCAGAGAGAACGGCTTTGTTGACTTTGCTAAGTTGAGTTTGGCTTGCTGTTGGGCTTCAGCAGTCCGGCAGGGGCGTGGATGCGCCAACGCGCTGTAACTGCTTGAAACAATCCTCCAATTCGTCACAAGAACATGCACAAAAGTCACGCGGGCCCGGCCAATGAACGACTCAATTTCGCAAGTTGTCTACTGCTTGTTGCTCGTTGCCACGGTGTCAGAGGCTGTCAATGCTGCCATAGCCGCTTGCAAGGCTGAGCCTTGTGTGCGCTGCAAGGGCACGGGTTCCGCGAACAGTTTTTGTCGAGCAACGCGCGCCGCATTGCCGCAAGCTGTCAAGGCAGCGCGTGCCTGCAAGAAAATGCCATGTAAAAAAGAAAAAAACGCTGTGCGCAGCTGAGGGCCGTCCTAAAACCCCAGTCTTCGGTTTTAATCATCGCCGAACAGGGAGAAGTAAAAGTTGTCAAAAGCTGTGCGCGCGCAAGGAGCGCGCAAGTGCGGCCCAAGGGACGCGCAAGGTTACAGTTTTGAAGGGTTTCATGTACTGATGTTGCCTAGCTTCAGGAAAGGAGGTGATATTTTCTTGCTGTACTTGTGCCTCTCGAATCAGTCAGACGCCAAACGAAGCCAAAGCTTCTGCGGTCATGACTTCAACAATCAGCAATTGACACGACAAAATCCGCGCAAGCCGCGCGCAAGCCGCGCGCAAGTTGCGCGCAAGCACGAGAAGCCCCAGCAAGACATCTAGCCATGCTGTCTCGGATGTCCTTAGCGGCGCGGTTCAAGCAATGGATAGGCACCCGCAACATGCACTTTCTTTCTTTCAGGCTGTGTCCAAGCTGTGTGGCAGAGCCTGCTGTTCTTTCTGTTGGGTCAAGGGTATGTTGCTGGCATTGAATTGCCGGGAGCGACCTCAGCGGGAAAAGTCTTTGTGGGTTGCTGTGTGAACGACAAACACACTGCTTAGAAAAGCTTGCGCGCAATCCACACGAAAACTTCGCAAACCGAGGTCAACGAAAACGAGTTTCTGCGCCACTGTGCGCGCGCAAGTACGCGCAAGTGCCGCGCAAGCGCGGCCCAAGGGCCCAATCGCGGGCAAAGGAATATAGGACAACCCCCAGCTGGATGGCGATTTGGACTAGGCCGCGCTGACGGCCTTGTGCCAACGGGAGCAAGACAGATATGCCGTGAAGGAAGCTTACTGTTCGTTCTTTGCCTGGGAAAGATTCATGAGATGGTATTCTGGTGTCATTGACGTCTTTCGAGAGGTCTTCTATGCAGGTCCATGAATGTGAGATTATGTCTGTGGGTTTTTTTTGCTTGACATGGCGTTGGCCATCAGCGCATTGCCCTCGGCATTATAACCATCGGATTTGGCACCAAGTGATGGCAGCTGCTGCTGTTATGCAAATCGTGGGCGGACATCGCGTTATACGCTTCATGTGCATCGCATACGAGCTGAGGCCTAAGTTGGACTGCTGCAGTGCTGAACTCGGGCCTAGTGCTACACCCGACGCCGCAGGAACATGGGATGGGGGAGGTGGAGAGCATGGAACCCTCCGCCTGAGCGTAATCTTCTGGTCTCCGCTCGTCCCAGTTTTGTCAAGGACCCAGAAGGTTAACACGAACTGGTTTAAAATCAATCCGCAAGATTCTTGTGCCAGTAGGTCTCTGTGTTTTTCAGTGTCGCTTTGCCGAATCACATCGCAGGAGAGAGCAGTTGACAAAGTTCACTGGGACCTGCGCTGCACCCAGCTCTTCGGAAGTGGGCTTGACGCAACTGAGAGCCTGCAGGGTCACAGAAGTGAGGAAGACAGTCTGATAGGGAGTTTCCCGCCGCAACGTGTTTCTGAAACATGAAGGGGCTTCTGAATGTTTAGCAAAGATGCAGGCCTCGGGATTGACGCGGTAGCATGTGCGTGGGTGCCGTAGCCGTTCAAACTCAAGCTGCAGTGCTTGAGTGACACGGGCAGTGAGGTGCTGGGGTTGGGCAGGACGGCATTCAGCTGCATTTGCATCTTGCCAGTAGGATACAGTGTGCCAACTCTTGAACTTCTACTGTGCCCAGCCCTGGCCCCCGATAGCCATGGAACTATCCCAGAGATTTCGGGGCTTCTTAGGGGGCCCCATGCCGGAAAGCCGCCGCCAGATTGAGCCACATGCGCCGCAGGCACTTCAAGCACAGCCTTCGCCACCACCCTCGGTTCGAGGAGAGATGCAACATGTGGCCGCCTCCATCCCGCAGTCTGCAGGGTCCCCGCCGGTGCAGGTGATCATACAGAACTCTGCCGGGTGCGAGACACGGGACACAAGGGACACGCAGAGGAATGATCCCCCGCCCCCCAAGTTGCCTCAGCATTTGTGGGAGGTTTCTCGTCAAGATCTTGCGGACCTCTGGGCGTCGCCGCTCAATCGTGTGTGCCTACTTGGCCTCGCAGGCTTTGCCCTGTGGATTTACCATGCTCAAGCACAGCATCAGTGGCGCATGTTTGAGCTCCAGCGGCGGATTGACAGCAATCCCTTGATGCGGCTCGTGGCACAGGTGTTGGGGCCATCGAAATGGCCCAAGTGAGGCCGCATCAGTTTCACCAGTCCAGCCTGCATTGAGGGAAAATGCTAGGTACTTCTCATTGCCTTGCGCAGAGTTGCTTTCTGTGTGTGTGTGTGAGACTGTTGTACATACACTATATGCGAACACGCATGCATACCTACCATCCATCCACCTGCCCATCCATATGTGACAGACAGACATACAGCCATACAGAAAAAAAAAGAGACCTACTTACGTACATACCTACCTACATACATACATATATACATACCTACATGTTTACATATGTATGTATATATATATATATATATTTACACAAATACACATACATACACACGTACACACATACACACATAATTATACACATACATGCGTTACATACATACATACATACATACATACATACATACATACATACATACATACATACATACATACATACATACATACATACATACAATTTAGCATGTTTGTGTCCTTTTTCCATCTCATTGGTGTGCGCGTATCCATGACAAAGTTATTCTGAGCGCCTTGCAAGGCGTTCGGAATACTTGGACTGGGCCGACAACTGGCCGGCAGCTTACTCCTCACGACGTGCTTGAAGAAATTGGCCGTGAGTCATGAGCCATCATGGAAGGCAGGGGAGGCGTATATCAGCAAAACGAGTTCCGCCCATGAGCTGAAGCTATTTTGCCAGTGTTTTCGCCGAGAGTTTTCCAGCCCCTCAGGGGGTTGACACTGACCACGGCCGCAATGCGGCCCCCAGGTTTGCCGCCACCGACGTGTGGGACCACCCACGGGAGCTGCGCCGCGCTGTTGAGCTGCTGGCTGAGGAGTTGTGAGAGCAAAAATTCCAGCTGGCTGTTGAAAAAGGAGTGAGCACCATGGAGTCATAGAGCACTCTCTTTTTGCATCAACGTTGCAGCTTAACTCCAGGAGGACTGTCTTTCAATGACTTGTTTGGCTTTTGGGGGGGGCCAACTCTCTTTGGGAAGGTATGGCTCCAACTTCATGGCAGGAGCTCTCACCCAGACTGGTGAAAAGGGGCAAGGTGTGTTGTGCACTTTTTTAGTGTCGGGTGCCACAGATCGACCATCTCGAATATGTCCGTTTGATGTTGTACCTTCCCTTGCTGCCAGAATTGTGGCATTCCATTTTGTTTGAACAGAAGTGCGTCACGGCAAGCTCGGCATTTGAGAGGGGCCGAAATTTGAGCTGGTTGTCAGACCGCTGGCTCAAACACTAGACGCCAGAGGGAAAGCATAGGCCGCAGGCGCATCTTTTGGAAGGACACTAGCGCGCAGGTTCGTCCAACATGCGTGCCCTTGTTGCTCATTCAGCTGCGTGCCGCATTGCCAAACTCACTTTCATCCTCATGTGGGTGCCAGGGAAGTCACGTGTTCAGATTTGGGCTGAAGATGGAGTTAGATGTAAGATCAAGTAAGCCCTTTTTACATCATTTTACGGCCGTGGAAGGGACTTCACACCAGATAGTGACTTCCAACTGCCCAGGGGCATGTAAGGCACAGTAGGTGCTGTTGCTTCTCGTTTCCGAATGGAGGGGTCATTTTGTTAGGAATCCGTTTCGTTATTTTTTTGGGATTGTTTTTTTCCGTGTTGGCTTTTTGGCTTCTCAGCTTTTTGGCTTTTGGGCTTCTCGGCTTCTTGGCTTCTGTTTTTTTTTTTTTTGGTGGGTGGCTTTTAAACTTTTGGCTTTTGTGGCTTTGGCTTTTCATATCTTCTGCATTCCCAGTTTTTCTCCGGCAGGTGGCTTTATGGCTTGCAGCGTGTATGTAAGTAATGCGTGTTTGCATGTATGTATGTGTATATATATGTACATATGTATGTAAGTGTGTATGTATGCATGGATGTATGTATGTATGTAGGTAGGTAGGTATGTATGTATGTATGTATGTATGTATGTATGTATGTATGTATGTATGTATGTATGCCTTTGTTGAATCATCACCTTACAAACCATCGCTTCTTCAAACATCAGGGGGGGTGACGAAATAATGGAGTAGGTCGTATTTGTATTGTTGAAACGGCCCTGTTGACTAAGCCTAAACAAGCCAAACGACTGCTATTCGTAGCATTTTTCTTGCCCACACGAAAAACTAAGAAAACACAAGACAGCAACAAACAAAAACCCAAGACAAATCCGTGGCAGTTTCCCCAACTGTGAACTCCGCGCCCGTTCCCACCAAATGGCATCCCCCAAGAAAGAGTTGGATGAACAAAGCCAGAAGCAGTCAATTCTGCGGCCCGAGCAGGTTCCAGTCCACGTGTTTGTGTCTTGGTGCTGCTTGTTTGGCCGTTTGGCCATGTTCCAACTCCACTTTTCCGCCCCCGGAAAGCTCCGGAAGAATCGGCCAGGCGATGGCCGAGGACAAGGTGAAGCTGAAGTCCTCCCAGGGCGAGATCTTCGAGGTGGAGCCGGAGGCACCGTTTGGGCACACGCATTTGCATTAGTTGAATGTATTATGTTTGTTACCAGTGTGAAATGCATTAGTGTTAGCAACATTGTTAAAGTTCTTGTTATTGTTGCTAGTATCATGCTCTACCATGTATATATACATATATATATATATATGCATTTGCAAGAAGGCAGCGCTTTTGGTCCTTGGAAGTGGCCTATCGCAGACTTGGCCAGGTTGCTACCATGTCCACCCTGATCAAAAACATGGTCGAGGACCGGACCGACACTGTACCATCTGCTGCTCAAAAGGCGCAGAAGAGGTGAAGCTGTGAGCTGGCCAAAGGGGAACTGGGGGAACTGGGCAGCCAGCAGTGGCAATTGGCTTTTTGGATTGCAAAATTGGGAGCCATGGACTAGAACTTGGCATGTGGGGCCATTTTATGTGGGTCAGCTGGTTTTTGGCTTTTGGCTTTTGGCTTCTGTGACTTTGGGCTTTTGCGACTTAAGGGTTGGTTTTTCAACCTGCGCTCATTTGGTACTCGCAGAAGGCATAAAGCCGCGGCAGGATGGCCCAGATGTTCACTTGCTCAGGGATGAACGGTGTTTCCACGTTGGTTTCGCCTACCCGCTGACATGGACCCCACCTTCGTGTTGGTTGGAGGGAGGGTATGTCGTGCTGCTGTTTTTGTTTGTTTAGACTTCGGGCTGGACAGAAGGCTTGACTGGCAGGACAGTGGCACAGATGAGGAGATCCCGCTGCCGAACGTGAAGACAGCCATCCTCAGCAAGGCGCCTGGTTATCGGTGCCAGGATGCACCCGCGACTTTTGTGTTTTTTGGCATGCATCGCCCTGTGCCGTTTTTTTGTCTTCTTCTTATTTTCTCCTAGGGCTGTTTTTTTAACTAGGGCTGGTCCCCTGGTTGGTTGGTTGGTTGGTTGGTTGGTTGGCTGGCTGGCTGGCTGGCTGGCTGGTTGGCTGGCAACATCCCCGGCATCACCACCCTCACTTGGCTTTGGGGCCGCCAATTGGCTCTGATTGGGTGGCTGTTAGGAGTTGCTGGGGGCTGGTTTCAGTTAGGGGGACTTTTGGCTGGCTTTAGATCTTCATGAGGGTGGTTCTTGGGGTGGTTTGGGGTTGATTTAGACGAAGCGAAGGGCTGACATTCAGGCTGCTGTTGGGCGGGTTTGGGGTTGACTTTGAGTGGGTTTGGGTTGGTTGGATCTGATTTGTGTTAGGTGTGCTGCTGGTTTCGCAGCAGCTTTCGGGTTGCTTCAGGGTGTGGTTAATCTCGTTTTGGGTCGGTTTTGGGGCGTTGCGTCCACAACTCACTGAACCACACCCTAAAGCAATCCTAAAGCCGCTGCTAAACCAGCAGCACCCCGAACACAAATCAGCTCCAAACCAACCCAAACCCACTCAAAGTCAGCCCTAAACCCGCCCAACAGCAGCCTGGATGTCAGCCCTTCGCTTCGCCTAAATCAGCCCCAAACCACCCCAAGACCCACCCTCATGAAGATCTAAAGCCAGCCAAAAAAGCCCCCCTAACTTAAACAGAGCCAATAGGCAACCCCAGGTCCAAGTGATGCTGGTGATGCCGGGGATGTTGCCAGCCCTGCGGAAAACCAGCCCTAGAAAAACACCAGCCCTAGTTAAAAAAAAGCAAAAAAACAACACCGTTACCTTGCGGCGTGCTTGTATTTGTCAAGTAATTGTGCACAGGTCATCGACTACTGCAAGTACCACAAGGACAGCCCACCGGAGGAAATTCAGAAGCCGCTGAAGAGCACGAACCTGGTCGAGTGCGGTGTCTCAGAGTGGGACAACGAGTACGTGAACATTGAGCAGGAGGCGCACCGAATCTTGTGGCTTGGTGCTCGCTCATGTCGGATGGTTTGTCGGATTGGGACGAAGATTTGCTTGAAGATGCGATGAGGCCATGGGAGATGCGTCTCAGGCTTCGCACCGGTATCAATCCAGACTAGATCTGAAGGCTTCGCACATGTAGATTTGCAGGTGCTCTTTGAGCTGATTTTGGCGGCCAACTACCTGGACATCAAGAGCCTCCTGGATCTGACCTGTGCCAAGGTGGCATCCATGATCAAGGGCAAGAACACCGAGGAGATCCGCAGCTCGGCTCAAGCAGAGCGTAGTTGAAGTCAGGGTGCCCCACCTGCTCCCGCCAAAAACCTCGCTGGCGCTGCGTTAGGGCCCGGTTTGGGCTGCTCGCTTTTGTTCGCAGCTGGAATGGGTGCTTGAGTGCCGAAGCCCCTTTCCTAAGCTCTAGAGACGTGTGGAGGCTTTGTGGCATTCATAGGAGGCCAAGAGGCGCATGCGAGGCTCGAGATGTGCATGGAGTAGGGGCGTAAGTTAAGCCGTGTGCGTCGCATGGGTGTGCTTGGGGTGAGGCACCTACATTTGTTGCGCCCGTGCCAGCTGTTTTGGTGAGTGCCTGAAACATTTGCTGATCCTCTTTGTTTTGACTTGTAATGAGCTGCTTGACTGTACTTCAGTTCCATCTGCCCCGGCTTCGAGGCAAGCAGTTCAACATTGTCAATGACTTCACTCCGGAAGAGGAAGCTCAGGCCGCGTTGTGCCACTGCGAACCGACATGGCTGAGGAGCCCATAGCCCAACACTCTGTTTAGAGTGCCAAAGCAACCCTGAACCCCACCCTACCCCAACCCCCACTCGAAACCCACCTGAACGCACCAAACCCTAAACTGAAGCCCACTATGAACCCACCCTAAACCCAAGCCCACCCCGAACCCGCAACCACATCAAAACCCTAAGCGCGCCCTAGACACCTTAAACCACTCCAAAAGTGACTGGGAAATGGAGCGGGACAAATCACAAAAGCGCTGGAAAAAAAACACGAAACAACAGGTCGGCCCTCTATTATTAATCATCAGCCACAGAAGGAGTGTTGACCTTGAGACGTGTTTTGTGTCTGGTGTTGCGCAGTGCTGTCTGGAGAATGGCGAGCGGTCAGCCATTGGCTGCATGTGAGATTGCCGCTAGGTCCGGGAGGAGAATCGCTGGTGCGAGGATGCGTGAGCAAATCAAATTCGAATGCCGGGCCCCAACTCCACATCTTTTCTGGCTGGTGCGTGTTCAAACTGTTCCAACCTCACTGCAGGTCCTTCAGAGAATGATGTTGGTGTGAACTGGCACTGCCTGACGGCGTGGAGCCGGCAGTGCGGTCGGCACCTCTTCTTTCATTCAACCCTTTCGGAAAGCGGGGGCAGAGGTCACACCGGTTTCGCCCAATAGGGACCTAACTGTGAAGTGACCTCGGCCACAGATGGGGTTTTGTGGTGAGTTTCTCGTGGTTTGGCGCGAGAATGTTGCAACGATGACTGCCGTGTTGTCGCACACGCTTGGATCTTGTGAGGGGTTGCCTAGTGCCAAGCGCCTTTGGGCCAAGGTGAAGGCATCACCACCGAACCAGCTGCATGTAAAAGGTGCCGGGCGATGTGTTCTTTTTTGCCATATTGGGCACATGATAGTCCTAGAAGGTTTGTGAATTTGGCACGTGCACGAGTTGGTGGGCAAGCAACTCAGTAGCCTGTTGCTGATGCAAGCCTGGCATACTTTTAAGCTTGGCCGGACTCAGTGTTGACACTGTGTGGCGATGCTCAACCGGACGTTGACCTGCTGTTCTCTTGGGCTCACAGCTGGTAGTTCACTCACCTCCCGGTCCTCATTCCTCGAGCCTCAGACTCAAAGAGCTGCGTGAAATGCAGTGCCTCAGCATGCCACGTCCGCCTATTTGTTTCTTCGGGGCGGTTGCTGCAACTTGAGCAGGCGTGTCTATCGCCTGAAACCATGGCTGACGACAAGCTGAAGCTCAAATCTTCCCAGGGCGAGATCTTCGAGGTGGAGCCGGAGGTGCCCTCCTTACGCATTGCGATCTTGCAGGCGGACGGATCGGTGCCCTGTCAGGTTGCCACCATGTCGACGCTCATCAAGAATATGGTGGAGGTGGGGTCGCGTGAAGCTCAATGCCACGTTTTGTGAAAGCCTCGGCCTTGCAGGACAGCGGAACTGATGAAGAGATCCCGTTGCCCAATGTCAAAACTGCGATCCTGAGCAAGGCACAACCGCATGTCAGATGGCATTCTGTGACACAGCATGCCCCAGCATCAATCATGCAGTCATTTGTGCTTGAATGTATGGGCGTGTATGTCTGTATATATATATTATATATATATATATGACTTTATATGTGCTCGCATGTTGGTTTACGTATTAGGTGATTGACTACTGCAAGTACCACAAGGACAGCCCACCGGAGGAAATTCAGAAGCCGCTGAAGAGCACGAACCTGGTCGAGTGCGGTGTCTCAGAGTGGGACAACGAGTACGTGAACATTGAGCAGGAGGCACACTGAATCTTGTGATTTGGTGATCGCTCATGTCGGATGGTATGATGGGTTTGCCGATGCAGGTGCTTTTTGAGCTGATTTTGGCGGCCAACTACCTGGACATCAAGAGCCTCCTGGATTTGACCTGCGCCAAGGTGGCTTCAATGATCAAGGGCAAGAACACTGAAGAAATCCGTGCCTTGCCGGCGCTTTGGGTTTTGGCTAGGCTTGTGTTGGCCGCAGGTGGCCTTCTTTTCGTTTCGTTTCATGAGCTGCTTTGCCACGGCATGTATTAGTTATGGGTTCATCCGCACCCCAATTTGCAAGGCAAGCAGTTCAACATCGTGAATGACTTCACTCCAGAAGAGGAAGCCCAGGCAAGCGTGTTTGATGCCCCAGCGTGCAGAATGCAAGCAAGTGCTCAGGCTTACAAGTGTGAACGCTGATGCACACTTGCTGCAGGTGTTTGTTCCGAGTCTTTTGACCTGCCAGGTTCGTGAAGAGAATCGCTGGTGCGAAGACGCATAGCGGCAGAGCGGCACTCCTGCATCGCATAGTGTTGGCCGCATTGCAGCCCGCGTTTCGGATGGACTGTTCACCCGTGCCGCGCCGCATGCGTTTGCACTTGGCGCCGGGCCTCAATTGGCCTGGCAGCACGTCAAAAGAAGCGTGCTCAGAGGCTCAGGAGGCCATGCCCTGCCTGACACGCGCCCGCAGGTGAGAATCGCCAAGCGCCACTCTTGAAGCTGTTGTCCTCAAACGGAACAGTACCTGAAGATTTCGATTTGAACGTGGCACGAGCGATCAGGGCTTGTTCTTGAGGCTTGGCATGACTGTGCCCGGGTAGTAGCCTTGGTTCCATCCTGCCGCATCCTGCCGCATTTGGCAGAAGCTTCGCAGACCCAATTCGACCCGAAACATGTGTGCGGGCAGTGTGGCTTGCACGTAGCTGGCTTGGTGGGCCGCAGAACGGGCTTGTTACCAATACATGGCAAGCAAGGATTTTGCTGCCCGGGCCCGAGGTGCGGGCTTTGTTCGTGTGCCAGGGATCAAGCCATCAGGATTTGGTCATGGACTTGCATTGGGGTTTGGGTGAAGCCGCTCCTTTTGCAGCATTCTGGCTCCCAGCTATCGGCAATCCCGCGCTAGCCGCAGCTGGAGGCATGGGGAAGCTGAAGCCAGGTGAAGGGTTGGTCAGAATTTGCGTTTCAGCCATGCCTAATGGAAGAAAAGCAATGCCAGTTCAGGGGCCGGTTGAAACGTGAGGGCTGCGACCTTTGTCTTGGATTTGGTCTTTGTCTTGGATTTGGTTCTCGCGTGTCGGCAAGGGGGTTGGAGCTTTCCGCGAGGATGGCGGAGGACAAGCTCAAGCTGAAGTCGTCCCAGGGTGAGATTTTTGAGGTGGAGCCAGAGGCCCCGCCCTTGGCGAAAGGAACGTGAACAAGTGAAGCCAACAAAGCTGGAAGCTGAAGACTTCATTTGCCAATTTTGTCAATGGAGAGCAATGTTTCAGTTTGTCTTGTTTAGTATTTGTTGTGTTTGGCCCGGCACCATTTTTCACGAAAGCTAGCGTTGGCAAGCTTGAGTTCGTACTTGCAAAAGTGCAAAAGCAAGTGTTCCGGATGGATGCAGCACGGTGTGATTATATCACATGCAGCCGCCGCGTTGTGCGATTGCAAACCCGCCCCCCCCCCCCCGGCCCCTCCCCTCCCAGGCTCGACTCCACCCTGGCCGCTCAATGCGAACGTGCGTAGGCAGCTGGACGCTCTTGCTCCTTGTGCGCGGTCCTTCCTGCACACGCACGCGCTTGTGTCAACGCACTTGCTTCTTTGCGCCCGCTTGCTTCTTTGCGTCCGTACGCGTCCGTATCTCACGTGCCCGGCTTCCGCTGCTATGGGCCCGGGCGCCGCTCGTTTCATGAGCGCAGACACTTGCATAGGCATTTGCACGTGCATGCTTCCTTGCGCGGCGCCCTTGCCTGAGCTGGCATGGATGCGCCGGCGCCTTTGAACATGCACTGTTATGCACGCAAGCGCTTGCAAACCCGTTGCAGCTTCTGCCTCCTCTGCCTGCTAGCTTCCGCTCATCCACGTGCTCCCTGGCCTGAGCGACGTGGTATTGCGGAACCCTTGCGCCCGGTTGCGTCCATTTCCTCAGCCAAAGCCCCCTCAGGGATCCACAGTTTCGCGTGCCAGATCCAGCTCAAATGGAGCAAGCCCCACTTGACGAGCCCACATAGCCTCAATTGAGGAGAGAAGGGCGACTAGCAGCGCAGCCAAGCCCGCTCTTTGTTGGAGAGGGTGTGGGTGGACTTTCCAGCTGATGTTGCAGTGGCACCGAAAGTGCCTGAGCAACGTGGGCGCCAACGGTGACGAGGGCTAGGCGCTGCGGCCTGGTGGACAAGAGCATCTGAACGAAGGTTAGGCCCTACGCTCAGTGATATTGGCATGAAGGCCGGGCCCCTACGGGCACGAGCAGCAGCATGACGGTTAAGCTCCACGGCACGGGGCGGCGATGGACGAGAGCAACGGCGCAAAGGCCGAGGGGACAAACGCAACGCAAAATGTCCAGTCGTAAGCTGATGGTTTGGTTTGTCAGCAAGAATGATACACGAGATCCCGATCATGTGCTGTGGGAAGCTGCGAGCAGAAGAACGGAGATGGAACTAGGAAACGACTTGAGGTGTTGCCTGGGCTTAATTTATGCTCCTATCTCAACTGCCCGTTCTTGTGTCAATGCTTGCCCCCCCCCCCCGGGCAAGCCAAAAACGGACTTTCTTTCTGGTAGCGTTTGTTTTATGCGCGGTTGGACGCGCTTGCTTTTTTGAGCGCGGTCCCTTTGCCTGAGCTGGCACGCATGCGATGGCGCCCTGCAACATGCACCCTGCCACCTCTTGCTTCGCCCACATGCACACGTTTCTTCGCGTGAGTTGGCATGCGTCCGCCGGCGTGCGTGCAACAGTCGCGTTGCGGCGTAGCTTTCTAGGCTCGTCAGGCTGTCCGGTCTGTCCAGATGCTGCCATCAGCATGAGCCCCTCAATGCTTTCTCTCTCTTCCTTCATGCCAATGTCACCTCGCCTTTGAAAAACCTCATCAGTTTGTGCCGCTTCTGGAGATCAGTTGGCCTGAGCACCCACAGCCCTGTGACCCCAAGAGCGGGTTTAGCGGCGTCGCTGGTGGCCCGATTTCGTCCTCCTCCACTTGACGACCTCGCCTTCCTTCTCAGCGACCATTGCGGTCTCATAGGCCTCGGTCTCTTGCCATTCCGGCTTCAATGGCGCCTCAAACTGCGCTATGTTGGGCTTGTAACGCGGGCTATGAAAAACTTAAGGTTTTTTCCTGAGCTCATTTGACGCTGCTCTCTCAAGGCGGACTGCTGCCCCTTGTTTTCTGGTGTTTGCGCCAAAACAGCCGTGCGCGTTTTGCTAGCTTTCGTCCACCCCTCTCTCAAGTAGACCAACCACACCCCTGGAAGCCCACCCCGAAGGCACTTGGAATCCTCCTAAACTCACCCTCAACCCACCCTAAAGCAAGCCCAAACCGAGCCTAAACCCACCATCGACAGCGAGCGCAAGCCGACAGCCTGCTTGGTGATGCTAGTGGTGTAAACACGATGCTAGAGGCTTGGAGAGTTTGGGGCAGCCGGTGCAACATACCGGAAAACAATGAGCATTGTGGGAGTGTTTGATTTGGCAGTCTTAAGATCCCTCGCTTCGGTTTCACCGGGTTTTGCGCCAAAAGCCCCGTGCACCTTCTGATGAGGGCTATGGCCTAAGCTCCAGGTGGCCACCATGTCGACGCTCATCAAGAACATGGTGGAGGACTGGCTGGAGCAAATATTTGGAACGGTCTGAAGGGTGTGTGTGTGCGTGGGCATTGTGCATGGAAACCATAAGGGAGGCCACTTCTTTGTTGGGGGGATGTCAACCATTTTGGCTGAGTTGAAAGAGTCTGGAATGAGCGTCGGACCACGCAGATACTGAAGCCGTGTAGGACAGTGGAACCGATGAAGAGATCCCACTCCCGAACGTCAAGACGGCCATTCTGAGCAAGGCAGGCTGAAGCAAGGCATTTGGAGCGAAAGGACTAGATCACCAATTGGAAGTTACCTAACGTGACATAAGGCGAAAGATGAGTAAAGCAACTTGCAATTATTCTTTCGGGTGCTTTGTGTGACTGCAACGGCCCAGCCAGGTGATAAGATGCATTGCAAACTGTTTGGTTGTTGTTTTTGTTGTCTCCTCGGCTCCACGACTGCATGGAGCGGAAACCTTGCCAAGTTGCCAAGGGGCAAGCATGGCATGGCAGGTCATCGACTACTGCAAGTACCACAAGGACAGCCCACCGGAGGAAATTCAGAAGCCGCTGAAGAGCACGAACCTGGTCGAGTGCGGTGTGTCAGAGTGGGACAACGAGTACGTGAACATTGAGCAGGAGGCGCTGAGTGCCGAAAGCTCCAAGACCTGCACAGAGAATCGTGTCTTTTGCGTCCTTCGAAGTGTTAATGTGTCTTGAATGGCTGCTTCCCCGAACCGGTTCAAAAAGCATAAGCCTGCCCGCATCGTGAATAACTACAACAGATTTGTACAGCGGAGTTGTTGTGTGGCGCTAGCAGCAAGCACAAGGGCCAGACCAAAAGCAAGAAGTGAAGTAACAACAGTAGTCCAACAGCGTCTATTGGCACAGGTTGTATCCGTACCGGCCGTTTGGCCAGGTGCTCTTTGAGCTGATTTTGGCGGCCAACTACCTGGACATCAAGAGCCTCTTGGATCTGACCTGCGCCAAGGTGGCATCCATGATCAAGGGCAAGAACACCGAGGAGATCCGCAGCTCGGCTCAAGCAGAGCGCAGTCAACCATGGGCGCCCCACTTGGCACCCAATAGGCTTGGATGTCCGAAAATAGTGGTTCCCACGAAATGGGCGGAAACCTCTGTGCACCTCCAATTTCAAAGGGCACTTTCCGAAAAGACGAGCCAGATGAGTGGCTGGCACAGATTTGAGATTCCGGGTTAGTGGCTCAGGTCTTTTGGAAACCTAGCCTTCACATGGAGCCTTTGACACATACCTGGCCAAAATAGAGTTTCAACCAGGAGGCGTGCTGCTGTTGCTTTCCGGATGGAACGGTTACCATCCTCCACTGTTTGGAAAGGCTCACGGCTCGCCAAGTTCTCATTGTTTAACCAATTGGAGAGAATCAGCAAATAGACAAATAGAGATGCCATTTCTAGCCTTTGGCTTTTCGGACGCTGAGCAGGAGGGAAGCACAAAGACATCCGTCTGCAAGACGAAAACAGTTTTGTTCCCTTTACATGTGTCCTGAAGAGCGGAGCCACTTGCAAGCCCGAGGCAGTGCCTGAAGTGGCTGGCTCAGGTGGCTGGTTGATGGCATGACAACCCCAGGTCAAACCAACATGCAACCTCTCAGTATCGCCAGCAGTTGAACAAACATGGATCCCAACGGTAGAGCTTCTGTTGGAAGGTAAGTAGTTCAAATCAGGGCCAAAGTCCCTGACAAGCGTCCCATTGCCTTTTCCTGGAAGAAGGGAGGCGAGGCATGCCAGAGGCGGTACACCTGAAATCCAACTGCCAGCAGGTAAACAGTTCAACATTGTGAATGACTTCACGCCGGAGGAGGAAGCCCAGGCGCGCGAGAGCACATTCGCTTGGTGCTTTGTGCGTCTGGATCGACGGCCTTCCGCAAACCTCCGTCGCCAGGTGCGGGAGGAGAATCGCTGGTGCGAGGACGCGTAGGTTCTTCTCAGGTTCGGCCCGCGACAAAGCCGTGGTCAGGCAATCCCTCCAATCCCGAAAGCCCAGAGGCGAATCTCTGGCAATGCTGGGGCAGTATTGCCAAAGTGCAGGCACTCTCTCTGCCTTACACCAGGAAAATGAGCCTTGATTTTGCAATGAGCGGCCTCGCCCAGCTCTTTAGAACCTTTCTACCAGTCTTTCAGCAACATGACTCATGATGGCAGGGCTGTAGTTGCTCCATTCCTCCCTAGTTGGTGCTCGTCCGCAAGCTTACTTCCTGCACTTGATTGAATGCCCGTTCCTCGAACTGACTGCATTGCCATGCCAAGCACTCTCGAAATCATGGGGATGAATGTGCTCAAGGGCGCTGAGAAGGCGCATGAGGTCCGAGACAGGCCGGGCAGCAACGGCAAATATCATGGCACCGTGTTTTCCAGGTCTATCCGCACAGCGCAACATGCAAGGAACGCAGCGTCCAGGAAGCACAGCCAACAAGAAGGCATTGAGTGGGGAGTTGCTTGCGCCATTTGGCTCACCCCTGTGCGCAGGCGGGGCATTTCTGCTGAGATTGCAGTGTCCCCACCGCAGGGCATCGGCCCAGTTGCACCATGCACAATTTGGATGCAGTAACTGTCACAAAGTGGGACCTTTGGGATGCAATGGCAAACAATATCATGGCGAGCTCTTTGATGCAGGTTCTTGACGGATGATCCTGTGTCGAGGTTTCGGAATTATCGAGGCTTTGCTTGAGATTTGTACCCCCACATGTTTTTTTCTTCACATTTTTCGGGCACGGCAGGGGCTTCGACCCCAGCCCTGTCCGGGCTGGACTGGTTTGCTACTTGCTGCTACTGTTGCCCAGTGCCGGGACACATGCTTTGCCGCCTGTTCAGATTTGCCACTTTGACCTTCCTGGTGTACAATCTGAGTGGGGACAGACGGAACGGAACCTGTAAAATGGGTTGGTGTCAAGTAGGCTGGTGAAAAAGGCAGCAGCCTTCGGTCTGCCCTTTCTCAAGTTGAGCCGAGTTCATTCGCCTCTGTGCGATGCAGGTGCATGGGTGAGAATGGGCGCGCCTGCGCAGCTGGCACTCCTTAGGGAGGCTGCCAGACTGGCGTCATGGGTGCTGCCCATACAGTTGAACAACTTGCTGAGACTTGCTGCCTCTGAAGCGAATTTTGAGTGGGCTTGCGCTTGGGCTTGGTAACCTCCATTTGGGTCTTCCATTTAGTCCATCTATGGGCTGTTGAGGGCATCCCCTGATGAACATACAAAGGTGATGCTCTAGAACCCCAGGAACCTTGACCCGGTCCACCCTAAACGTAAACGAACCCTAGCAATCTATCGGAGGGTGACTCACAGTTAAAAGCTGCAGGTCTATTCATGGATTGAACCATGCTGGGCCATTTGCTTTGCTTGCTGCCCGGGCGGTAGGCAGCAACATTCCAGAGTTTCGATTAAAGCTCTGCACGTCTTATCCTGCCATCCGTGCGAATAGTAGGCGAAAGGTCTCCAGACATGTTCTAGGCCAGGCCGGACAAAAGCAAGTTTACGAGCAGCAGACAATATTGGGTTACCGCTGTTGGGTAGGCCAACATTAGCGGTTCACAGCATCCCACTGGTGAGGATTGTACGGAGCGAGAGCGTCACCCTTGGACCCAGCCAAGTTCCACACCCCTTGCATCATGAAGGCCCCAGTGTTTGCTCGGGAGGTTGTAGGCGGTGGACCTACAGATGATGTACTCTCATCAGCCTGGCGGCGGTCAGGCAGGGAACCTCGTAGCTGAAGCATCATATGGCCATGGTCATAACCTATGTCTCCATTTTGGGGCGGATGAACACCCATGTGCCACCTATTTTGACGTTCACCAGGCTTACAGGGTTTTGACCCACAGCCATATTTTTCTGGGTTACCCATCAAGTCCAGTCATTTGTCGATCCTTCTCATGCCATCATGGATTTGGAGTGGCCCCGCCCAAGGCATGTGAGTTGGATGCACAGAGAAAGGGCAGAGAGAAGAGAGAGAAACGGGAAACTCCACTAAAGCAGCGAAAGAAAGAGAGGAAGGAAGGAATGAATGACGGAAGGAAGGGCGGAAGTAGAGAGAGAGAGAGAGAGAGACAGAGCGAGAGAGAGAGAGAGAGAGAGAGAGAGAGAGAGTAGATAGATAGCGAGACACGGGGCGCAAGAGCCACATCTGGCTCGCTTCGAATTGGCAGGGACATGAAATTTCCGCATGTCCTTTACAGGCCCCACATGTTCTGACGCGCGATCACATGCTTGCCCCTCATGTGGTTGCTTCGGTTCACGGCTCGTGAATTCGAGGTGGGGACCTGGCAGCGGCAGTGAATCTGATTCTCGATGCGCCCTGCCGGCCGTCGTCTACCACCATTCTGCCCCCCAGCCGCAAGCGACTTAAGCAACTTGGGATGGGGCCGGCTGTCTGATGGAGGCTTGAAGGGCCCTTCAAGCCTTGCCCGTGAGGCTGGATGACACGGACGGCGAGGATGCAAACCGAGATGCAAGCGATGCGGCATCTGCGCCGCAGGAGGCGGCGGCAGCTGCTGCGCCGGCCTCTGCACGGCAGAGTGGCGACCAGGGGAGCTTTCTGAAAATGATGAGTCTTGGCAAGGAGCAAACGTCACGAGGGCTCTGAGGCGCAGGCGGCGTCAGCAGGCTGGTCCAAGCAGGTCTCGACAGCAAGCGTCGTCTAGCACCAGCCAGTTTTTACAGGCTGGCAAAGTTAGAATTAGAAGGAAGGGGTTCGAGGGGTTCACTTATACCGCCCAACAATCAAAGGGTCTTCTCGACCGAGGAAAGTGAAGCAGGAGCTGCCCAGCGAAAGGCCAAAGAAGAAGCCTCGCAACAGCAGCAGCAAGCTGGAAACGCCGCCGAAGGTTCAAGGAGGGGTCGGCTTCGAACGTGCTATGCATGGTCGCAGGTGCCTTCAACCGCTTGCGTTTGCTTGATGATCGTCGCCAGATCCTGGAGGGAGGGAAAACAAGCCACCCAGCGTGGTTCTTCCGAATCAGTTGCTGAAAGCCCTCTTGAGCTGCGACCCAAAGGCCAAGCTGCTGTGACAAGCCCGCTCAACCGCCAGGAACCCAGAACCGCACAAGGTGCAACGTGGAGTGGGCAATGGCGCTGGGCAGCTTGCAGCTGGAGGGCTACAGCAACACCAAGCTCAGCGGAGATCAGCAGTTCCCCGGGGAGGACATGGGCAGTGGGTGTGCGGGTGGGGGCTGGCGGAAAAGTGGAAACAAGGTTTGGGGGCAGCGGGCCGGGGGTCTGCAATTTGATCTTTCAACCTGTTCTCTGCCCGCACTTCTCCCCACTTTGTCTCTCTCCTTTTAGCTCAGCTTCTCTCCTTGCTCCGCTGCTTTCCTCGCATCTTCTTCTCCTCTCCTCCCACCGTTCTCCACTCTGATCTCCTTTCTCCACTTCCAAGCGTCATCTACCCTTCGGTTACTGGGCTTGTGCACACCCCACCCTTCTCCTCGGTGTTCCCTCCAGGACGGGAGCTTCGGGCCCCTGCTCCGGGCCGGCGCGCGCCTGGAGCTCAAGTGGACGGTGGACAAGCCCCTCGGCTTGGCTGGGGACACGTGGCAGGTTTCGGCTGGAGAGTTGGGCGTTTGGGGCTTTTGGAAGTAGGTGGGTTGCCGCTTCTGGACAAGGTCTTGGGCGTAAAGCCAAGGGATGCAGTGAGCGAGTCTACAAAGTCCTCAACTGGATCAGATGTTCAAGGAGAGGTCAACCTTCTCCAGGTGCCAACTAGGGAGTCTGAAAAATGAATCAATGCCCCAATGCCCTTTTTATTTCTCCTGTTTGGCACCCAGTTGTCTTGTAGAGTACGGATGGTCATAACAATTCGAGTCAATCCATAGTCACGGTTCTTGGGGTAGTTATACCTTTAGTTGTGTGGGCACCGAGCGGTACTTTTTTGTGAAGTGGTACTTCACTGCCCCGCCTCCCAGTACGTCCAGCTGCCAGTCTACGATTACTGCTGAAGCATGCAGGTCTAGGATCACTTGATCTTCGGGTGCCTGAACCTCCGCGTGGTGAAATACCAACTTTTAGTTACAGCATTGTCTTGCTGCAGCCAGAGTTGCTTCCGTTACCAAGTGCTGAAACAAGCCTCATGGCACATAAGATTTAGATTGGAGGTCCTGGTTGCGTGGAGTGAGCGCAAAGGGCATCCAAAGGTACCCCGACATGGCCAAGGACATCGGCTCACAACGAGCCCAGCTGAAAAGACTGCATCAGCAACAAGCTCCCCTCTTCCCCAGGGGGCACCAGGCAGTTTTTGCCCTCAGCATGCAGCCAGTGCACTAGGTAAAGGCTTTCATGTTCCCTAGTTCTTGCCATTGTTTTGTTTCCCCTGCGGCTCATAGCAGCTAAGCAGCTCATTCACTAGCCATTGGGCATTCGAGCGCTCGGGATTCCCAGGAAGAGCAAGCCGCGGCCGGGAACTGTGCAGGCAGGCAGCCATTTTCGGAGTGGATGGTGAAGAGAGCGCGGGTGAAGATTTGCAGGGCGGTACTCAGGTTGGGCACAATTTCCCAGTCGAAGCTCGCTTGGCTTGGCTTGCTTTGCTTTGCTGGGGGTACGGCAAACGCGACTCAATATATATATATATATATAGTATGAACACTTGCTTCTGCGAACCACTGGCTAGCCTTGTTATTTTGGATCTAGCCAGGGAAGAGCGTCGAGGGAATCCTTCATGATGCTAATTAGTTGACGGCAGGATACCTCTGCACTTGTCAAGTGGATGCGATTGAAAGTGCGCCGTGATGGAAAATGCGTTGTAACGCAACTACACAACCGTTTTTGGAGGCTTTGGTTGACAAACACCACACTTTCTGCCAACGGCTTGCAATCTTGTATGGCTCGGCGTGTTGAAGGAAAAGGGCTGTTGTGTTCTGTTTCGTTTGCTTTTCCGGATTTCCTCTGTTCTGACAGCTTCTTTTGCATGTATAAATTGCTTATATCAAAGGCAGCATTACGACTTCAGTTGGTGCACCGGCGTGACTGCTTCAAATTGGGAAGGTCTGTGGAGGAAGGCTCGTATGCTTTTTTGGCTTGCTCCAAGCACAAAGCCAGACCACAAAGTAAACAGCTGAGCTCTCATTTTGGACCCCCTCCAATCGGAGCTTCTTTGCTTGTCGGGAGCAAACGGTAAAATTGTCTCGAACCCGCTTCCCACACCGCTGCGCTGGTTGTGATGTGCTGATGCTGTGGCTGTTTCATTTGCTTCCCCCTCCTCCTCCTCCTCCTCTTCCTCCTCCTCTTCCGCCTCCTCCTCCTGTCTCTTCTAGTTTGCTGTTTACTCGTTTTGGCGCCTGTTTCCTTTGTAAGAGTCGGCAGCTAAGAGCCTTCAAGGCGTGCGGTCCGAGGTGAGCTCAGAGACCGGCACTGTGCGGTTCGATGCCAACGGTCGGGAGGTGCGAATGCGGGAAATGTTTGCGACCTTCCACAGCCCCGAATTTTCCGGGTGGTGGTGTTAAGCATCGCCTTTTGGTCACCTGGAAGATGAGCTTCTTTTGTGGCGTTCTAAGGGCACGTGTAGGGAACCCTTTCCCAGTCTAGGTGCTACTCAGCAAATTGACATGAGATCCAAAACGCTGTTTTGGGGTCTGAAAAGCAGATTCCTCCGCAAATGCTGGCCTTCTGACTTCTGGCTTCCATGCTAATTCGCAGGGGAGTAGCTAGCGCAGTTTCAATTTTCCCCAGAAAACTTAAAGGGGATGGATGTGTGTTTTTCACAAGACTTGCCAGCAACCAGAAATGGCAGTGACAAGTTGCCAAATTTGCTTGTGAAGTTTCAAATGGGAGCCCCTTCCGAGATATTTGGCTTGAAGTTGGTTTTGTCTGAAGTCTGCTTGCGGGAAGCGCTTTGTTTCACACCCCATAACGTTGAGCAAGGCCCAGCCGTTTGGAGTCTCTAATTGGAAGGGCCATCTTTCTCGGAAGGAATGATCGGACAATTGGTCAAGCTCTGGCTGTTGGTCTTTGCGCACTCCAGCCCTCCCCTCCCCTCCCCTCCCCTCCCCTCCCCTCCCCTCCCCTCCCCTCCCCTCCCCTCCCCTCCCCTCTCCCCTCTCTCTCTCTCTTCCTCTCTGCGTCTCTTCCTCTCTTCTCCTCTCTTCTCCTCTCTTCTCCTCTCTTCTCCTCTCTTCTCCTCTCTTCTCCTCTCTTCTCCTCTCTTCTCCTCTCTTCTCCTCTCTTCTCCTTTCTTCGTCTCTTCCTCTCTTCCTCTCTTCCTCTCTTCCTCTCTTCCTCTCTTCCTCTCTCTCTCTCTCTCTCTCTCTCTCTCTCTCTCTCTCCCCGGGTCCTTGTCGCCGAGGTGGGGAAGTTCCCGAGCTGGGCATCGAAAGCTTTGGTGCCGCTCCTGGCACGGAAGCTCATCGATGCGGAGGCCGTGGTAGGCGCGAAGTGAACTTGACCAGCACTGGATTTCGCAGCTGTGTTGTTGTGCTTGTGTGCTTGTAGTGCGTGGTGCCTCTGGCGTTGAAGCAGCTGCAAAGGACAAGCTGCTGCCTGTCGGTCCGGAAGGGAAATCAAGCCTACCCAAGCTTGAAAGCACTGCCGCTTCATCGCCCACCCCCAGTACCAGCACCCGCACTGCCATCCCTTGAAACTGTCCAATAGCGCCCCAAGCACGCCAGTAGCCAGGCCCGGATCCACCGCGGGCGCTGACGTTGGGCACCAACGTGCCGGTGGTGCTGCGTGTCTCTTTGCGGTCCTCCGCGCTGCGGACGCCTGGGCAGATGGTTCAGAATGTTCACACAGCCAAAGGCGAGGACATCAAAGATACCAGGAACAAAGGGCAGAAGACTGCCGGGAACTCAGACTGTCTCAGATATCAGATATCATTTCAAGCAGTTGGGCAGTGCTCTTCTCTCTGCCGTTTCCTTTCGTTCGTCGCTTCGAGGTGCAGAAGGCTGAGGCCGACCGCGAGGTGCAGCGCAATGCCACCAGCATTCTGCTGGAGAGGCCTGTGGCTTATTCGGCGCGGGGATTGTTGGGCTTGGCCACTTGCGCATTCCCACCAAGAGAGCACAAGTGGTCGTTCCCGGGATCCCCTTTCCCAAGAACGGGGATGGGCCCGAGGCTCCGGCTCCCTTGCCGCCGTCGCGCAGTGGAGGAGGGGGATCCCAACGAGGAGCCAGGCGAGGTTTTGCACGGGCGCCGCCAGCGTGCGGGTTACTTGCGCATGTTGGTTTCTTCTCGAGCCGCCAGAAAAGAACCGCCTGCGTTTTTCCCCGCTGGCCGCAACAAACTTGCTGTCGCCAAATTCAGGTTTGCAACTTGGATGTGTCGTTTTTAGAGGACCTTGAAAAGTTGTCCTTTTGGTTTCCCTTCGAAACCAACCAACAGCAACACCAACACCACAACCAACGAACGAACCAACGAAGCAACCAAGCAACCAACCAAGCAACCGAGCAACCAAGCAACCAAGTAACCAAGCAAGCAAGCAAGCAACCAACCAACCAGCCAACCAAAACGAGCCAACCAAAACGAACCAACCAACGAAACCAACCAAGACCGACCGACAAACACCGAACAACAAGAACAGACCAACCAAAACCGACCAACCAGAACTGACCAGCCAGAACCGTCCAACCAAACAGCCAACCAATCAACCAAACAGCCAACCAACCAACGAAACCAACCAACCAAACCCAAACAAACAAAACCGACCAAACACAACCAGCCAACCAAAGCCAACCATCCAAAACCAGCCAACCAAACAGCCAACCAAAACCAACAAAACAAAACCAGTCAATCAAAACCAACCAACCGAAACAAACCAACCAACCAGCCAGCCAGCCAGCCAGGCAGCCAGGCAGCCAACCAACCAACCAACCAACCAACCAGGAGTTCCCCAAAAAAGGACACACCCCTTGTTCTGCCAGGGTAGCTCCTTGGGCCAACTGCGCTCAGCCGCACAGGCCCGGCTGCGGCCGGCCTTGCCGCGCCTGGAGTGGAGGAGGCTGAGGAGGAGGATCAAATGCCTGGACCCCAGGTCTTGGGGAAGACACGGCTGGTTTTTGCACGCGGGTAAACGCGGATTGAAGCAGCGTGGCAGGAAACTGCAGCTTCCACTGATTCCACGAGACCTGGTTTTTTAGTTGCCCTGCATGGCATGTTTGAAACCGGCACAGATGAGAACGTGTTTGCGTATTTTTGCTTGCTGCGTGCCTTCTTTGTTTGTCACAAGTCCCTTTCTATTGAGAAGGCGGCAGTTTCATCTTCGACTTACTTTGAGGTCCAAAGCGGCAGCCGCGCAGCTGGGTAAGAGCTGAGGCCTCAAAAGGTGGGGTAGGGTTGGCCGAGAAGATGTCAAAGCCGAACGTGCCCAAAACTGCTCGTTGGCACCAATGTAGTCTGGATGCCAGGCCCCTTTCATCCCCTTCATCCCCTTTCTTTCCAAAGGCACGGGCCACTCCCCACCTGAGAGCGATTATCACGAAAAATCGCGCGAGGACATCTGCCGGACCTTGGTTCCAGGGTTCATTCCTTCCGATATTCACCGCTCTGAGGCACCAACTGCTTCTGTAATGGCATGCCGAGGTGATCAGCTTGAAAGGCATGACTTGCCGGGCATTGTCCTGCCTGATGGCATTTTCGAGACCAGGCCGGGCAGTCGACCAAGTTTGTTTGAGAAGGTCATGCATGTAGGCAAAGCATGAAAGCCTGTCAATGCGGAATTCCCGAAAGTAGTGTGCACCCAGCTGCGAAGTGAGTTCGTTCAATGTGCCACCCTTTCAGACAGGAAGTGTGTTTCTTCCGTCATGGATTGTTTGACCGGTGCATCTTGGTGTCTCTGAAACCTTGGCCTGCGATGCTCAGCATTTGCTTTTATTACTTTTTGCGACCGTCGCGGCATAGTGATGATTGCAGAGTTGTTGGAACGCGCGAGTGTTTGGCGAGAATGGGACGCCGAGCGACCGAGTATAGTGCCCTCCTGGAGGTGAACCTGGAACCCTACGGAACTCTGTTCGTGCTTCCATGCAAATCCTCAGGGCGCATAAAGCCTTATTGAACTTGTGATTAAAAGGTAGCAACTTACTTAAAACTGTAAGCCTGTGGGCTACTAGGAATTGTGGGAGTAGGTGAATTCTCCTATCAACCAAGCATTACTAGTGCTTGGATTTAATTGTGTGGCGTGTAGTTGGGTAGAACCGATCTTTCAGCATGTCGGAACATGAGCCTCCGAGCAAAGGGCCTTCCCAGGTTGCGGCCGTACCAGGCGCAGGCGGTGTGGCCACCTCAGACTGGGCGAAGCCAAGCTCCTAATTTGTGCTGCGAGTGTTGTGTGGGTCCTGTCTTTCATCGTTTTTCTGGCGAGTGTTCAAGAATCTGGGATGTCGGACGGTGCCTGTTTCAACTTGATTTGGCGAGGATTTTATTGACTGATCCGAGATTGCTGGCCAGCTGTGCGGGAAGATGCACTGCTGAAGGTACTGGATGTGGCAGCGGGAGAACCCCACATCCACGTTGTTGGAGGCCTCAGCGTGAGGAAGCGATAGCAGCTTTTGCACCACATTTGTACTGTGGGGTGTACTCCTGATGTTGCTCCCACACATTCCTTGCCGCAGGGTTGGCCAGAAACTTGTGCATCCGCTCGGTCTGCTGCCAACCCACAGCCCGTTTGATTTCAACCAGGGGTCCCGCAGGATCTTTTAGTGACAGCGGATTGTTGCTGTTGCTAAGCCCTGCAGTCTTTGGGGTAGTAGGGCAGGTACAATTGAGCCAGCCCCAGGGGCAAAATGGCGGCCATACCATGTGAACTTGAGGCCTTCACGCTTCAAGAACTCCGCGCCCAACACGGCACCGGAGGTCCGGGGGGAGACCAGCTGGCGGTACCTGTAGCTCCTCTAGGTTCCGAGAATGGAGTATAAATGCATTGGCTGCAAAGTACAGTGACTAACTTGGAAACCAGTGTCTATGGGTTGGCGCATGTCCCCAGTTTCAATCGTAGGGCCATGAAATGGCAATGAAAAGGGGCAAGTGCTGAAAATGTACCAGCTCGCGACTCGCGATGGCCCATCTTGGGGAGTAAGTGTTACCTGATCACAGGCAACAGGCCTCGATAGAAAAAGCAAACTCAGGATTCTATTCGAAATCAGGATTCTTTGATTTATTGCCTTTAAGCAGCAGCAGCGGTTTTAATATCTAGTCTGCATTTTTTAGTACCGACATCTCATCGCAAGGGGGTGGATGTCCACGGTGCGTGAGTGCGTGGCAGGGGAGCCAAACAAGTACTCCCAGCAAAGCGCCGGAGCCGCAGTGAAGGTTGCCACTGCACAGCGCCTGAAGGCTTGGTGAGGTAGATGGGGCTGTTCTTTTCTGAGGGTATCCTTCTTGGGGTTGTCTTATATGGAAACTAAAAGCAACAAAAAACAAGAACTTCATTTTGGGGAGCCCCCAGTTTTGACACATGCCGGGGGTGATGACGGTGCGGGGTCTCCCGTCGCTTGACCCATGTCCCCATGCCGAGGTCCGGCATGGCATCGGAGCCACGGCCTCAGTGACACCGCAAAGCGCATGTTGTTTGGGTGAATTGTAACGACCTCACACAACCGAATTCACCCCAAATCGTGGTTTATGTGGGGAATATCCCCCCAACCACCTTATTTGAGGTTGGTGAAATATTATATTCACCCAGATGTTGTTCTCGTTGTGCTTTGGCCAAGATTGGGGACTGTCAGCTAAGGTCAAGTGACAGTGAACGCCAGCTACATCCCATGTGGGCCAGGCACCCGAGTAGCCGAAGCACTGACAACTTCTCCACCCCTGGCACTTTACGTGCCTAGGATGAATACGAGCTACCAGAAGCCACCGGACCTCTTCCAGGAGGCCGGTAGAACAAACCTTCCGATTCAGTGGCCCACTTCAGGCTTCAGGTTTCTGTTGGTGCGGGTTGGAAAGAGCCATTTCAGAGCCATTGGGCCATTGGGCTGCTGGTGCCTTCGCCAGGCCGAGAGTCCGCACGGTTCCTCTATTACCACAGGACCACCGGAGTTGGCACCCCAGTGCCATGGCGGAAAGCCCCCGCTTCAGAGCCATGTCAGGCCTTGTCGCTGGATTTTCCGGACGCGGCCTTGGCGCCGGGCTCCCGAGGCTCAAGCGACAGACCTCGGCTCAGCCAGCGCTCAGGCATTGCCGGGGCGGCATCTTAGCAGATGACATGGGCCTTGGCAAAACAGCAGGGGCGCCTCAGCTTTGCGAGCGTTTTTTTTGGGGCCAGACCACCTTCAATCCGATCGATTTGTTCCATGTTCGCCTGTTTGGTGCCGGGACGAAGATGATGTGCGTTGTGCAACGGCCTTGCCGGCGGCGATGCCAAATCATAGCTAGTTTGGATTTCTTCCCGCACAAACAGTGAAAGCCATGCGGAGGTGATGTGCCTAGCACTGACAGCGCTGGACTATGGGCCGGCCAGCCTTCCCACTGCCGGGAAGCCAATTATCTTGCGCAGGGAGCCGATTCTTTCCTTCATGCACTTGTGCAACACAGAAGATACATACCACACTCCGCAACTGAATGTTCTTTGGCGCATGTCGTGAACGTGTGATGAATTGGGGCAATTCTTTGGCCATCCCTCTACTCAGACAGCTGTCAAGGTCCCTGGTCTGTAAATATTCGTTTGATTTTGGTCTGGTGCTCGATCGAGCCTGTGGGGAATAGACCACGGAACGGTGCCATCAGCAGGCCACACGGTTCGATCAGCAAACGCGGCTTCAAATACAGCTGTCGTCACGTCATCTTCCCCACAGGTGCCTCACACTTGGGATGCCTTTCGCTCTGAGGCGCGCACCGCAGCGCCTGAGCTTCGCGCTCTGGAGGACCCCAAATCCGATCGGTGGACAGAGCCTGGTGGGGAGGGTGTGAAGATATCTGCGGCATCCGGCACCACTGGGCCTCAAAAACCCTGAACGCTGCACAAGATTGTCTCTGAGGGCTGCAGTAGCTGCAGCGTACTTGACCAGCCTTTAGTCAAGACTAAGGGACTTCATGGGTTCGTTTGCCGATATCGCTAGAAGAACAGCTGTTGCACGAGCATGCGATTATACTATCAGATGTCGTGTATTTGCTTGAGCGTTCGGCTGTAGCGATCTCTGGTGTCCTTAAGTGCCACGAAGAGCTTGGGACCTCAGGTTGCCAGGCACGCCGCAGTGAACCAGTGAGGGCTTCATGAACTCTAGCGGCCACAATTCTATGAGAGATGCGAGTGGCAAAGGGCTGGGAGTGACTTGCGATTGGAATGGCTTGCCTGGTTTACGTGGAGATCATCACGTTTCAGGAGGGGCTTACGGCTTACGCCTTGCCTAACCTGCAGGGGCAAGCCATGGTGTCGGAACGGTGCCAGGAGGCTGACGTGTCCACCAAGCAGAAGGCGGTGTTTCAGCAGAGATCTGAGCCATTTTGAGCTAATGTTGGACCCTCTTTACACAGCCACCGGAACAGTGGAACCAGTCAGCTGGACCCTCTTTAGAGAAACTCCCGGGGTTCTTGGGAGGGACAGTACTTACGTTAGCATTGCCAATTCTACTTTAGTGTTGCCAAGGACCGTTTCTCGAGCAAACCCCAAAAAGGTTTGACACGTAACAGTCACATTAAAGAGGATCAGGGCCTGTTGTGGGCAACCCCCTTTGTGCGAATGTTTGCCCTTACTTTTTTGTACAGAATTCATCTTCAATTTGATGGTTTGGGGGCCACTGGCAAAAGGTTCCAAGATCCAAGGCCTTGACGTACCCTTTGAGCTGGGGAGAGCTGGTTCACCCTAAAAGTAAAAGGCTAAGGCTTTAGTTTAAGAACTCAGCAACCCACAAAGCAGTGTTCCCGGATTTGTTTGCCCGGCTTGTTTGCCAAGTTTTTGTTGCCCAGGTTTTATCCAACGTGTTTTTCTCCGGCAAGCAAACTTTCTACAACAGAGGACCCCCAAAACAGTCACAGGATCCTGAGTTAGGAAACAACTTTCTACAATAGAGGGTGCTATCCTAATTGGGGGTCTAACATTAATGGATGTATTTTTTAGGACCTAGGAGCAATGGACAAAGCAACCCGGGTATGGTTGGATTTGCAGGTTGATGGCTATGATTGTTTGGCCTCCTATCTCAAGTTTGGTCGTTTGTGGTGGTATTGTCGGCTATGTATATTATATAGATCTGTATATATGGGTGTGATTCTGCTTGAGCCAATTCAGCATCAGGCTTCCGTGAACCAAACTTGAGAGGTCGGCACCAACAATGGGCCTGTTCGCGAAGCAAATTGAGCTTGCTGAGCAGAATGTTGCTGTTTAGATCGAGGCACAGCTCTGGCCCCCAATGGCAGGAATTGGCTCAGGTCACAGTCAGGGCAAACGGATGATGGTGTTGCTGGCGTGCTGGTGGTGCTGATCTCAGTTGCCTCCGAAGTGCGTCTCGCGATGTTAGCCACTTTCGTCCGGGGGAAGAAAGCAACGCTCCAGCCAGTATGCTTAGATGCGCACGCACACGCTTAAACTCAGAGCTTTGCCATTTGTGCCTTGACTGACTGAACAACTTGAAAGTACAGCTTGTTCGATTCAAAGCTTTCAGCCAAGGTTGCGCCCATGTCTTTGATCAGGCAGTGGCATTCAGAGGCGCTTTTTGGTGGCGATCAAGCAGCACCCATGTCATATGTCGGAAGATGCTTGAGGCTGACGACTAGTGTCCATGTAGGAAGCATCAAAGTAGCGAAGCACGTGCGTTCTGCCATTCAACTTGTTGATCTAGGGATTGACCAGGGGTCAGAGACTCGTTGACAATGGGGCTATTCACAATAGCTCTAGCTTCATCCGGCTCCCAGTGTTCTAACTACATGATTTGGATGGCTCCATTGGATGGCTGGGTCTTATGCTGCTTGCTTGTTGGGTCGTGCATGTGGTTTCGTGCATGTGGTTTCGGTCCCTTGCAGCGTGCGACACGGCTTTAAACTACAAGCCTAAGAAGTTCAAAGTATGACATGGAACCCTGTTTGTGAGGGAAGCTCTTGAATCAGCGATCAGCGCCTTACCATTTTAAAAAATGCACCACCAATCCACGCGACAGAACTCAACCAACTCACTTGCGAGGAGCTAGTTGCGAAACTTGGACTTGAGAATCAAATGCGGGCCCAGTTCGCTCAACCTTCGGTGTCAGGCTGAGAAGCACTTCCACGCTTCTGCCGTGCCTTCCGTTCACGAATTTCATGGATCGGGCTGTGCCCTAAGTTATGCAACGCAAGGGTTGTCGAGTTAGATGATGTGTCTCTTGTCCTATTGTTTGGCTTGGATGTGGGGACTGTGCATTTGCGCAGTCCTGCTCTTGCGAGTTCGGCTGTATTGTCAAGAGAGCTAAATCCATTGTTTTAATTGTAAAACTGTCCAAGCTGGAAGTCTGGATTTGAAGATTGGTTTGTTTATGGTTGGGCCTTTGGCTGGTCACAGGAGCATGGCTCAGGCAAGAACTTGTCACTTGAGCAGCTTCGGACCTGCGGCGTCGGGGGCTTTGGACCTGTAACGACTGAATTCGCCAGCGCCTCTTAGAATGAACGATGTGCACCCCCTTCTTCGCTTTCTCTCGATCTGATTGGCGAGCCATTCAAGTTGTGCAGGACCATTCGGGCTGAATACAAAGCAAGCAAGTTTATGCCTGCCATTTCGCGCATGGGATAACGGAGTGCTGTCGAAAGGCAGGCATCAAGCATCGTCGATGTGATGTCATGTTGGTGCTTGTCAACAATGCGACTATGTGCAAAACGTTCTGTTGCCACTGCTTTGTTCCAACCCTGCTGTTAGATCCTGTCAGCTTGCATCAATGTGAAGTCGGAAAGTGAATGTCTACCCTGGATCGTGCACCCAAACCTGGCTGACCCTTTTTGGGAGAGAGCAAATAGCTCCTTGTGCCGCAAGTGGCGCTTTGAGATGTCATCGCAAGGGCTGTAGTGCAAAGCGGTGCCCAGTTGGTGCTGACCACGTACAACACGTGCCGCCTTCAGCGAGGGTTGAACTGATTGTGCTTGCACGTTTCTTTCATTGTTTCGAAGCAGAATTGCAGTCAAGCCGGTGATTGGATTGCAAGCTAATGTCGCGGTTGTCACAAGCCACACAACTGCCTTTTGGTCGATCAGAGTTTGGCGTTGTCACCATTCCAAGGCTGTCTTGCCAGCCGGAGGACTCACCTCTCTTTCAGCTGTACTGGCGGCCCCTAGGCAGCATAGTCATCCTCAAGTGGGCGCTAGGCAGGCCAACCCTGCGCCCAGGGCCGCGCCCAGTGTTGCGCAGTGAGGGCAAGCCGGACCTTTGGCATTCTAAGGCGCATCATCCTGGACGAGGCAGGCTTGCAAGCTGCGTTGAGGAAATAATGTCTGGATGTTGCATGTTCGTCAGTGGGCTTCCAACATTCCCTGCAGACGGCCCCTTTGCTGGGCACATGCCGGCATGGCTGCGAGTTACATTCGGCCAATACCATCGCGAATCAAGTGCGATACAGAGGCCCAAGAATACGCCCTTCATAAACTTGATGGACCCGTAGCGTTGTGTGCTAATATTAAACATGGTCCTTGAGCGTGTTGACCAGTTGACCCTCAGAACAGCCATTGAACGCCACAGAAGGCATCATGACCGGCACAACACATCAAGGAAGCAGTCACCGATTCCGCGGCAAAATGCTGCCTGAGGCTCACGCCATCAAGAATCGCTGCAGCAGGCACGCGCCTTGTGGGAAGGTTGAGGCATTTGCTTTCATCTCTCAATTTGGCTCTCTGACAATCACCAATATTCTTGACATTGTTCATTGTTTTGCTCTTCCAGCCTTTGTGAACACACACGCGGTTCTCCTTGCCTTCGTTTCTGCCCCATTCACCCAAGCAGCTGGTTACCCCGACCAGCCACAGGCAGGCGCAAGCGGCGTTTCGCCTGCGCGGCTTTTGCCGGTGGCGCCTTGCCCGAGAGCTGGCGGTTCACGGGCTTTGGGTTTTGGAGCACGCCTAAGACCTGCAGAAGGCAAAGCTGTGGCCGATGTTGGCACCCTTCGCACGGGATACTATGGAGCTCGTGAGTTTGAACCCCCCAAGGAACGTCAAGGCATAGGATCGCGCCGCTTTGGCACGAGTGCTGCTGTGCCTAAAACCCTGTATAAACAAGTGCTGCCAGTCAAAATCCAAGCTTGAGATTCTGTTTGGATTCAACCATGTGTTTGCAAAGTGCATAGCACACTCCCTTTGTCCTGGCCACCCCGGCTCCCAAACTGACTGCTTGACATGTTTGACCCTGCACATGGGCAGGCTCAAATGGTTTGTATGTACGGGGTTGGGAGCTGATGCCGCGTTCAAGGTGTGTCACTGGCACGCCACGATCCCAGACTGGAAATTAGAGGGGCAAGAGGTTTGCGCAGGCAGTTCTGCATGTCTCGGTGGCCGCCGAGTGAGCAATTGTTCAGCAGTGCTTCGCATGCAACCAAAGTGACGCCGGTCCGGCTGCGGGCGATTGCATTTCTCCGGCATGTTGGGCTGCTGTGAAGGGCCAGTGCCCACTTGTCTGTAGAGTTGTGACACAGACCGCGCTAGTAAGTTTTGAGGCCACTCCAGAACAGCGTCGAGGAGTTGTACTCGGCAGTGCACTTTTTGCGCCTGCAGCCCACTTGCTGCAGGTTTGGCCGTTTGAACGGTTGCTGGGGCTGAGAGCGACAGAAGAAGGGCTGAGCGTTTTTTCTTTGCAAGTTCAACAGCTTCGAGGGAGATCGCAAGGCCAAAATGGGTCTGTTTCTGTACTCTTTAAAAATTAAAAAATAAAGGGCGGGGGCCCAACCTTGTAAAAGACATCCGTATGGAGCAAAGAGTCCCAGTCATTGTGATTTGGGTGCCATGCATGCCGCTGTTGTTTCCGTTTTTGTTTGCCATGGATGAGGTATTGAGCCATGGTGCGCGTGGTCTTGCTGGCGCAAGTCAGTTGCTTGCAGCTCAGATTCTTGCAGCTCCTCCAAAAACGGCCGGAGGAAGCTCACTAGCTAGCTCGTTCGTTCGTCAGGAGCATTTTTTGCAGATGGTGTGAAAGCCACTGGAGCAGCCCGAGGCCTTGCCTTTGGAGAAGGGTGCTGCGCCCAGATGTTGCCAGCCCTGGGCTCCCAGAAGAGTAGCAGCGGCTAGGTGAGCAGGAGTAGGGGCCAGCTGCAAGGGCCAAATTGTATCAAGGTCGCTAAAAAGAACTTAGCTGCTGGAAGTCGCAGCTCGCATCGCTTGGACACGCTTGTTTGTCGGTAGCCACGCTTGCAATTACGTCCGGTGGTGTTCAGCTCTTTGCGCAAGTCCAGCTGCAAGCAACCTGAGCACGAGGAAGCAACACACGCACATACATCAATAATTACTCATCAATCAACATCTGCGACGACAAACAACTTACCCTGCAGACACCGGCCACTATCAAGACAGAAATGCGCAGGATGTGCCTGAGTAGTTCCGCTCGGCTCAGCTATTGTTCAGTCGGCTCATGAGTGCTACTCTGGAATTGGAGCAATAATGTATGTTATGTATGTTGAAGGTTCGGGTCGGGCCCACCAAAGCACATCATACACAACCAGCAGCAACTGGCATATGAGATGCACGCAGATACAAGACAAGTTTGCGCAGGTTTCTCATATCCTTCACGCGTCAGAGGTCGCAGCCTATTTGGGGCTGCCTTTTCCGGGGGCACCCTTTTGGAGTGCAAAGGGAAAGCCAAAGGGAAACCACTGGGTGAGGAGTTCCCCATTTGGAGAGATTCCGCAGGATGCTGTTCTCGAACTCGTTTGCCGTCGAATGCCTTCAAGAACGTGTAACCTGTACACAAACGCTTTTCGCACAAAAAGGGGGTAGGGGATTTCAAACCCGTTGTTCATGACTCTTTTCATTGAACGCAATTTGGCCCCAACCGAACCGTTTTGAGGCCGCAAAGGTGACTCGGAGGCGATGAACCAGGCCCTGGACGCGGCAAAGCGTATCGTGCGGGCCACGGGCCTCCGCGTGGAGAGGGCGTGGATTCGATGTTTGGAATGGGGATTGACGATTCTGGACTGGCTTTCAGCCTTGTGTTTGGGGCTGGTTTTGAGGGAAAGGGTGCAACAGATCTCATTGACTCATTCTGCAAATCTGGGAGCTTGGCGTACTTGCTGGAGACTTTCCAAATGGCAGATGTGGCAGGTTCCAGGTCATGGGCCGTTCCATGGGCGTAGCGACTTCTTTGAATTCAACGGTTTTGCGAGCAAACACATGGCCGTTTGTGTGATGCCCTGTGGAGCCCATGCATGAAATTAATCAGGACGGACCCGAATTGCCTGGGTAGATGATAGAGACTGCGCATGCACACTTTGCGCAAGAGATGTTGCTCAATGTGAACGCCGGATGGTCATTCACCATTGGGCAACAAGCTTTAAAGGCAATCGGTCAGTGAGGTCACTCCGCTGATCATACGACGGACGAAGAGCACAGCCAGGCTCTGAGGCTGTGGGAGCAGCCACAATGTCCTTGGCTCACTAGGCGTTTTTCTTACTTATTCACACCAAGTCTACGCACACGCGCGCGCATGCTCATGCGGGATCGACGTCAAGAGGTTTGCAGCAATCACCCGTTTTTCAAGCCTTGCACGCCACTGCACAGGCAGCACAGGCAGGGGAAGGGTATTGGTCACATGGGTACCCATATGGAGGCAATATTTCCACATTGGTGGCAGGAACAGGTAAGCGGAGACCTACACGATATTTGTCAGGGGGTCGCACTGTGAGTAGTAAAGGTTTGGCCTGCCTGGTGCATGAATGCATGAACGTACATTGCTCCTGAAAGAGTAGCAGGCGCAGTCGGAAGCAACCAGGAGTGAAAGCCATCAGTGCCAGGCCCCGGGATTGACGTAGGGCTCAAAGCGCCTCGCTCGCGCCACTCTTTGTGCGTGTGACCATGGCTGACCAGCTGGTGCGGGAACAGATCAGCCGCTTGACACCCACATCGCCATGCTTCGCCATGCGGCAAGTCATGTTGCGCTTGTGCCGGGGCGGGAAGGGCGGGAAGTATTTCTCTCATGGGTAGATCCTTCATGCAAGACAGGTTTCTTTAGAGAGGTGGCAACGTTCCTTCAAGGCATCACAGTCGCTCGAAGCCCCCGGAGGGTTGCATTGGCCTTCGCATTGACAGTTCGGTCTAGGCCTAACTTCGGTAAGTCTGAAAGGTGAATTCTTCGAGACCTTCAAGCTCTTCGATGAAGACAAGGACGACAAGCTTTCGCTGAAGGACTGTAACCGGGCAACTCCGGAACTAGAACCACTTGTGCCCAGATCAATGACTGTCTCACGGGAGATGGTGTTCGGCCTTTTTCCTAGTCTGAACACCAGACCGCGGCAAAGGGTTTTGTATGATGCCTACTCACGTAAGAAGGGGTCACAGGCCGTCTCTCACACCGGCACACAAGCAATGCTCGCTCGCCGCTAGGAGTTTGGCACTCTGCTGAGCAACCTGTCTCAATGAGGCTGTGCATTTGTTGCACTCTGCACTCTCTGTGGCTGTTTTGCATGTGTGGAAGCTCCTCCCACTGTCCCGGTACCAGGTCTGTCTTACGTAGGTGGTACACTTGCCAAGTGGCAAGAAGGCCTGAGAGGCCGATTCTGCGTTACGGGGTGGCAAGGGGTCTCTGATCTGAAGCCGCTGCCTCGTAATGGCACGGCACTTGGCAGGTGCCAAGAATTACTATCCACAATGGCCCCAAACAAAGATGGCACGGCACACGGTTTTCTCATGACGTATTGATGGTTTGGGACTCCAACACATGTTGCCTCACCGCCCATTTCTTCGTTTGCATTAAAGACATTCTTTCCTTTTGGCTGTTTGTGGCTGCCTGAAAGGCAAGTCATGCGACACAGTAGCCCACTGAGACAGCACGACAAGTATTGCAACATGGCTCTGCTGTTCATCGCAGACTTGCGCAGTTCAGGGCAGATCGTGGTTCATCAGCGCGGATCAGTGCGGACAATGCGAATCAGTTCAACTGTCAGAGAAAAACATTGTAGCAGTTGGTGGTGAACTTAACATGCCCTTGCTCGCATTGCGTTATGATCCTAGCTGATCCGCATTGATCCTTGCCGATCCGCACTCATCAGAACAGCACGGACAGCGCGGGAGAACAGCTCGGATTTGTGTGGTGCTTCCAAGCTAGGAAGCACAGCCGCGCCGTTGGAACCCGCCGACTGTGGCCCACCCTCTTGCTGCCCTTTGTGGCTCCCAATTCTGCTGACGATTTTGTCTGTGTTGTCAAAGCTTTCGTGCTACTAAACTAGTCAACTGGGCAATGCGTAGCTGAGGTTCACTGGGGCAGAACCCCACTGAGCAAGAACTTCAAGATTGGATCGGTGGAGATGGCGAGCATGAGCAGTCTGGCTTGCATCGTTCATTTCCGATAGATTCAAAGTGCGCAAGGAATGAGAGGTGCACCTGCCAGTCAACCAGGTAAGTTCTGCCAAACAGCAAAGATGCACACAATAAACCACAGATCTTTCAAGCACCAGCCAGTGATTTGCGTGGGCCCGGGTGAAAGTCCACATTTGCACTCTTGGGAGCCGAGTACCACCCGCATCGACTTCCACACCTTCCTGTCCTTGATGTCTCGGAAGCTGAAGGACCCGACACCTGGTGGGTGGCCTCGCCAGAGATGGGCGAACGGCCGGCAGAACTTTTGTCAAGACTTGCGAGGGTGAGGTGTTGAAGTTGAAGCTGCCTTGAGTGCACGGTGTGTCGCCAGCTGGCGTCGTCTCGTGCAGGAGACTGACACAGAAGAGGAACTGATTGAAGCCTTTAAGGCTGGAAAGGGGAATTGTCACACTTACAGGAAATTACAACCACAGCAGGTTCAAAGCAACGTGTTCATGCTTTGATGGTCGAACTTGCCCTTGTTTTGTTTGAACCTGAGCTCTTTGAGTTTGCCACGCATGCCGCAGCTTGGTCGAGGTATTTGATCGCGACAGAGATGGTTTCATCTCTGGAAAGGAGCTGAGGCAGTCCATGACGTGCCTTGTCCAAAGTCGGGCACACTCCGCAGAGACCGAACCGAAACAAATTCCTGCAGCCAGTCCGTAGCCTTGGCCCAGAAGGTTTCACAAAGCCCTGTATGCCTCAGCCCTGCTTTTGACCCACCCTGAAGGAACCCTAAATGCAAGCATGCGGCGCTTGGCTTGCATCAAACCGTGACCTTGCACCGTAGCCCATTTTAGAAGTTGCACATTAACCCCTGAAGTGGAAAGCAAACTTCAACCGTCCAAAAAAGCAGCTTTGTCCAACAATGACTTGAGGATAAGAACGTGTTTCCACTGTTCAACGCAGGATTTCACGCAAGGCATTCAACACATTGGAAGCGGTCTCGCATTTTGAGAGCAAACAACTGGGCTGTAAACCTGTGAGGTTTGTTGGCCATTCAAACGCTACAACTGTAGATTCCTGTGTTCAGAACATCTCAAGGTGCTCGAAGGCGCAAACTTTTGAAGACGGTACCTATGTGGTGAGTCACGTTCGCATCTTTGCCGGCTTTTGCCAGGAATCTTGGGGAGAGGCTGACCGACACAGAGGCTGGCTTGCTCAAGGGCAGGGCCGCTTGTTGACACAAGTAACGCAGCCGAAAAATGTGTAAACGCTTTTTCGGGAATCATTTCGACCTGAAACAGACTAAACTGATCTTCGGGGATCGTTTCCAGAGTTGCGCGATTTTGTCAAGAGCCCCCCTTTCCGACTTTCCCATGGCGTTGTCCGGTCCGCGCGAGGTTTCTATCTTACAGGCGGTTATAAGGGGAACCTGAGGCGTTCGTTCCATCATTGTCAATTTGGAAGCATTCCTCGCTGGTATCACTTGAGTTGGGGTGCGTGGAAATCCCACCTAATGGGGGTATTTGCATTGGTGGCTTGGCTTTTCTGCCAGGTGGACGAGATGATTCGCGAGGCAGATATGGATGGCGATGGGCTCATCAACTACGATGAGTTTGTGAAAATGATGATGGCAAGCAGCCAGGCTCACATACTTCTACCACCCACATGCAGGAGAGAGGACCCCCCCCCAATTTTGCTTGCTCTTTTGGCACTTCAAGCAGTTTGTGCAGCGCATGTGTCCATTGATGGCTGAGGCAAGTGATGCGCAATGCGCGTCGCTTTGCGAGCTTGGTCGGCGCCAAGTGATTTGGAGCTCTTTACGTTTCACCCAGCGAGCTGGCGCTCAAGCGTTTCACTCGAGAGCGAAGCTGAGATGGCGGAACAATGGTTAATCGGCAGGTATCTCTGAGAGAGGACTTGCTCCCACCAGAAGCTACAAGTAGCTTGAGTGTGCAGCGCAGCCAACAAAGAATTCTTTGCAGGGTAGCTGCTGTTCGTTCCATATTGGGTCACGCGTCAATGCGGCAGGCTATTTCACTTTTTTTGTGGGCCTGTGTACCTACAGGCTTCTACAGCTGCTTAGGCGTGTGAATGCAGGTTGATATTCGAAGCCAGCTCCGGCCCAGGGAGGAGCTATGTTTCCAACCTGCTGTTTTTCAGCATGTTTGCTTAGGTGGACCCGCGCACTGGGGAGCCGCTCCTGGTGCTGCCAACCAAGCACGTCCATGCCGCTCGGCAGGTGACTCATGCAAACCGCGGGATTCGCAGGGCGCCTGAGCTTGCCTGGTATCGTTTTGTCGTCTTGTGCATCGTGGAGATATGATCAACTTGCCGCGCGCACGTGCGGCATTGTGGCAGAGCTCACTAGTTGCAAGCTTGTCGAGGCTAAGTCGACCTGAAGGGACATTGAGGGGGGCTTGAGAGCTTTTTTGTTTTGGGTGAGGCTTCAGTTTTCTCAGACCAGGCCCACAGTTCTTGGCAAGCAAAACGTCAGACGCAGCAGCGTATCCCGTCCGCGCACACTTTTTTTCCCTCTCCACCAGCTGCATAGGTTCTGCCTTCGGGCCCATTTGCTGGAAGGTGGGCAGCGTCGGAATGTAACCCAAATACACCTAGAGGTGGATATCATTGGACATCATTGGACCTTGAATTCGGTCCAGGCTGTCAGGCTGGTATCATGGCAATTTGCATCCAACAATCAGCATAAAGTTGCGGAGCCTCGTGAAGCTGCACTGATGCCCCTTTCATCATTTAACGCTGATACTCGATAACCAAGCCAAGACTTAGCATTGTTTTCAATACCGTTCTGAATCGACGTGCAGTTGACTCCTTGGCCAGAAAAGGAAAGCACCTTGCCTTCCGTCCCTGCCCCTCAAGTCACAATTACAATCATACCTGCTTAGGCCTGGGTCATGTGAGCAGCGGTGTTTGCAACTTGCAACATCCACTCCAATTGGGGTAGCCAATTCAATTGCCGATGGCGCGAGGGAGAGAGAGAGAGAGAGAGAAATCAATTGCTACTTCGCAGTCCAAACTTGAGTTGAAGCCCTTGCTGGAAAGGAACATGACGTCCTACATCTGAGTCTGTCTTCTGTCGAGGGTACCTCGTTTTGGATGGTTTGCAAAGGGAAGCCAAAAGGAACACCATTTTGGGGGGGGGTCCAACAAAGAGAGACCCATTTTGGGGGCTTCACCAAAGGCCGCCAGAGCTAACCCGGACCGAGGTGCGGAGGCTGGAGCTGTCGCTGGCGGAGAGGGACTTCTACGACACCTTGTGGACCAAAGCAAAGACCCAGCAGGGGCCCCAGAGAGGTACTGGCCAGTGACCCAAGGAAAAGCTTAGATCCAAAGAAGGGGCTGGGAGTTCTGCAAGTGTAAAACCAGCGAAACCAGCAAACATCGAAGAGGGGAAGAGCCTGCAAATCGTTGCGATGCTTGTGTCCTGCTAGCAGGAGAGAAGCAAACGACGCAACCTCGCAGGTTCGACACCTTCGTTGCATCTGGCGAAGTTCTGTCGAAACTTGGCTGGTATTTGCTACCTTTTTGGACGCTGATGGGCACATGAAGCAGGTCAAAGCGGCCGCTGCGCCGTTCCACCTTTTGCGTTCTGTGGAAGGAGGGAGATTTGCACTTTTCTCGGGCGGAGGAAAGGCGAAGGGTGCAACCAAGGAAGTACACCCACATCCTGCAGCTGATCCTCAAGCTGCGGCAGGCGGGCACAAGATTCGCAGATGCCAGCACCTAGTTACCCCGAACCTTGCTTGGGGTGTTGCCCATCACGTTGAGCTCGCCGCTTGTTGGTTTTGCCAGCCTTGACTGCTCACCACCTTTGCCGGGTGCCGCCGATGCCGGGTAACGCCAATGCCGTTCTCGCTTCACAGCAGGCCTTGTGCCACCCCTTTCTGGTGCCGGCAGCTCAATCTGCTTCTCATGGCTCAGTGTGTTGGCACTTGGCCCGAGGTTTGCGCGGGAGGCAACGAAGGACGAAGACTTGGACTCCTTGGAGAAGTCGGCCTGGCCAGTTGAGATCTCGGCGCTGCTTTGTTCTGAGATGGGATCCAGAAGTTCCTTCCTGGCAGCTGGCATCACTTGAAGTTGAAGTGGGCATTGAGGGACAGCTTTCGTTACCTAGCCATTTGAAACCTATTTGGCAGTTTGCTGGCTAGTTACTCAGTGGGCCAGTTAGCAAGTAATCCAGTTTGCTTGTGACCTAGATAGCTGGCTAATAAGCTGGAAGCCTGTCGCCTAGCAAGCCAGCTGTACATGGACATCATGGACGACACCAGAAGCCTTTGAGTCGGGTTGGTTGCGACTCAAGTGAACATGCCCCACCACCTTAAGCTTGCCACGCGACTTGTCTTACGTCTTTTCTGAATGCTGCTTGCAGAGATTGGAAGCTGGGATCGCTGGTTTGACGCTGCCAGGAGATACCTGCAGGACATCGGTGGTGATGGCGTCTCTGAGACCTTCGTGAGCGGTCTGCTCCAGGCAGATGTGGTAGGTCTAGGGGAGGGGTGACCATTTGGGTGTGGGTCAAAACCAAAGAATATGTTTGGGTAACCCTCCTTTTTGTTTGGTCCCTTTTGAAAGCAGATCTGGGGGAAGGGGGGGTACCGGGGTTTTGACCCAGTAGGTCGACTTCAATTGGGAGGGTGCGTAGCGTTCGGTTCTATCGGTTGCTGCTGCGGCAATCATGCAGCTGTGGGTTGGTCGCAGGAGATCAGGAAGGGCGAGTTGAGCGATTGCGCCATTTGAAACAGCCTCAGCAGGGAATCGAATCGATGGAGCATCGCTTGAATTCCCATAATCCGCCATTCAGATGGGAATTGTACAGAAAACCGCCTGAACTCTGGTTCCAGGCTTCGAGACGTGAGCATGAACTCGTTGTCAGCTTGCTGAGGCTTCGATGCACCAGAAGACCCCACCCTAACGCACAGGAGCCTAGCTGACGCACTTGCGTCAGTTGATCCCAATGATCCCGGTGCTTCCAACGGTAGACATTTGACTCAATTCTGAACAACCCCTGAGAGAGGCGAGGACTGGTCATCTCAGCTTCCGAAGCCTTGCCCGGAAGGGGCGAGGATTTTTCCGATTCGGGGTGTGGTCGCAGGCTTGGCTTCCGAGGCACTGTGGCCACATCTTCTGCCGGGAGTGCTGCTTCAAGATCATCAAGCAGCTGCATGCCCAGTGCATGCGGGGATGACAAGCTGGGCTCCTGGGCCTCAAGTTGCTGGCCCCAGCACAGGCTGAAACTCTACGTGACACATGTAATGAGTGAAGCTGCGAGGAAGACGTGAAGCAGGGACAAGCCACTGGGAATTGAGATGGAACTGCACAAGACTCGAAGATTTGCCAAGCCCACAAATGCCAGTTTAAGGTGTGGTGGAGAGTGCGGGGCAGCCCAGACACTGCCACGATGCGCATGAATGTTGCATCCCCCTGCACATGGGTGGTCACGGCTTTCCCAGTGATCCCAGTGCAACGCGCTGCTTGCATTGCTACATTGCAATCATGGGCCTTTCTATCTAGCAGCGCAGCCAGCGCGCGCGCGCCCAGCCAGCTACCTGTTGAGCCCATGAATGTTAGTGGACGCACTGAACCAAGGCGCATCAGGCCCCTCCTTACCAGTTTGGAAAAAGCAAAGCGCAAGGCCCACTGAGCCCTGGCAGAGGCTACCCATTTGCCAACTCAGGCCCCGTTTGCCGGCAGCCAGGGATCACCAAGAAGAACCTGAAGGCGGGCGCTTGGGGTGGACAACTCTGCGTTGGATTTGTAACATAATTGCAGGCCAACCGATCAATCGCCGCCTTTTAAACTTTTCGAGAGGATGGCCACGGTTGGCAACATTGTAAGCATGACTTGTTTTTGGGCCTTTCTGTCTCCCAAGTAAGGGCTTTGCAGACGCATGTGGGAACCGGTTTTTAAGTAGGGCCTCTTTGAACTTAACTGCTATTGGGTTGGATCTTTTGACTATAACTGTTTGGGAAATCAAGCGGGTTTCCGCTAATCCCCAAAAAGTTCAACTTTTTGCAGGGGTGTCAACAGCAACCAAGTGAAGGCGATTGACGTCCACCAAGTTTGACCCTATCACCGGCGCAGGTCTTGCCAGGCGCCTCTCGCTTCCCCGCACAGCTGATGGCCAAGGCCAATTGGCGGCTGGGTCCCTCAAAGAAAGGCCAACCTATCCCCAAAACCACACCCGTTAAGGGAGACCCAGAAGCTCTATTAAATGGGTGCCAATTGTAGCAGGTGTAAAGCTCACTCGAGGATGTGGTGACGCCCAGAAGAAAACAAAAGGCATGAGGGCCCATGAGGGGGGGGTCCTGTGTGTTTTACCCAGCCATGCGTTCCATGAACTTGGGAGGGGCCTGCACATACAAGTTTGGTTTGAACCCGGCGATTCGAACATGTAACATGTTGCATAGTTCACTTGCGCTTCTCGGAGGCTTCTTCTGCAGGAAATGCAGGGGTACTACGCTCAGCGCGAAGCAAAGGCATCATGTCGAACTGGATTGGCGCTTGTGCCGCGCAATGTGCAAGTTGCAGCTATGGACTTGCACTTGTTGAGCGCAATGGGCTGGGAAGAAGGTTTGCAAGGTGTCGAGCTTGCCGAGGATTATGGGGCGCATAGCACGAAGCGCTTCCGGCTTAATTTGTTCATGAGCTTTTGGCTACATGAGGTCTGTTGATCTCATTTTGCCCTGTGTGCCTGTGTGTGTGACACCATTTTGTCCACTGCGCAAGCTTGCACGGGTAGGGCTGGGTTGCTAGGAGGCACAGCCATACAGAAGTCTCGCAGTCAAGGGTGCAATCGTACAACAAAATGGCCATCAAGCGAAGCTGATGATACTGTCTTTAGCTTTGTGTTTGCAGAGTACCAGATGCCTGATGAGGGCGAGGTAGCCTTTGGCTCAAGCTGCACAGTTTTGCAACCAACCACGCACGCCTCTCAGACTGCATGAAGGTTCCAGCTCTCACATCGGTGGAAAGTAGTTTGATCTCGCTTTTGCTGGCGAATAGTTTTCGGGAGTTCTCCACTGTCACTTTCAGAAGCCGCACGCAAGCAGAGCAACAAGGAAGAGAGAACGGGAGAGGAGATGCAGAAGTGGCTAAGAACTTGAGGGTCGAGTCCACCGAGTCGAACAATTGCAAATAAGTGTCTAAGTCTAGGGATCGCCGGCAGTCGATTGTGTTGTTGATTCATGCTTTCTGTCCTGGGGGTCCCAATTGGGGTGCAACTACTTTGCAGCCTGAAATTCACTGGCGGACTGCTTCTTCAGGGCGCGAGGAGGCTGGTGGTGTGGTTTGTAGTGGGGTGTTTCCAAGTCTCTCTCGCCTCCGCGCTTCCTTGTCTGTCAGCATCCATGTTTGCATGTGTCTGCTTTGCCACCCAATCATTGGCAGTGCAACACTTAGACTTTGCTTCTTGCGGTGTCCTGCATCTGCGCGCCACGCGCAGTGCGAACTGCCCCAAGAGTGTGCCAATCCAAAGGCCAGGGTTGTCCTTTGTAAACGACCTCATTCTGAAACGTGTGGACCCCCAAACTTCTTGTTTTTTTCCGGCGAAGCTCACAAAGAGAAAGGTGTTGCGAAAGCACCCGAAATTTCTCAAGCAGACGGTGGCCTACATGAAAATTCCATACGCTAAACGCCCCTTGATGCGTCCTTCCTTTTCCTGGGGTCGGCTGCTATGGCACCGAGGAGATGAAGTTGGAGGGTGCGGTGGTGGTGGTTACTGGGGGCGCCAGCGGCTTGGGCGCCAGCACGGTTCAGGCCTGCGTGGCCCGAGGCGCCAAGGTGGCGGCGCCTCGGAAATGCCAGGGCTCCGTGGGTGGTCACCGGGGTCATGAGTTTGACGATTTCTGGGGGTGATCAAAGTCGGAAAATGGGGTTGTTTCCCCTTAACCCACCACTAAGGGGGTGACTTTGATAGTAGCATAATAAGGCCAGAGGTCAAGCAAACATCTTAGGCAAAAGGCTGTTTGGGTCAAGCACCGTATACGTTTCTTGGTTAAAGCCAAGCAACAAGCTTAACTTCTGCTTCAGGGTTTCGGGGGGGGGTTGAAACTTTTAGAATTCCGAGGCATCCGTGCGTATGTTTCGAAGGTTTTGTCGAACCAGGACTTGCCTATGACTCACCTTTGTTTCCGGCTGATTTGCAGCGTCCATGGCACTCACAGCTGGATTCGGCCTGGGGCCGGGAGGACTGATTGTGGCCTTGGGGGAGTTGCATCAGACGGTGGTCAATCGGCAGCGGAATTTGCACGAAGATGCTCAGTGCAAGCATGCCATTAAAAGGGGACGCGACGGGGTACTGAAGGGTTAACGAGGTCGCGCCAGGCAACGCAGTTTGCCCACGACGGCCTTGCTTGTTCCATGCATGTGCACACTCGAGGTGCTTGACATGAACAAAGAGAAGGGCGAGGCATTCGTGCAAGAGATTGGCGCGGACAAGGCCATGTTCCTGGAATGTGCCTTGTCGCGATTTGTTCAACACCCGAATCATACTTCCGGAAACTGCCACGATGAGTTGAGGCAACATTCTTGACGAGAAGTCAGTGGGAGACTGTATGGCTACCATCAAGGAGAAGTTTGGCAAGATCAACGGCGTTGTCAGCTCTGCAGGTGTGCGGGAGCCGAATTCGTGGTTCCAGACAAACTTATCCTAGGAACTTTCAGCGGTGCGGTTCTTGGCGCCGGGCCAACGTTCCCACTGCCGCTCGCCGGGTTTGTCGGGTTTTTGCTGCAGGCGGTCAGCTGATGGGTCCCAGCCTCGGGAACCGCGCGTGGCGTTTTGAGTTTGCTTTGGCCGATGTGAACGAGTCGGGTTGAGCGGAAGCTGACAGGATGCGGGCTCACAGTGGATAAGAAGGGCAACCCACATCCAGTGTCAGCCTTCAAGAAGACCGTGGAGCTCAACATCCTCGGAACCTTTCTAGTTGCCAGCAAGGTGGGGCAATTCAGGGGGGCACTTCATGGAGAAATCCATTGATGCATCCAACTGAGTGCAGCAATTGTTAAGTGTTTCGTGAGCTTTGCCCTCATGGTGCTTGAAACGCCCTTGTCCAATTCTTCCTGGTACGGCGAGTGCCGGCTTTGTCAATGGCATTGCTGAGTCTAACGTGCCCAGGATGTGTTTAGGGGAAGGGGGTGCGGCACTAGATGCGTACCACGATCACGGCCGGAATCCAGCGCAGCAGACTCTTTTGACTATAAGTCCTGCATTCCGAAATGCCTAGGCAGCGGAGCTAGGCAAGCTACCCCCCCAGCGTCCTTTTGCCGCCTGGAAGTGGCCGGCTTTGCCCAGGCTGCCGCGATGATGGCGACCAACGCTCCGGAAGACGGAGATGGCGAAAGGGGGTGCATCATCAACGCGGCTCGAACCGTTCGATGGCTTCCATGACAAAGGGGTGCCAATCATGCCGTTTTGGCCCAAGTGCGCGGAAACAACATTATCCCTTCTTGTTTTTGCCCTTGTTCAAGGGCAACGCGTGTGGTGCACAGTGACTGTTGGCAGCGACTTGGCCGAGGTTGCAAGTGTGGCAGCACAAGATGGTCGGCAGCTCACGCTTGCTCGACCTGGGGTGGTATGTCAGTTTCAAGCATAGGCGGCCATATGGCGGCCATCTGTTGTGGGCAGAGTAGCGCAGGTGTTCAGGCAAATGTTCGTGCCAACTGAGGCATAGTGTGTCAACCATCATGTTTCTCAGGTTCACTTGGGTGGGTTCCTTCCGTTAGTTTCTAGCGGCGTGCGCTTGGTGTGCTTTCAGGGGGGCGAGCGAAGCATGGCTGGCTCGTGGGCTTCGCTGTGCCCACGCCAAGCTCCTGTGTGTTCTATGTGTTGCTGAGGTCAGAATGGCCAGATTGCCTACGCTGCAGGCCATGCCCTTAGAGCAGCGTTTGCTTTGTCAGCCTTGTGCGCCAACTTCTGATCACATGCGATGTGCTTTCTTGAGCGATGTCGTTCCCCTCACTCGCTTTTGGGCAAATGCGCTCAGGTAAAGGCGGCATTATGTCCATGACACTGCCCATGGCGCGGGATCTGGGCACACGAGGCATTCGTGTGAACTGCATCCTTCCAGGGGTGTTCGAGACTCCCATGACAGCGCCACTGATGCCTTGCAGCACTTGTAAAAGGAAAACCAGCCCAGAGCAATCGCGAGAGAGAACTACGTATTGTAGTTCCAAACGTTTGCAGTCGTGAATCATTGCGTCATGGATCGCTATACGACGTGCTGACTGTTAAGCAATGTGCGACCGCGATCGCAGCTCGATCCGAGCGTATGATTGGGCCTGTCTCACCTGTTTTGAAATGCGCCAACTTGTCAAGGAAGCAGTTCAAGCCAGCTGTCTACAAGAACCTGGCGGAGCCCCATGGTTGGCAGGTAAGTGGCTGGCATTGACGCATTCAGGATGGGGCTGCGGTGGGTACACTGAACACAGTGAACACATCCAGGGGGTGTTTGTTGCGTGGGCTGTAATTGCGGAGGACCCGAGTCTCTGATTGCGCACGCCCAAGGTCCGCCGTGTTCCCCACGACACGACTGGGCCTGCCCGAGGAGTTCGCACAAATGGCAGTGGCCATTCTGGAGAATAGGCATCTTGGCAAGTCTTTGCCGGTTCCTGAAAGGCCCCAAGTTCCAAGTCATAAGTCGTCAGCCAGCGGATTACGCCTGGTTGATGGAGGTATGACAGCACCTAGCACCATCATGTGACCAACTGGGGACCAATGGTGTCAGATTTTTGGGCCGATGTGCCTGTGGTGCCTTTGAACTGGGGCTGAGCGTTGCATGCAGCACATGGCCTACGCTCAAACATGTTCCCGTTGTGTAGCTTGCTTTTGCCCTGAGCGTGGAAGCTGCGTGTAAACATGAGCAATTGGGAATCGAAGCAGTTGAAGTTCTCAATGGTTAGCTTGTCCGAATGCAAAGGAATCCACCTGCTCTGTCCCGCTTTCTCTCGCTTATGGTGAGGTATGTCAACGGCGCGTCCATCAGAGTTGATGGGGGTATCCGCATGGGCAAGCTTTGAGATGGCTGGGCAGTTGGCCAGTCGTTTCGGCAAGTTTCAATGCCCTGTCTCCCACCATCCTCTTCCTGCATTAACAAAGGAGCCGCTCGGTGCAAGGGCACTGGGCAGGACAAGTGCTCCTACTGCCAGTGCCGTTCCGTCTCCATTGCCAAAAGCTGGCGGCCGTGTGCAAGTCAAGAATTTTGCAAACAGACTTCCCCCCAATTCTGGAAAGTCTGCAGTAGGGTTGTTTCCTCACAAAGGGAAAGCCGCGGGGCAGCGAGAAGGCCAGTACCATCGACGGCTTGGAATCGCTTTTGGCATCCCAAAAAGAAAGCTCAAAAGCGGATCCCAAAAGCGATTCCTCCCAAAAAACCACCCAAAAGGAAAGCCCAAAGGCCCAAAGGCCCTGAATTTGATCCAATCGCCAGGATGAAGGAGCTCTTGGGCCTGCTGCGGGAAGACATGGCCCAGGGCCAGCGGGCGGTGGCCATGGCCTTGGACATCCAAAGAGTGGGTGCCCTTTGTCAAAAAGTTTTGGCAGCTTGCGGACAAGACAAGTAAATCTGTTCGCCGGGGTGCCTGTCAGAAAGTATACCCTACCTGGGCTGTTTGTGTTCATGCCAATGTCTCACAACCGCCACCGTTCCCCACCCAACAGCTGCAGCTTGTGCTCGCTACTCGGAGCTGCCATGATACAGACTTTGGCCAAACAAGCACAAAACAACAAGTGCAATGAGCCCCCCCGCATGTTCCTTGTGCACGATGGTACGCAAGACGTGGCGCAGTTTGCCGAAGTTGCAGCCGCACCTAACCTGCAGGTGGTGGTGGCAGATGGTAACTTCCAACGCAGGCTCGCCATCGCTGAGGGTATCCTTCCGCAATCAGAGAGCCAAGAAAGGAAGGATTTGGCGAAGCTTTTGGCAGAGCTACCCTGCTGGTTTTGTACCCCAGACGGGGTGGCTGGGCCCTTGACGTTGCAGCCTTCCAACCACGTGGCCGATCTTTCACTCTTGCTGCGCGAGGCTGTGTACCACCACAGCCTTCAAAAGCTAAGGCCTGAGGAATCTTCGTTAGAGGCCCTGAAAATGCCCTGCCATAACATGGAGTGCGCTGCGACCGCTGCGACCGCTGCGACCGCTGCGACCGCTGCACGATTGCTGGGCACCTATGGAGCAGTGGTGTTGGAGGGCTTCTTGGGAGCCGCCGCCCAGCAGTTGGCCTCGGAGGATTTCGGAGAGTTCTTGCCAGCATGTTCGGGTGAGGACGGGGAAGCCCCAGCAAGAGGATCTGGCAGGGGTGACTGGGCAGTGTTGCCGGAAAACCCGCCGATGAGGCTGTTGGAAGCCTTGGATGCCTTGGATGCCTTGGTGATGCAACTGAAGCCCTTGAGCCAGGGCAAGCTGGATTTTTGCGAATTCCGCACCTGGCCCATGGTAACCACATACTACCCTGGCATGCGCTACACCTGGCATGTGGACAACGGAAAGAGGAGCAATGGACGGGTGCTTACCTGCATTTACTATCTGAACCCACCGGACAAACTCGCGGGCGGTGCTCTTCGCATACTGGACTCCGTGTGTCTCGATTTGGGCCATTTTGGCGCCCCTGTTCGCAATACGTGGCGTGGTTGCTTTAAGAAACAGTTCTGTTTCTAGAAAAGCAATGGGAACTCTCGATGAATGAGCCCCGGGATGATCAAGAGGCGGGGTACTTTTCGAGGGATCCAGAGTGCTCCGAGCTTCGGGTTAATCAACTAACCATGGACCAGGATCACCCTTGGTGGCTGGGAGGTTTGAAACTCTTCTCCTTCTCCGGAGAGGAGGGGAAAAAAACAAAAAACACAACAACAAACAAGGGGGATGCATCCTGCCCCGCGTCAAACCTCTGCACACCACATGCAAACAGCGCAGGAAACCAACCCCGGTCAACAAAACCGCCCTATCACAAGAACCGGGACCTCCGTAGGCTGTCCCTTCTGAAACTTCTGACCGCCCCGTTCCGTTCGGAAACCCGGGAGGACGAGAGCGGGTGCCGTGTCGTGGCGGAGGTGGCACCTGCTTTGGACAGCCTGGTGCTCTTCTGGTCTGCGCAGGTACCCCATGAGGTACTGCCTACGGACAGCGCCGCCCGCCGCGCGGTGTCGGTGTGGTACCTCTGCCCCCAGGCGGGAGGCTTGAAGAAAAGCGGGAAAGAAGCTAAGGGCAACAAATAGATGAGGGGAAGAAGATCTTTGAGCAGAAGGGCAAAGTTCTGGTTATTATTCTGATCTACTAAGACACCATTGCACATGTGCCCCTATGTTTCAACCAGTTTGATACCTGGCTCATTCGCTCAGATGGGCCTGGACCACTTTGCGGCCGGCAATGCGGAGCCAGCGTTCGGGCAAAGCGAAGATCAGGCTGCCAGGGAGGTGGCGCGGAAGCTGGGGCTGTCCTGGCCCATTGATGGGCACCCGCTGGAGGTCCTGGTGGATCTGGTGAGGGCGGGGGAAAATCGATGGGGAGAGGGGCGGCCTAGAGCGGCTTGAAGGCGCTTAGTGGCAATTTGACGTAGCCTGGCAGGCCTTTTGTGGCTGAGGCTGACACGGGGCAGGTCAGCCAGTGGCAGGCTAGAGGTGAAGAGAACACTTATTGCTCCCTGGCTCAAGCTGTCCTTACACATTCCTTCCACCCAAGCACTCAACGTTTCCAGAAAGCGCAGATGTAGATCACCCCTTTTCAGGACGTCGATGAAGAGGATTGACCCTACTCATCCCTGCGTGTTGGCAAGTAGGCCAGACTAAACAGACACCTTAGCCACACGCACACGTAACAAAGATGACAAGCACGCGCCAGCGCAGCCTGCCGCCAGTGGCCTTGAACTCAGTTTGGGCGGAGCTTTCTGCAGCTGCTTGTCCAGAGTTGGTTCCCATGTCTCCTCAGTCGCAATGCGATATGCCGAGGTCCGGTTGTTGGCGCTGCTCCCGTGGACCATTCGGGCGCAGTTCGGGAATTTGCCGCCCCCCATTTGCAAGGCCTTCGGCTGTCCCAAGGGCCAGCGCCCTGTGGGCAGGGATGACGTAGACATCGCCCCTCGGCAGGGAAAAAATGCATCAATGCTTATTTGGGCAGGGATGTCTTCTGGTCAAACTGAGCATTCCAACTGCAAGAGGGCGAGAGGGCTCTCGCCCGAATCTGGCAGGTTTTGGCTCTTGTCACTGACTGCAGGTGAGCTACGGGTGCAAAGAAGCTGGGCTGAATGTTTTGAGCATGCGCCTCGGCTGCGAGGGTATATAGGCTGATGCTAGGATGGCTACGGGTGGGAGTAGTAGCAGCCAGCGCGCTTGCCTGCTTGTCGCTTGCTTTTCTTTTTGGCTCGCCATCGCCCTTCATTCGGTCGGCCGATCCCTCCACTAGCGTTTTCCTTTTGTCAGGAAAGACCTGGGGAATCCCTATGGCAACATGAACCAGATCGGCAAGAACTTGAACAAATGCTGCATCTTGGCGTCATGCTACATGCGCATGCGAACGCAGTGAGCAGTGAGTGGAGATGTTTTTGCCTGCTGCCTAGCAAGAGCAAGCTCGATCCAGACGAACTGTTGGGCTCTGTTTATTGATGGAAGGGCGTAAGGGTTCTCGATAATTACAACGGGCTGCCCGGTGTCCAGTTCCAATCGCCGTAGCATTTGAAAGGCTCGCAAACAGCGGAGCGCACCCCAGTCTTGTGCCCAAGTCTGCCATGCGGCAATGCGAGGTATAGAAAGGGATGTTTGCAAGCAGACCTGCGGCATGACTTCAAAGGAGTGCCACGAGGCGTATCAGAGATTCGGCTGCAAGACCACCTCTATTTCTGTAAATACATTTCCCCCCCCCTTCAGCCCAATCTTTTTGCGGAATGCACTGCGAACCGAGGAAATGTCAGCAGAAGCCGCTTGGCTTACACAGCTCAGCTCGTCGCCTTCCTGAGAGCGGGCTGGTTGTATGTAGGACTGCTATTGTCAACCGCATTGGGTCCATCATGAATTGAGTGATGCGGCATATTGCGGCATTCACAGAACCGGGCATCAGGCATGCAGAGTAAACTCGCCCCTAGAAGTTCTGACCACATTGTCGAATTTCTGGAACCCTCAGGACTTTGCAAAGAAACCAACTGATAAAATATGTTTGTCCTGCAATGCATGTGAATGCTGAGAAAGGTGCTAGACACGCCTGCCGAGGGTCTGCAAGGGCGACTCGAATTGCCAGCTGCAGGCAGGTTGGTTGGTGCTGCTTGGTTTTGGAAGCAGCGGCCGCAGCAGCAGCAGCAGCAGTAGCGGCATCGGTATCAGCCGCAGCATCGGCCTTACCACCACCACCATCACCATCACCATCACCATCACCACCACCCGCATCATCATCATCATCATCATCATCATCATCATCATCATCATCATCATCATCATCATCATCATCATCATCATCACCATCATCACCATCATCACCATCATCACCATCATCACCATCATCACCATCATCACCATCATCACCATGATCACCATCACCATCATCACCATCACCATCACCATCACCATCACCATCACCATCACCCCCACCATCACCCCCACCGTCACCGTCACCATCACCACCATCACCATCACCATCATCCTCATCTTCAACGCCATCACCATGATCATCGCCATCGCCATCACCATGACCATCATCATCATCATCATCGTCGTCGTCATTGTCGTCATTGTCGTCATCGTCATAGTGGTTCTCCGCTCATTATCATCATCCTCGCCACCATGCATTGTTGCCTGCATCATCACCCGCTCCAGCAGCGTCACCAGAACCACAGCATTCTAGCTGCAAGAGAGGCCTTTGAGAGGCTATCAACCCATTCCTTCAACCCCTAAGGTGCTACGTAGAGAGGCCCTGCTACTTAGAGAGCCTGCGCGCGAAAGCCACTCACCGACTGTGCCCGTTGATCGAAGCTGAGGGGCGGAAATGCTAACGACATGATTGGGTCCAAGGGCTTGGTTGGCATCAGATGCGTACTATTTAACTAAAAAGGTTAGGCTGCCAGCTGCGGGATGGTCCGCAGGCCATGGTGGCAGACTTCTCCAATGACCCCTATGATGAAGGGTACCGTGCAGCTGACAAGGCGCGAAGTCCTGACCTATGCCCGACCGGCTTCATCCAGCGTTCTCGATTATTAGGGTGGTGATTCACAAATTTGTTGACAGGCAATTTGCGGGTATGCGTCCAAGTACTTGGATACGTTGGCCAGGAGAGCTACGACCCAGCTGAGAGACGCCCTTAAGCAGTGCTTGATGGCGTGTGGCGTGTCATGCCAGTCACGATGACAATGCGGCGTGGGTATGACAGGCATGCCCCCCATAGCAAAGACGATTTGTTCGCCTTTGCTCTACAAAGCTGCAGCTTTTCGTTCGTGCAACATCTCCAAGCCTTTTTCTCAGGTCCAAATGCCGGGGCTACAATAAGGCGCAGGAGGCTGTTTGCCACTGT